ACATACAAAAGTCTATCTCGAGATAGGTGATTTATTCATGTGGCGAAACATTAAAAGCTGAAATAAGGGCATTTGTCACAGTAATGAAGGACAATAATACTAGACCAAGAAACTGTAACTGTTTCCGCTTCCAAGAGTCCTGGTGTTTAAGATAATCCGCCCGAAGCATGACCACTCTGGTCACCACCTGCAGGGTCATTGATACAATTATCAGACACACTAATGGCCAGTAGAATTCATATTTGGGATGCAGTAGAGCTGTCCGAAGCTGAGCAGCATTAGAGGTCAGAAGAGAGACGTCCATCATGCCTTGGGATACTGTCTTCATGGAAACTCTGGGCTTTTTACACTCGTTTGGAGTAACAACTGGGGCTTTATCCTACAATGAAATATGTGGAGATAACGAACAGTATTCGAGCTCAGAAGTCCATAAACATTAGAAAATAGGAGCAGAGCAAACACAGACCTCTAAGACATCAGAGGTGGGATCAGGAGCCATGGAGGAGTGAGCATCCCCTGCCGACCGGTCACACCCGCCGTATCTCAAGCTCACCGGGATATATCGTGTCGACATAAGAATGAAAATAACCATTGTTAATTGACAATACGTCGTCGATGTATCTAAATGTCGAGTTGAAGGCCACAGCAAGTGTTTTCTTCTTTTCACGTAAAAGATTTTAAACAAATTCTGCTTCATATGAATACAAAAATAGGTCTGCTAATAACGGGGTGCAATATTGGTATCGATGGGAATTACAATAGATTGTTGGAAGACCTGATCTCCAAAAACCACATAGATATAATTGTCAATCAGAAACTCGAGCATCTTTTTGATGTCAACTTCAGAGTACTTGTGTGTACAATCAGATTGTTTTTTAACAAAGTAATTTTGCAAATGACCAATGACAAGGTAAGTAAATTTACGAGTTCCATTTTTATTGAAAAAGCAGCTGTCAACGATGTCAGAAAGTATACAAAAATATTGAATTTTGACAACAATAGTAATTATATGGGTAATTAGTATGGCAGCTTTGTTTACTGATGAAGATACGATATGGAAAAACATTTTACTCATATCTCATTCCTTACCTCCACAATTTAGAAAAAAAAAATAAAGCAAAAAGATTATGATATACCTATTCCAAGTGATTATTATATGGAACGGGCCTTTAATATCTTGATCATGACAAAACTTCCTACTTTAGTTATGTGTATTGTCGTTGTGGCAGGGCACTTAATTATCAAATGCTCAAATTCAAAGCTTTTTAGAAAAAGTTTTTGCTTGAAAATATACATGTATTAAGGATACAAAACATTGAAGTTACATGTATCTCAAAGTAATTTTCTTGTTTATACTGAAAAAGTATTAATCAGCTTGTCCCCTTTATTTCATTGACAAGTATATTTCGTAGAGGGGAGAACGTAGGGAAAAAATCAAGAGGATTTTAATCTTCTTTTACGGTTAAATGCCCCGATAAACACGGAGGTTAAAGTTGAAACTTAAATTCGACTTACCTGTTCTGAATATGTAATGGCATGAAGAGTTCTATCACTGTCACTGTCAGAGATGTTTTCAGTGTTAACATTACTCTGTCGTGTTTTTCGTCGAAAAGCCATGTCGAAACTGTAATGTAGATGTAGTTGAACTTTCACGTTAGGATTCGATTATGTAAATTCATGATTTCTGCATATGTACTTGATACTGTATTTGATCACACTAGGACGTATACGGATAATTGTAATCTGGCTCGAGTATAAACAGCAGGGAAATGACTGTTCCGGAAATGTTTCCCGCTTTATCTTTCGAGTAGTTTAAATATGTCTTTATGAATAACAATTAATTATAGGCTGCCATGAGACAATGCTTTGACAAAAAAAGTTTTAATTGAATTTTTGTTTCTGAAGAGTTCTATGTGCGCAAACCAAATGGTTAAGTTGTACATGGGGGAAATGTTAAAGATCAAGAAAATGTGTCTATGTTCGATAAAAAAAGAAAAGAAATTTCAGGTAATTCATGATGTTTTGCAATTGTAAATGAAATTTTCCTACAAACATTGAAATGAAGAATACTCTTGACTTGTGAAAGAGTTTCTGGTTTGTTGTAAAAATTGAATCAGTTTATCTGTTCTCAATTTTATCAAATATACATACAATTATATGTTTAATTACATAAATTAATACTTAAAATGAATACAAACAACATGAATTATTTAAGGAATTTTTTTTAGCCAAGCTTAATTTTCAAAACGATTGGTAACAATAAGATAAACATATCATGTTGAAAATAATATTCATGATTTCTTGTACAAGTGGTGATTTTTTTTTTTTTTTTTTTTTTTTTTTTTTTTTTGAAAGTGATGATTCCTTGTTTTTGACAAATAAGAAACAAACTTTTTCTCATAGAGATTGAAAATATCATAAATTCAAAATTAGGCACACGAATATTATTAAACTAAAAAATGTCGCAATTGAGATTTAAAAATACTTTTAATTCAAATGACAAAAACTAATGTTATTTATAAAACTTAATAAGTAGAAATAGCCAAGTGAAATATATGCAATGCCCACTGTCAATATGAAGTTTTTGGAGAAAATATCATTCCACATAAGAATAAAAAATGCAAAGAAAAATCCCCCAAGCATCATAATATCTATGTACATACATGTAAAAAGTGCAATGATTCAAAATAGATATGTTACCTTGCAATTATATATATATTATATATTTTTTAGATTTCCCAATTCTGAGGTAAATTTCCTACATATTGCATTCAAAACTTGCAATAAAAACTTTTCCTGAAAAAAGAAAATTGACTAATATTACGTACAAAAGGAGAAATCTTCAAACTCTAAATTTTATTTTTTGGTGGGAGGGGGTGGTGGGTCCATTAACGTACATATAGGAGGGACATGACTAAGCTGCATCGCAAACAGCTAGTGGGGAGGGGGTCTGGTGCCAGCCTTTCGATGATCATTTTCATACCTAATTAACAGCAAAAATTTACCTTCAGAGAAAAGTGTGGGGAAGGGGAGGGGGGTGGGGGGAGGAGGAGTAGCCCCCTACCGATCCTATTTGATTAAATGTTATGTTCACCTTAGTAGAAGTCGGGTGCTTGTTAGCTTTTCAGAACTTATTGTATCCATAATTTGGAAGTTATCAATCTATATTTAGTCCGATGTAGAAAATTAAATCTTTATGTTCACTTGGAGGGTCACGTACTGGTGAACATAACATACATATACATGTAGTATTTTTTTCTACACTATTGGATCTCAGCCAATCAGAACTAGGAATATGATTCAATCATATAATAAAATGGAATATCGTCTAGAGTTTTGGAAATTGCGGTAAACATTCCCTTCAGAGTCCTGAAAAGATAAGATAAAAACTAAAATATTACGTGATAGTTAATTTATAGAGATTTTATGAATGCGTGATAACACTGAAGAAAGTTGTTGTAAATAAATTTTAAATGCATAATTTTCCTTAGGGAGTATGTGTTCACTCAAACCAAAGTAACATTTTTAAAAACAATCAGTAAATTACCAAACTTTAAGGAACATGTTTTTATTATCAAGCTGATATTGCATGAATAATAAGCAATTCACTTGTAACTTTTTTTCTAAACGCATATATAGTGCTTCTTGCTTCCTTCAACTAATTAAACTATTTTGAAAAATTAAACATTAATTTTCTAATTATATACAAGCAAAACGATACACCTTTTATTTTCCTTAACCGGAAGAAAATTTTTATCACCGACAACAATCTACATCCGTCTAAAAATAAACAAACGGTGGAAATTTTCAAAGTAAACAATCTAAAACGAAAGTAGATCAGATGGATCATTATTTAATACTTACCTAAATTTCCGCAGCGACAACTGGTAAGCGAATTAAATATGCACGAAATACTTTTCATGTATTTTTAAAAGCATTACATATTGGAAATACTTGAAAAATGTCATTTTCATTATTGATTTAAAATATATGTTTGAAAGAAGTTTACTAAAATCTGTCATAATTTCATAATTAGTTATAACATAGTATTCAAAACAATGATGTTTCATCAAAAGTATTTTTAAAAAAAATAGAGGCAATAAAAATCTCAGAGGCCATGCACATTTAATTCGAAAGTAAATTGATATGGTGAAGTACCATATGGCAGTGTGCCAGTGGGTAAATGCTAAATGTCAGCAGATTTTACAAAATATCTCCTGTTAACATGCACAGGATTTTACTACTATTAAGTACTGAACTGGTCCCGGTTTTAAAACTACTAAACATTCCATTTATAAAAAATTCCAAGTGTCGATACTAAAACGCTATTAGAAAGAGATGCTTATTATGGTGACCAAAATTGTTTAGTCCTATATTGGTAGTAGACACATATAATTCTGTCAAACACCATGTTTATCATTTATGAGGAAACCAATTGTTTGATGGATAGCCAATATCATTCACCAATAATACATGTATAATTAAAGTATGTTTGTCCACCTGTGATTCAAAAAATGATAAAAATATCCACTTTTAGTAATATTTCATTTTATGTGCATGCTGAAAATCAAATCAATATTGATGTAAACAAAGCATCTATTTTGTTTTCTTAATTATTTTAAAAGAAATCAATATCTTAATTTGATTTTAATCTTATGTTAAATGGTTCAGATTTGACCCTTACTTAATTTGGCCGACTTAACCATTACATGTATTTGTATTGATACAGGAGGTAACACTGCTCCCCCCCCCCCCCAAAAAAAAAAAGGAAGAAAAAGAAACAAGTTTGCTAAGGATTACTTTATAATGTAGATACATGTGCTTAATTTTACCTGATTACTTCAGGAAATTATACTTTGTTCATTAAAATATGTAATGTAAATAGCCTACATATAACAATATTTTCATAACAAATTTAAATATTGTGAAATATCCTAAAATCCCAACAAAATATCAATATTCTAAAAAGAATCGACACTATTATATAAATTGGAAATCGATTTATCAATTTAAATTGAGAGTTATGGCTGAGGGATTACGAGTAGTCCGTGGTCCAGATTGGAATCTCGGGAATGAAGATAAAGGAGAGGGTCACGTTGGCACTGTTGTCAAGGACAACGGAGATCAATCATATGACGTTGTTTGGGACATGGGAGGCAAATCTACCTGCAGAGTTGGTATAGGCGGGAAATTCGATCTCCGCATTTTGGACAATGCGCCTATAGGTAAATAATTTCAATCCATGTCTAAAATGTATACCTTTGATAATTTTTTAAAACCGTGTTATACCAATTACGTAATCTGCATTTTTTGTTCAAATACGTATTGAAATGCATTTAAAGGAGTGAAACATCTGTCTCGGAAGTGTGCGGGTTGTCAGAAAAATACCATCATAGGTGTATTGTGGAAGTGTGCCTCGTGTGATGATATCAACTTATGTACGCCATGCTACTACATGGACAAGCATGATCTGAATCATCCATTTCAGAGGATTGATAAAAGGGACGCCACAAGGTCAAATCTCTTATGCATAAGAACTAATTGTACTAAGCTTTGTTCCAGCCTAAGAAATGATTAATTTTGTCCTCCCATTTAGCTCTTCATACATAAGGATAAATACAGATTGTGCAAGAACAAATTAAGTTGTTTGAAAGGGTTCAGCCCAAGAAGGGGGGCAATGTATAGTTTTTGTTAAAAATAAACAACTAGGGTGAAAAGCAAATTTTAAGGAAATAGATATTTTATTACCATACTAATAAGATTTTAAAGTTTTAAAATGACACAAGGTTATCTAAATCAACAAGTTTATCGCAAAGAATTTAATATTGTTCCATGCATCATGTAATGTAAAATTAATATAAAATTATATGAAGTTTTAAAAAATCATCACAAAGAAGCCCACCTGTTTTCTCTCAGTTTTTGCTTATACATGTAGCGCATTACGACAGAATATGAAATAATGCATACCCAGATCTATATAATTGTTCATCTCACAAACTACTGGGCTTTTTTTTAGAGTTAAACTAACTATACATTCTTACCCATTTTAAATACCTATAGAAATTCATGACAGATGTGGGATTTTATTCCAGGAGTTAAGCAATCTACAACAACTATAACAACCAAAACTTTAAATGGTTATCAATTGTCTTTTATATAAATCTTGAGGTCCCCTATGCCATGTTGTATGAATGGGGTGTAAATGATAATTCATCATCAGAATCAGTTAATCTGTTTCAAAAATGTCTGTAAAGAGGCGCTGCGACTCGGAAGTGTAAAATTTTGATTAATAGGATGGTCCCTAAAACCCATGTCCGGGGAATATCCAACAAATAATGACACAAATTCCTGGATAGTATGTCATTAAAGTAAAATTTGCTTATTATTCAATGAACTATTATCTAATTATAAGTTCACTCATGATCTTCATGCTTTATGCTGAAACTATATGGAAAAAATATCAACAAATACTACTTCTCCTTGATAAAATCACTCCTATCGTCTTAATAATACGTTCCTTCCAACAGCGAAAATCAAACAATGGTCATGGACATTCAACTATAATATTATATATTGTTGATTATATCCTTGCCATTTTGTTGGCTGTGCATAAATTGTTCATCATCATCATTCAACGATGAAAATATTACATTTTTTAATTACTTGTGTTGTTGTAACGGATTGAATAGAAACCACATTCTTTATTTCATTCGTTTCAGTATCGATATTCCAAAAAGAGCTAACAGCGTTAAAATGAAAGCACTTGGAATATTTCCTGGGGCCAAAGTTATCAGAGGCCCTAACTGGGAATTTGGGACTCAAGACGGTATGTTACTCTGCAGCTCATTTAAATCAGAACCTGCATATTTAAGACAGAGGCAATGATTTTTTTTTATCAAAACATGATAACAGGTGGGACTGGAAAAAAAGGAAAAGTGGAAGATATCCGTGGATATGGATCTGATGCAGGTGGAAGGAACGCTGTGCGCGTGCGCTGGGAAACGTCAGGGGAGGCCAATGTGTACCGTGTCGGATGTCGGGGGAAGGTTGATCTTCAGTGTGTGGAGGAGGCTCCTGGGGGTTACTACTACAGGGAACACCTTCCAGTGGCCGGTGAGTGGAGAACTAATTTAATCTGTATTGATTCCATATAAAATTATTTATTTTCAATTTATCAGAAATGTATTTAGGAAAAATTGCATCGACACAACAGAAGAATGATAAAAATTCTTCCGGCCAATCGTCTGAATCTGTTTTGAAAAAGGGAGACAAATGTGTCATTGACATGCCGGAACAACCTTTGAAAGAACTACAAAGAGGACATGGAGGGTGGTCTGTTAGAATGTCAGAGGTGAGTGAAATACTCATTAGATTGAATCAATTTTGATTGTCATTGTAATGACTTATCAACTCAAACTCTTTCTCAGTGCATTGGTGAAGTAGCTGTAGTGAAAGACTTTCCAAGTGATACTACAGTGGAAGTGGAGTACAAAGATAGAACCTATCAGTTCCACGCAGGCGCAGTAAGAAAGGTTAGCATGCTATTCTTTCTAGCTCGTCTGAGTCATAGGTTTAAATGAGCTTTTCTGATCAAAATATATTTCGCATGTAACATGAGCCTGCATGTTGTTCTCTGTTTATATTTCAACCTCTCCCAGATTCAAGGTATTAATCAAAATCAAACGCGCAAGCCAAAATGTATTCTGGAGTAAAAGATGATTCAAGTTTATTCAAATAGAGGGCAACATCTCATATCAAGGGAAGTTTATTGAGAAATTATGAAATTAAGATGGGTTTATGTCCCCAGTCATACATGTACATGGGTTTATTGAAAGGAAAACAGTATTTTATTTTTTCCATTTTCACGGAGAACTAATGTGGTCCCACATAGTGTTCAAAATTCTACAAAGTAATACAAGTGCTCAAGAACAACAACGGACTGATCTCTGAAAATACAAGCTTTTCACTGGCAAAAACGGGACCTTAACTTAGATTGGCGTTAAAATAGACTTAGAGTTTATTAACCTACATACTCCTATGTCATATATATGAATATTAACACGGTGATTGTTGTGGGCCATGAGCCTTAAGTATTTATGTATAATACATGCTAAAAATTAGTTAATAGAAATTAGAAACACCTTGTCGATATCATTACACCAGGTTTACGACATTAAAGTTGGAGACATCGTCCAAGTTCTGAAGGATGAAACAAAAGCAATTTTGCTTCAACGAAACCATGGCGGCTGGAATGACGACATGAAAAAGGTTTTTTTTAAATTTACGGAAACAGGCATCTTATTATCTTATACATTATGGTTTTCATGAGTTTAATGTGTAAACATATACAGTTTTACCTTTAGGTTTGAAATGTATTAAGGTTTTAAAGTAATTTATATTAATCCCATTATTTTCCTTAAAGTCGCTTGGACTGGTAGGTAAGGTGGTGAAGATAGATTCTGATGGGGATGTGGCTGTTGCTTTTGGAAACCAGGCGTGGGTATATAACCCTGGCTTACTGGTTCCAGTCAGTGGAAGGAAAGTTGACGTTCTTGAGGATGAGGGAAACGATATGGACGAGCCGTCTCAATCCAGAGGTAATTTTATTTTCATAAACAGAGGCCAGACATTCTTGATCTTGTGTAATGTCAACGCTGATATAAATTTAATAAATACCTACTTCAGATTCCCCTGAATCTGATCAGAGATATGAGTTAGGAGGAAGTCTTGCGCAGCTGATGGCGCATCTGGTTCTACTAGAAGCTCTAGGAGCACGACAGACAATTGGCCCACAAGAAATGTTTAACGCATGCGCTAAAGGAAATATCAGTGCAGTACACCAAATGATTCAAAGAAGGAAAGATCTGGTATTCATTTCACTCATCAAATGGCAACATTGTAGGAATAGAAATATATTGATTGTTATTAGTTCTTCACATCTGCAAACGATGCAATTAAAATTACTGTAGGTTAATAGTTGGTTCAAATCCCTGACCCCTTTGATGGTTGCTGGACATGAGGGACACGTCGACATCATGAAGCTGTTGCTGCAGAATGGGGCCAATATCAACGCATCTAATGACGATGGCATGACACCTTTACTAGTATCCATCATAGGGTAAAGTATTTTACGGGAACTTATTGGATGAAAATGTAAATAAAGAATTCAAACACTTTTTAATATGTACTTAAATATTCATTTTTATACTTAGTCAAGTCAAGAAAATTACGATATCTGTATAAAATATGACGAAATGTTTTCTATATTAGGAAAGAGGAGGACACTTCGATTTGTTTGATCAGAAATAAGGCCGATGTTAACGTCTGCAACAAACACGGACGATGTGCAGCACATCTGGCCGTTGAGAAAGAACTATATTCTGTCCTGAAGGCCGTACTGGAAGCCGGAGCAAGCCCAAACAAACAGGTCATAATGATATTTAGGGTCTATAATAACCCCTTCCCCCATATTTTATATTGGAACATTTATTTATCTGGTAATAGTTTTTTTTTTTTTAACTTTATGGAAGTACATTTAAAAAGAGACATTTGTTGTGTGTCTTGAATTTCTTTGCCGCACACATGATCTTACAACTTAACTCTTTTAAAACATAGGGGGTTGATTTTATAATTCATTTTTGTTATTAACTGTAAATTTGAGGTATATGTCCCAGAACGTAAATTTGAAGTTTAATTCATAACACTTGACATCAAATGTAAATCAAATTTTTGTTGTACTAACTTTAAGGAGTCTGACAGCTTATTTCCTGTATTGCATTAATATACTTTTATGATATTTACTTTAACATTTAGCATAAGATTTATTTGTTTGCATTCTCAGGACGTGGAGGGAGACACTCCATTACATGATGCAATTGGCAAAAGAAGTGATAGGGCAGTCGCCATTTTGTTGAGTCACCCACAAATAAATCTGAAAATTCTCAATAAAAAAGGTCACATACCTCTGATGTGGGCTGCTTTTAAAGACCATGATTTGTGAGTATTTCCTCCTGAATTAAATCTTTTCCTGACTGAAAGTCATTTTACAAGTTGTCACACCATTTCAGCGCGGTTGAGCGGTTGGTTGCAAAGGATCCGAGTCTGGTGAATGCTAGAAAAAATGACGGATACACAGCTCTTCACATTGCCGCCATTAACGACCATTCAGACTCAGCCAATGTCTTAATACTGAAGGTAATTATGGCAACAAGATAAAGAAGTATAAATGTTAATAAAGTAGTTAAGGTAATATTATCAGAAATGCAGTTAAATTATTTATATCAGCAAAGAAGTAAGTGTGATTGTGTCAGCAAAGTAGCACGGGTAATATCAGCAAGAAAGTGAAGAATCGTTGACAGCAAGGAAACAAAGGTAAAATTGAAAAGAAAAATGTAATGGCAAAAATAACGTCAACAAAGTATTTTGTGTAGGCAAAAATCTAATACAATATATATAAAGCAAGGCAATAAATAAAACATTGTTAGTATGTACTAAATAAATAGTGAGGCATTAGGTGTAATGAAACTACATGTAACAAAATAAAACAAGGCAAGATATAAAACAGGTATTTATGTAATTAAACAGGCAAAATAAAAGATAAAGCGATTTCAGTGAACTACGAATCAAAATGAGCAAGTTTTTAAAACTTAACATTTTTGGGAAGTTCTAGAGCGCTTTATTGTCAATGAAATAATCAAAACCATCTAATAAACTTCTTGTAAAAAAAAAAAACCGTTACCTTTAATTTGCAGTTTTATTGCTTTTATTTTTCCAGAATTTTTAATTCGTTTTAGCTTCAGTACATGCAGTTTATAGCAGTAGTACTTCATTCGTCGATTCATTTTTTTCTTTAATAAAATTGAAAATCAAATGTAATTTCATTTACAGGGTAAAGCACAAGTTAATGCAAAGAATTCACAAGGCCTGACACCACTACATTTAGCTGCACACGAGGGATATGATGGCATGGCAAAAGTTTTGATAATGAATGGTATTAAACCCTTAATACATCTTTATGAATACATGTACTTGGTATTTTTCCCTTTTAAATGGAATATGTTCGTTTGGATACGTTTCTTTGGTGTAATTTCAAGCTTTCAAAGTTTTTTTTCTTATTTACAATGGACCATTCCCAACAATGAAACTACCTTACTTCCAGCAAGTAAAATATTTATTCTATTAAGATATGAATGCCAAATTCCTTAGATTTTTAGAGCTGATTTGAATCAATGACTTGAAAGAGATGTGATCAAGAAAAGCTAATTGTAGTATGGTACATGTGTAATGAAATTGAATAATCATAGTAGATTGAAAGGCATCTGGAATCATCCAATCAAATCATTTTATATTTAGCCAATCAATGTTTACATTTCAGCCAATCAGAGTTTTCAAATCATTAACCAATCAGTAGTATTTAGGCATAGGATAAAAGGTATAAATACAGAGACCCATCTAATTTCGTTTACTTGGTTGTTGCTCATTGCTGTAGTAACACCTATAGGGCTAGGTTCTTGGGCTGTGTCGCTCTGTGAGTTGTCTAATTGTTAGTTAGACAACTCAGCTCAGGGATCTAGTTTCTTAGTGTCTTGGTGACTTTAGATTGTGTCTTGGTGACTTTAGTTTGTGTCGTCTTGGTGACTTTAAATAATAGAGGTGTCTCAGTGACTCTCTAGGGTGTGTTTTAGGGTAGTTGCAGACTGTGTCGGGAAACAACAGAATTGTTGGTTAAACCACTCAGTCTGCAGCTACAAGGAAAACGTTATAGATTTGATTGTAGGTGATTCTCTTGTTATAGTTCGTTTTTGTTTAGTTACCAATCATTATCCAGATAGGACCAAGGAAAAAGTATATATAGTGGATTTCAGTCAGTTGTTCTTATAGTGTCATTAATATTATTGAAGTTTGTTTTGATTTTACATTGTAAGCGTGATTCTTAGGAAGGAATCCTAAGCGGACCCAATTATTAATCATTTGTATATAGTAAAAACCTTACAAATTTGGTGGCAGCAGTTTTAGGAATTTTTCACGTTTATAATTTGTATTATCTCTATTGTTTGTTTTCTTTGTGGGCATATTGTAAAACATGGATAAGACTGACATTCACGACATTGACAAAGAAATCACGTTTATAGAGCAAAAATTACAAGAATTGAAGAATGACAGTTTAAACATTCACAATACTAGTTTAGCATCAAGTAAGGATATTAGTGCTAATAAAACAAGTACTCCAGATGTTCGATCAGATACGAAATCAAGAGATTCGGGTTTTGCGTCATGGAGACTTTCAGATATAGACTTTCACGGTGATGTTAAGATGAAAAAGCATCCAATAGAAAAAGTTTCTTGGGAAGATGAAATGTTGTTTGGTACAGGTAAAGTTCCGCTCGATGAAAACAAGACCTGGTTATTTAATGTCAACACCAGTCTCTGGATGTGCAACAGATTCAAACATTACTCATCGCCGAAATTATCGTCGCTTTGGTAGACTGGATGAGGGGACCAATAACAAAACGACAGCCGAGAAGAAACCACAGATCCATATAAAATCTGCAACATTTGATGGTACCGGGTCCTGGTTAGATTATCGTTCCCATTTTGATGCATGTGCCATGTTAAATAAGTGGACAGAACAAGAAAAAGGTCTTTATTTAGCAGTTTTCTTAAGAGGACAGACTCAAGGTGTATTGGGGAATTTGCCTAACACACACAAGCATGACTATGCCTTGCTTGTAAATGCCTTAGAGGAGAGATTTGCACCCTCAAATCAAAATGACCTATAGAGAACTCAGTTGCGACAACGCCGACAACGAGCAATGGAAACTTTGCCAGAACTAGGAAATCCATACGAAGATTAACAAATTTGGCATCCCCTACGGCACCAAGGGATGTACAAGAAACACTGGCAAAAGAACAGTTTATCGATGCTCTATTAGATTCTGACATGAGATTGAGAATAAAACAATCGTAAAATCGTAAAATGTTAGAAACTCAAACCTATTTACGATCAGTGGGGTCAGAGAAAACTGAGGGAAACAAAAAAGTCATTTCAGAACCAATCAGCACAAGTATGTTAGTAGAGCTGAAGGATGAAATAAGAAAACTTCGAACTTCGTAAAGAAGTTAATGACATGAAAGCAAAGACCTCGCATGATACTCTCTACAAGAAGAAATCCGGGGCTAACAGCAATAGACGATGTTATTTGTGTGGATCCCCAAACCATTTTGGACAGGGTTTTAAAAGATCTTCACAAACCCCATCATCACGTATTCATCTAGTACAAAGAAGTATCCTGTACAAAACACACGTCCTACAAAGCTCAAGTTGGCGTAAACCAGAACGATCCAGAAGCTGGAATGTACGTGAAAGCTACCATTCAGGGGATTGAAGCAAATTTGCTTGTTGACACTGGAGCAACCTTGTCAGTACTGTCCAGTAGACTTTATGAAGCTATACAAAACAAACCAGTTTTGTACAAAACTGATCAAACAGTCTCTTCCGTGGGACCGACCTAACTGTAAAAGGAAAAACTTGTCTTTGTATTAATCTGGGTGATAGTTTTTATAGCCAAGACGTAATTGTAGCAGATTTCTCTCTTGGTGGCGTCATTGGACTTGACTTTATGAAGAGATATAATTGTACAATAGAGGTAGTGAACGGGTATTTTAAAGTAAATGACAAAGTTTACAAAGTTGATTTCTTTGGCAAAATCGGGTGTTTTAGGAATAACTCAAAAGATATGATTGTTCTTCCTGCCAGAAGTGAAATAGTGACTTATTGTAAAGTCTCAATGCCGTCAAAACCCCCACGATATAAAAGAAGTTTTGGGTATGATAGAACCATCAGAGAAGTTTCTCAAATCAGGAAAAGCTTTCGTAGCAAGATCACTTGGCTATATAAAAAATGGAGAAATACCAGTCCGAATGATGAATCCATCCCATGAACATCAAACATTGTATCCAGGAACATTTATTGCGAATTTGAGTTCAGTCGACAATGTCTATGAACCAACATCTACTGTAAATAAGCCATGCAAAGATCTGCCGCCTCATCTGCAGGATCTGTTTGAGAGATCTAACGTTAATCTAAATGCTGGTAAAATACCTAAATTACAGAATTCTTGACCAGGTATGCAGATATATTTGCAAGGTCAGAGAAAGATCTGGGCCGCACTTCACTAATCAAACACACGATTGATACCAAGGATGCTCGCCCACTAAAAGAACCTCCTAGAAGAATTCCACACCATTTACAGGACGAGATGAACAAGCAATTAGATGACATGCTTGACAGGAATATCATAGAGAAATCAAATAACCCATGGGCATCAGGAGTAGTTTTGGCCAAAAAGAAAGATGGTTCTTTGCGGTTCTGCGTGGACTGCAGGCGTTTAAATGCAGCTACAGTCAAAAACGCCTACCCGCTTCCACGCATCGACGACTCGTTAGACAGTCTTGCCGAAGCAAAATAGTTCTCAACCCTTGACTTGTGCTCCGGGTATTGGCAAGTTAGTATGGACGACTCAGACAAATTAAAAACAGCATTTGCAACGAAACATGGTTTATACCATTTTAATGTAATGCCGTTTGGCCTTTGTAATGCCCCGGCAACCTTCGAAAGGCTAATGGAAACTATACTGAGTGGCTTGCAATGGCAAATATGTTTGGTGTACCTAGACGACATCATTGTTATCGGAACGTCGTTTACCAACATGTTAGAAAACCTCACACAGGTATTTGATAGACTATCTTCTGCCAACCTGAAGCTGAAAGCAAGAAAGTGTCACCTGTTTCATAAGACTGTTGAATTTCTCGGAACATGTAGTATCAGAAGAAGGAGTAAGCACTGATCCTTCAAAAATTTCTGCAGTTCAAAATTGGTCCGTATTTACAAATCTAACAGAGGTAAAAAGTTTTTTAGGTCTTTGCAGCTACTACAGACGTTGCATACATAACTTCGCAGCAAAGGCAAAGCCACTGAACAAATTGACTGAGAAAGGAGCAAATTTCAAATGGACAGATAATTGTCAAGCATCTTTTGACTCGCTTAGTCATGTACTTATCTCTGCACAAATTCTGGCCCATCCTGATTTTACCCAGTCATTTATTTTGGATACAGATGCTAGCGACGTAGCTACAGGGGCAGTTCTTTCACAGATACAAAATGGAGTAGAGAGAGTTATTGCTTTTGGAAGCAGAACCTTATCTAAAGCCGAACTTAAATATTGCGTAACAAGAAAGGAGCTGTTAGCTGTTGTCTACTTTACAAAGTATTACAAACACTACTTGTATGGCAAACAGTTTTTAGTCAGAACAGATCACAGCTCTTTGAAATGGCTACTGAACATCAAAAATCCAGAAGGCCAGCTCGCTCGATGGTTTGAATCATTGAGCAATTTTCAAATGACCATTGAAGATAGACCAGGGAATAAACATGCAAATGCTGATGCCCTCAGCCGATTACCTTGCAGAAAACCATGTTGTACATCTGGAAGTATATTTAATACTACAAGTAATGTGGCATCTCAAGATAAGTTGTCTCTAAAAGCCAAAGAAAACGATGACAAAGACATAAATCAACTAATAAAATGGGTTGAAAAAGATGTAAAGCCAGAATCCTCAGAGATTTCTGGTCATGGCAACTTCATAAAGTCTCTATGTTCTCAGTGGGATACTCTGGTATTAGAAAATGGAATGCTCTTCCGAAAGAAAAAGCACGAAAATGGCAAAGTCCACGAATCAGCTGGTGCAACCCCAAACAAAATGATGTTAGGTAGAGAGGTCGCTACACATCTGGATATGAGGTCCATTCTGATATTAAGAGAATACCACAGAATAGATGGGTTTGGGATTTACAAGGAAAATTAGAAGAAGCCCATGCACTTGTCAGGGAAATGACAAAGGCTAGTATAGAACGACAGAAGTGGTACCATGATAGAAAATTAAACTGGCAGTCATTTAAGCCAGGTGATAAAGTTTCGGTTTACTTCGGTAAGACTGGTAATCTCCCAAATTCTCATCATATTGGCAAGGACCATTTGAAATTATTGAGAAATTTTCAAATGTTACCTATAAAGCAAATTGTGGACCAAGGGGAGCATATCAAGTCATTCATACTGACAGAGTAAGGCCAGTGAAAGACCAAATCCTAGCATCAGAACCATTGCAAGGGAAAGATATTGCAGAAAAAACAATATCTGATTCTTATGATTACGATGCTGAAGACACTGAAGCTGCAAATAAGAAAGATTGTTTCCAGGCAGAGAGCAAACGACACAGGAACCGACCAGCTTATCTAAGTGATTACGAATCTTTCTAAATATGTAAATAAGAAATTTTAAATCCTGGTTTGGTAGGAAATACCTTCCGCAGTTTATGAATGTCAGTGTCTTTAACCTTATAGTATTATTATTTACCTATGCGAGGACGCATATTTTTTTCGAAGGCGTGGGTAGTGTAATGAAATTGAATAATAATAGTGGATTGAAAGGCGCCTGGAATCATCCATTCAAATCATTTTCTATTTAGCCAATCAGTTTACATTTCAGCCAATCAGAGTTTTCAAATTATTAACCAATTAGTAGTAATTAGGTATAGGATAAAAGGTATAAATACGGAGACCCATCTAGTTTTCGTTTACTTGGTTGTTGCTCATTGCTGGAGTAACACCTCTAGGGCTAGGTTCTTGGGCTGTGTCGGGAAACAACAGAATTGTTAGTTAGACCACTCAGCTCAGGGATCTAGTTTCTTAGTGTCTTGGTGACTTTAGATTGTGTCTTGGTGACTTTAGTTTGTGTCGTCTTGGTGACTTTAAATAATAGAGGTGTCTCAGTGATCTTTTAGGGTGTGTTTTAGGGTAGTTGCAGACTGTGTCAGTATATATAGTGGATTTCAGTCAGTTGTTCTCTTAGTGTCATTGATATTATTTAAATTTTGTTTTGATTTTACATGATTGTAAGCGTGATTCTTAGGAAGGAAATCTAAGCGGACCCAATTATTAATCATTTGTATATAGTAAAAACGTTACAGGTACATGTATCAAAATTTATAAAAATTTTGGAAGTTAATATCAGGTGTTGATTACTTTCTAGACCTATAGGGCCTAATCATTTGTTTTTTAAGATTTCTTCAAAAACAAATATATGTGAATTGCACTCCATGTGATTAAAAGTTTCATATATTGACTGTTTAGGGGCAGATGTAAACATAAAAGACGGTGATGGTGACACACCTTTACACCTGGCGTTAGGAGGACAACGGCAAACGGCAGGAGGAAACGATCCGGTACATATAAAATATAAAGGCCTGAAATCCTACATAATACATTGTTATACCTTCTGGAACCATACATATTATTTTATTTTAAATAGTTTATTTTTTATAAAAATATGTACTGTTTGTTGGAATGATGTAGTTTTTGTCTTTAGTTTCTTCGGCTGCTTGGTCTCACTGTAAACCCAAACGCTCAAAATCAGGAAAGATACAATATGGCGGTATTGATGATTCAGAAAGGAGCGGATTACGAAGCTATGAACAACAGAGGCAACGCACCGCTAGAAGTTTGCAAGAACGCAGAACTCCGGAGAGCGGTTAACAACTTCATACAAAAAACGTGAGATTTCAGTTGTTAGACCCACTGCATCACTGAAATAGATTGATTTAATTGCAGTATTTTTTTTACTTCTGATATTCAATGAAATTATTTCCCATGGTGTTTCCTTTGATGTTCCCATAGTCATTTCATTGTTTAACTAAGGCGACAATTTATAGATGAATCTGGCATTGGCTGTTGTTATATTTGTTTGACTTTCTGCCATTTAATGTCTTACTTGATTCAATTTAACAGGCGAGCTAGCAGACCATCAACAGGGTAATTACACTATATCATTTTGACGGAAGTTGTTCATTTTGCACTCATTTTCAATCTGTTCACTCTGAATTGCTGTTGGTAATCTTGCTTTAAAATAATTATACATGGACTTTTTAGCACATTAGGGGTTAAATCAAACTTCTACTATGCCTTTATTTGACCTGCGAAAATATGCACTGATCATATTCATGTATTCTGACGTAAATAATTTATCCTGGTACATTGTACGCACCCCATCGATTGCACAAACTTGTACTATATATAGAATTATTCTCTTTAGAGAAGTGAACAGGCTTTCGCCTACATCCACTTCTCTTCGCAAGCCTTCATGTTTTGATTCTGGAAAACGTGTAAATCTCGAACCGGTGACGGTCTACACTTCAACCGACATTTTGTCTAAAATACGTCTGAATGTACGTAATAGATGTGTTATATTAACAATTTTAACATAAACACACACAAGTGTCACAAGAAAACTGACCTTTAAGTATTGTTAATCCATTTTCACAAGTTCTCCATCCCGGATTTAAATTATGTGCAAGTAACTTTTGAAGTATTCAAAAATCTCTAATTCGGATAAAAATGGAAACTATTTTTACAAAATAATAATGAAACGAGAGAAATCGTCTACTCTGTTTAAACTAACGAGACGGTATTTCCTCAAGTTTCGTTCAAATTCTTTTGATCTCTGTTTTAAATCTTTTTTCATTTCTCGGGAAAGGTAGAGTTAATATCGTTTAAAAATAAAAGAAAATATTTTTTAGTATTGTCAGTGAGGAAGTAATGAAGTATTTTTAAAGCTCAAATTTACATTTAAATTGTATTAAAATAGTAAAATTAAGTATAGGTAATAAAATTTATTTTGAATAATATGCTAAATCAAAAGTGAATTGTCAAAAACTTTTTTTGAACATTAAAATACGTCTTCGCCAATTTTTCCAAATTATCCGACTTAAAATTTTCAATTTTTTCTTATAAGCTGTGGTAAATAAACATTAGTTTAAATCCGGGATGGAGAACTTGTGAAAATGGAATAACAATACTTAAAGATCAGTTTTCTTGTGACAATTGTGTGTATTTATGTTAAAATTGTTAATATAACACGTCTATTACGTACATTCAGACGTATTTTAGACGAAATGTCAGTTGAAGTGTAGACCGTCACCGGTTCGAGATTTACACGTTTTCCAGAATCAAAACATGAAGGCTTGCGAAGAGAAGTGGATATAGGCGAAAGCCTGTCCACTTCTCTAAAGAGAATATATATAGAATATAATTTGATATCACATGGATTTGATGTAGCCACTAATTTAGTACGTTGCGGTTTGCAACAAAGTAAAGTTTCCAACGTATCATTTCTTCAAGCAGTATTTCCTTTCCTAAAATAATTTTACTTTGAATATTAAGCTACTACATTTTCAGGTCTATGTTAATTAATGTCTTTATAAAGCATCCTATTTTAAGGCGCCGTTGAAGGGCCAGATAAAAAAAAATATCTATTTGTTCGGACAAATTAGTTATTTGTTCAGACAAATAAGTTATTTGTTCGGACAAATAAGATATTTTTCCCTATTTGCATGCCTGAATTCTGTTTAGAGTATAAGAAAGGTGTACGTTTGAAAATTCTTGGAACATTGTATTTCTTATTTTTATTTGTTTGTCGATTTATCAGTTTCAAGTATATCATTTCTTTTTAATCGGAATATTTATAACTTCATGAGATTAAATTTGAATTTTGGTGTTAATTATGACTGACACTTGGACATTTTCGAGGAAGCACAGCTGGACGAGCAACTACAGCTGCTGACTTTCATTATTTATTTATTTATTTTGGCAGGTTCCGACAGTCATGTTATATATTTCATTGAATGAGGCAATGTTCTAAATGAAGTTTTTGGAACTGATATGTTGTTGCCGTTTTTTGTTTGTTTTTCGTGGGTTTTTAATTAATTTCTTACATGATTCAATTTAACAGGAGAGCTAGTAGATCATCACCAGCTGGGTAAACTAATGTTTGAATGAGAGTCTTGATTCTTATTCATATTGCACTCGTTGTCAATCCTGTTCACTGTGAATGCTTCTGGGAACCTTGTTTGAAAATAACCTACAAATATCGTGTTCTCTCAAACTCTGAGAGTCATATAGCATATAAATGGCTGAATAAACCCTCTATAATGTCTTTTTAGCTCACCTGAGCCGAAGGATCAAGTGAGCTTTTCTGATCAAAATTTGTCCGTTGTCTGTCGTTGTTGTTGTCGTCATTGTTGTAAACTTTTTACAATTTCATCTTCTTCTCCAGAACCAATTTCAACCAAACTTGTCACAAACTATCCTTGGCTTAAACGGATTCAAGTTTGTACAAATGAAGGGCCATGCCTTCTTCCAAGGGGAGATAATTACGAATTAGTGAAAGTTTAATGACATTGTTTAAAAATCTTCTTCTTAAAAACCAGTGGGCCAGAAAATATAAGATTTGTGAGGAAGCATCCTCAGGTAGTGTAGATTCAAATTTGTTCAAATCATGATCCCCTGGGGTAAGGCTGGGCTACAATGGGCAATCAAAGTTTTATAAAGGAATACAGTGGAAAAAATCTTTAAAAATCTTCTTCTCAAGAACATCATAGCCATGGTTGGTCATGTTAATATTGAAGCATAGTCAGGTAGTGTATATTCAAGTTTGTTCAAATCTGAATCCCTGGAGGCAGGGAGAGACCACAATGAGGAATCAAATTTTTACGTAGGAATATATAGGAAAGATCATTAAAATCTTTTTCTCGAGAACAGCCAAGCCATGATTAGTCATATTAATATAAATAGAAGCATCCTCAGATAGTGTAGTTTCAAGATTGTTCAAATCAATCAATAACCCCAAAGGGGGGGGGGGAGGGGGTAGGAGATAAAACTTACAGGAAAATAATTTTTAAAATTCTTTTAAAGCCATTAATAGTAAAAAATACTGAAGTACCCTCAGTTAGTGTAAATTTAAGTTTGTTCACATCATGCTCCGATTAATAGTTAATAGGTTGGGACCACTCAGATATTTTTAACTTTTTTATACTGAACTGATTTCTCCTCTTTCCTAGCCAAAGTGCTCAGGTGAGCGATGTGGCCAATGGGCCCCTCTTGTTTAAAAAATGATTTAAATTTAAGAGGGATTCTTGTCTGGTTTCTGACTAGATGAAATATTCAAAGTCTATTTGCTTATATGTTTTATATATTTAGATGTAAGTAGTTTAAAAGATCATATTTTTCTTTCCTCATCACAATTGTACAACGTTAAATAGAAATGGTAAACTGAGTTTGAAGTCTAGCAGGGACTATATTTTTGGCGGAATGGCGGCGTATGAAAATATCTTCTTTTCTGCCTCTCAAAATTATTGTAGAACAATGAATTTAGTTATAATTTTTACACAATCAAAGACTTGAAGAAATTTTTAAATGTAAGTTAAATTAATAGTAAGGGACTAAAGTTTTAAAATATGTCAAATAAATATGATTTTACAAAAAACTACAATTATGTTAGCTTTTAAAAGCTTCCAATCTAAGTACAGATTTAAGCAAAATCTACGTAAAAAGTATTTTTTCTCTCTTTTCTCTCTTTTTTCTCTCTTAGTAAACGATCGAAAGTTTTTGTTTTTATATATTTCTGCATCTTAATGTGACAACTTTACCATATGTGAAAATAAGAAAAATTTAAATATAGGAAGCATATAAAATAACTAAAAATTTTAGAAAAATAGAGAAAATTCGGATTAGCAAATATCCATTTTAGTAAAATTATTCATGTCAATTTGGTAATATCATCTTATAGACCCTATATGGTAATATTTCTTTATGCAAAAAGAAAAACATTTCATCTTTTGAAATAGAAGTAGGCATCGCATGATTGGCAACAGTATTTTTTTTTTATTCTTAATGTCCAGGGAAAAGGTAATGACCTTGACCTGACCTTGCCTCTAATATAAAACGGTCAAATTTAATCTTACTGATACCATCACTTAGTGATATTGTCTTCTTGATTCTGTGAAATTTCATTGATTTTTAAATACTAGAAATATGAGAAAAATTCTTCCTTAAACAATCTATCCAGGTATATTTTGCTCCTTTAAATACATAAAAAATATGTATTTATTTTAATTCATTCATTCACGTATCATTTCTTCAGGCAATAATAACTTCTTTGTTGTAACTAAAATGTATTTTGTATAATCGGTTTCAAATTTAGATTTATGTATTTAGATCCGTTTTGTAAATATACACTCTTGTGTCAATGTATTTATGAATTTTGATGTTCTCTTCATAAGAGAGCTTTGCGTTTGTAATTTTTCTTACTTCTTCATATCTAACATACATTGGTCTTTCAGTCTATCAGTTTACCATGTTTATATATACTTTCTTTCTTTAATCTATGTGTATTATATTGCATTTGATTTAATGAAAAAAATAAATTTTTGCTACTAAAATTTTCGGGATTTTTTTTGTTGTTTGTTTTTTTTATTGATTCAGATTATAATTTACACTTTAACATTTTCAGTCGAGGTGGTGCAGCCGGACGAGCACCCACGCCTGCAGAAGTTTTACAGGGACTGTTCGCGGAGCTGCCCATCCCCTGTGTCCGATGTAAGGACTCCACAGCCAACACACGGCTCCTCCCATGTAAACACAAGGTCCTCTGTACCGACTGCTGCTTCAGGGTCCAGCAGTGCCCCATGTGTCGTCAACCTGTCTCTAACAGATGTGACCTCCGTGAGTTAAAGTTTCCATGTCCTATACATTAAAAAATCACCATCCGTGGAATTCTGAATAAATGTGTTTATAAAAAATAATTATGTTCATCGAGTAACACTTTACTTAAAAATGTTTCTAAAAAGTTATTCCCCTACTGGAAATCTTATGTAATGCTTACCTATCTTTATTTCAGAGGGTCGTATCCTGGTAGACCCGTGCCGTTTACAGTAAGATAGGGAGGGATTACTGTGATATGACGTTTTATGTGAATATTGTCTCATTAAATAGTTGCCATTACCACTATATTCAATTATTGAGCATTAACGTTTTGAGTGGCTTAAAACTAATAACATCTTCGGACAAATATTTCAGCCAATTTGTTCAATCTTAGCTCTATATATTATAGACATTGTTTTATATAATTATGTGCATTGTTTATACATATAATTATGCAAATATTTGCAAGGAGACAAAATTTATTCAACATTTTAAGGTTACCTGAGTCACTTAGGTGACCTATCCTATCTGTTTATTGTCCGTTGTCGTAAGTCATCCGTAAACATTTGAACGTTTTCAGCTTCTTTTCTGGAACCGCTGAATCTATTTCAACCAATATTGATAATCTAGTCTCTATGGGCAAAGGGGAACAGAAGTTGTGGATTTCATGGTTTCTAGTTTCCCATGGGCTTGAAGGTTGGGAATGAGGGAATCGTCAAAATGAATGAAATCTTAAAAAATCTCTTATACATCTGGACGTCATACAGTCAAACTGTTCACATTATTATAATAAGCCAAAATTGTGAAATTCGTGTCAGGGTCAGGGATTCTGTCAGCGCGGGGCATTATTGATCATATAGTGAAAATTTAATTTGATTCTTTGAAAATCTTTCCTCCGGGTATTTAGCAGACAAACTAAGTGCATGGTTTTGATGAGCAAGGGTTTCTCTTCCAAGTTTACGAAATTCATAGTTCCTGGGTCAGGGGTTCTGGAGTTAGGATGGGACTCTTGATAATCATGTACGGATTTTTTTTCCTTTGCTCTAAGAGGTTATTCCCCCTTGTTATTCACCTAGGATTATGATTAATCATTGTAAATAATGTAATTTACAGGTAAATCGGATAAAAGGATTATACATAAACTTTTGATGATCGAATAGTCAAGTACTTATATAATTTTTGATGGTCAGGTAGACTTGTAAATAATATATGTAGTTGAATAAAAATGAGATAAAAATACCTTATATCTACGAGGGGTGGTCAAAAAGTTCGTGAACTATCTCAATATCTACAAAACCACAATTCAGATCAGAATGAAATTTGGCATACTTATAATTTTTCCAGATTATAGTGCCATCAAATGTTCGTAGACAAAAAATCAGCATGCATTACCAAGGGTTTTGAAAAGAATATCAATTGATGAAAATTCTTGTATATTTCAAAGAAAAATATACAAAAATTACTAAACATACATTCTAGATGTCTTGTTTATCCAAACTTGTTTTAGAGGAAGTGTACAATAGCATACATAGGCATTAAAATGTCTACACAGTTCCTTAAGTATTGGAACTCTTCATCTCCAGAGAAAAAGACAATAAAGTTCAAACTACGTTGCGTATGTCCTTAACTATATTATAATTATTAAATCCCTTAAATATCATTTACTTTAGACTTTAAACATATTAGATATGATAAAAAGAAGGTGCCCATTCTTTATCTTAAACGGCGCTCCAAAGACAGAGGACTCGGGTTGTGATGGTCACCATGCTAAATCTGGGAAAGGATATCCTTATCCATCCATCCTATTGCCGAGATTTCACCATTTCCGACAAATGGACTGTTCTTATTATAAAAAAAAAACTTGCATGGTAAGAAATATAAGACTCTGAAAAATCTTTTAGCTCCTTGAACAGAACACTACGGAGCATGTCACTTGACCGCCAATATCACATGATTCGCGCATGGGCAGAACAGTGACATGTGCATTTAAATCGGATGAACACTGAAACCTAATGCCATTTCTTTTATGGAAGTAATTCAATTAGTTCGCGAACTTTTTGATCACCCCTCGTAATATTAAATGTTATTCAAAGACCAAGTGTTATTCAAAGACCAAGAGAGTGTACAATGTATGTTAAGATGTATTTCAATTTTGGTTTTAGCTGTTACATTTTATTAAAGTATTTGAAAAAATATACGTTCTTTGTTTTTAATTTGGTAGGAAAGAGAAATCGTGCATCATTCATCCCAAATTTGATATGAATGAAACATAATAAACAATGAAGAGTCCTTTTAATGGAGGCAATTATTGTGACAGACTGTGGGGAAAACACAAAAAGGGGGGGGGGGCTGATAATGTGGTGGTATGAAATTTAGTAGATCGGAATATACATTATTAGAATTATTTTATATGAAACTTGTTTACTTATTGATATTTGAATAATAGAACCTTGTGATTCTTTTTTTCTTCTTTTTTCATTCACCTGACCAATAATAAATGGAAAATTATAGAATGTAAATGGAAAATTATGCAATACAAATGGAAAACCATACAATACAAATGGAAAATTATAGAATGCAAATGGAAAATTATACAATTCAAATGAAAAATTATGGAATACAATAGGAAAATTAATTATAGAATACAAATTGAAAATTATAAAATACAAAGGGAAAATTATAGAATACAAATGGAAATAATAAAATACAAAGGGAAAATTATAGAATACAAATGGAAATAATAAAATACAAAGGGAAAATTATAGAATACAAATGGAATATAATTATAGAATTTAAATAGAAAAGTATAAAGTGCAAATGTAAAATCATACAATATAAATAGAAAATTATGCAATACAAATGGAAAATCATACAATATATATATATTGAAAAATATATGTAAAGGGGAAAATTTTACAATACAAATGGAAAATTATAGAATTTAAATAGTAAATTATAGAATGAAAATGGAAAATCATACAATATAAATTGAAAATTATACAATTCAAATGGAAAATTGTGGAATACAAAGGAAAAATAATAGAAAACAAATAGAAAATTAAAAAATACAAATGAAAAATCATACAATAGAAATTGATACATGTAGATACGAGAATACATATGAAAAATTATTATAAATTATATGGAAAATTATAGAATGCAAAGGGGAAAATCATACAATGCAAACTGAAATTTATATGATTTTAATGGAGAAATATGGAATATAAATAAAAAGTATAGAATACAAAAAATATAAATACAAGTAGAAAACTATAGAATACAAATAGAAAATTATAGAATAAAAATGGAAAATTATTCAATACAAATAAAAATTATACAATACAAAAGGAAGAGATCGAATATAGCAATGTTTAACATGCCATACAATCTACGCTTACATTGCAAATTCAATTCAATTTCCGCCAATTATCATATACTCTAAGAATAATACATGAAAGTAAATTTTCTCCAATTTTGACCAAAGTCACGAGAATTGAATACAAATTCCAAGGTTTACGTTTTATAGTTTTTACATCTGCAGATGTAAGTTTCTCTCTCTCTCTCTCTCTCTCTCTCTCTCATCCGTTTTCTTGCAACACTCGCAACGAACAAACATTAATTTTCTTGCAGTCCAGTGTATACTGTATTTTTGCTGTGCATTTATTTCAGGAGTTGCCTTGTCATCTTCTGCCACTTGAACATATCGCTGGATTTCATTATCTTGTCTTTATTAGGATTTATCCGGATTTATGTGCAATTCTAATATATTGAACAACTGCACTAATTAATACATGGATGGCTTATTCAAGCTTTTAAAAAAAAAAAAATAATTCTTCTACCATAATCTGCATTTACATACAGGACATACTAACATAAAACAACGTTGACATTAAAATTAATTCCTGTGGACTTTGATGGTTTTGTTGTACCTTCCAGTTTCAATGCTTAAAACGTGTGAAGATAATTTAGATTTACATTTTTGAAACTTAGCAGGAATTGATATTCTTAGATAATACTGTATATAAAATTCATCAATTAGATATGAAAAGAAGAATTCTACTTTGAACTTTCAAGTTTAGCAAATATTTCTTGTTTAGCCTGATATGAAATCCTTTATCAATGACTTTCAAAGAATTGAATTGACTTTCAAGGTAGCTGCATTAATTGTTGTTCATTCCAAACTTCATTAAACGAAATTCACTTAAGGTCAAGATCTAGTAAATGACTTTAGACTAACATTTTGGTGCTAGATCCATTATGACATCATAATCCATTTCATCTTTCTTTTTCCCGTACTTTACGGCTCTAATAGAATTATGAGGAAAATAAAGTATTTCATGGAATTCAATTTGAAATCATATGAAAAGTAATCCCGATACCTATATTAAATTTGATATTATTTCAAAGAAGAGGCCAAGAACAAACAAATTACCGTTTTCTGAGAGACTGTAGGCAATATGAATACATTTCCTTTGTCTGATAATCAAAAAACTTCCATATTCATGACTGGTTTTCTTAATTTCATATTGAAAATGACAGTTTAAAATATGATTTTTCATCTTGTTTACCTACAAATTATGTCCCGAAACACACTATTTGACAAAGCTTAAGTTATAAAACATCAATAAAGGAATTTATTGCTCAAATTTGAGAAATCTGTAGGCACCTTTCATTTTCTAGATCTTGACCTTAAGCATTTCTTCTCTGATAAGCCAATTTCTTCTGTTAATGACCTTGAAATTATTTATGCATGAATAATGTTAACAATTGTAATTGCAAGCTTGTTGTTTGCTCTCCAATTTTCATTAATTTCATTTATTCTGATGCATCGAAAATAGACCGTTGTGTGGTCAAGATAAATATTCACTTTTAGGGGATTTGCACTAATTTTCCATACGCCGCGCGTGAAATTCAAATGATCAAGGGGGAAAATGCAGTTTAATTTCCTTTTTAGTGTAGATACGCAAGAAAACCTTTAGACTTCATTTTTTAACGTAAATTTTGATTTCTACTTCACGTTGCATAAAAGTATCATTTTTCTCTATATATTCTACCTGAACATGTACAACTTTCGGCAAGAGTAAACTGTAATTGATTCAAAACAAAACTTGGAAAAGGGGTACGGGGGCTTTTCGATTTTGCACCGTGACGGTCATTGATAGTCTATAGAAAAACAGAATAAAAATACATTATGCTTGAGAGCCTCATAGTAAAATAATCCAAATTCTTTCAATCAGGTATAATTATTCAAACTATTTTCCTATCGTTGTGTTCCTTTTCATTTCCTGAATTAGTAACATTCAATGTTTTCTATGTATGTATTGTTTTCCTGTCCTTCTTGGACTAATTTTTAGACGGTGGCTATTTATAGGCACGGGCTATTGCTGCTGCTTTTGGCCTATAAATAACAACAGTGTAAAATCACGGGGACCCTAGCGGCGATTTTTGCAGAGTCAAAATAATGAAAATAGGGTTGATTCAGTGTTTGAAAATAAAATGCACATAGTTAACAAATACTCTCAAGTTATTTCAATGACATTTTGTTGATGGGCACAAAGCTTAATTCCTGACATTTGCCGTTATCGATATTTCTCGCTTCATGACTATTCATTAAATTACGCCGACCTACACAGACTGACTCGTGCATTCGTATGCAAACTACAGAAGTCACATGCCTCTTTTTAACGTTGTGTTAATGTAAAATTTAAATAATATTAATTAATAATCAGAATGTGTAAGGGAAAAATATTTGAGAATAATGGTTTCACAATTTGAGAATAATGGTTTCACATTTTAACTTTGAAATCAAATAATTATAATTGCTAAACAAACGTACGGTGGTTTCTTAGTTACATGTTTGCGACAAACGGTAATTACGAGACGTTCCCAATTTGATACTCCCTTATTATGAGATACTCCATGCTAGGAAAGCGTCGATCTTCAAATTCCTCCAATTCCAAAAGTACAATATGATTCGAGGACTGCACATTCCTTGTTCCGGAATTGCGTTTTTATAAATGTTTTATTTGAGACGTTTTGTATAATTTTTAAACAATAAAACTTTTAAAGTTAACAGTAATTTTACGATGTCTTTTAATTGTTTGAATTTCTAATATCTGTTGACGATAATATATTAGAAATATATATATTTTTCGGAAAGAGAAAAAAGATCACGACATCTTATCGATAATCAGTTAATAAAAGAGTTGTTAGAGGCAGATACGATGCCATAAAATTTGCAAAGTTTATTACGGTTCTATCTAAAAAATAATAATAATAATAAGCCATTGCCTAATTATCTCGGACACAAAAACTACTGAACGAATGCTAATTTATCAAAGTTATAATTAAAAAGACTGTGACAGACAAAAGTTAACAATATATTTCATTTGTATTTGAAAATTCTATCGTGCCTCGAATAAAATTTACCCTTTAAAAAGTGTAAGAAAAAAGGTACTAAAATGCACGTGCATTAAATATTAGGATTTTCTTGCAAATTCAGTGGGCTTAATTTAGGTCGGTCTTCTCCTGCGTGTGTTCACAAATTAAATTTCGCATTGCGCAATGACTAGCAGCAATAAGCAGGGTCAGTGCATATTAAGATTCCGTATGAGAAATAGCATCGTCATAAACCACGGCCAAAATATACGATCTTCTCCCCATTCTGAAGAGAGCTATATGCGGACTCCCGCACCGTGGCTTGAGACGATGGAGAAATAGAGGCTGACAAATATTTTGTTTTTCTGTTCTTCTTTTTTTTTTCTTTTCGAACAGTATATATCAGACAAAGAAGTACGACTTCTGTACAATTCCTGAAGTCTTTCAAACTTTTAGAAATAAGTTAATTACAGCCAGGGAATTTGGCAAAGATGGGAATCCAAGGATAAAGTCTATTTCATTATCTTTCTGCATATGATTTATGTCGCACAATCTACAGTACATGGCCGAAAGTGATTTATCATTTCCCTTTTTACCATATACTTTATGAAAAGTAAGTTTTTATTTAAAAATATTGTGGGTTCAATTCTACTCAAAATTTCAAAAACTTCTCCAATAAGTTGCGAAAAAATTTTCATATTTTCTTTTTTTGGGCGGGGGGGGGGGTGCAAAATTTGATTATTGATCACTGAGTAAAGATTTGAAATTATAAAGTCAAAATTTCTAACTTCAAAACATCACGATTTCATTAAACATTTTTGTAAAACATGCATCTTAGAATAAAAATGTTCGGTCACTACATGAGTATATTAGGAACCTTGATTCCCTTATGATTTAACATTTAGGGTAAACTGGTTTTGACAATTTAAGCATTAATTTATGGGAAAAAATACTAAAACATCCCAAAATCCATTATTTGAATATATAATTTCAATCTGTCCATCATCCAAAAATATGTTTTCGTTTTTAAATTTGCCGTTATGACTGTACACCACAATAGTACATATAGGAAAAAAACCCTGAAATGATCGAAGTTTCGTTTCTGGCATTTCAGGATAGTTTTTTTTTTTATTCAATTCTTATTTTATATTAGATATAATGTAGAAAATTTCATGCAATACATTTACAACTTCAATTAATACATGCCCTCATTATACTACGGAAATATAAATTTACTTATTAAATTTGCTTATTAAAAAAACATGTATCGTGAAAAATTGCAATAAACTTTTTATAATTTCCCTCATATCATTTTACAGATTCTTATAATATTTTATCTCATTCAATGCCAGTCGCCGTGTGGCGCAGTGGTTAGCATTTGCTCTAGAGGAGTCGATCCTTACGTAGCGGGTTCGAATCCCACTGCGGGACGTGGAGACAGTTAAACCGAGGTGCCGTGTCGCAGTAAGTGCTGGTCAGATAAAGATCCCTCACTACTCAATGGCCCGGAGTGCTGAATATAGACCTAAATTCGTAGCCCACCAACGGCAATAGTGATGTCTCAATATGAGTGAAAAATTCTCGAGAGGGACGTTAAACAAAACAAAACAAAATCATTCATTCCACCGTCTATCAGTGTTTACAGTACTTTGATTAGTTACCAATATTGCAACAAAGTACAGTTAAACTTTGGTATCTCGATCACCAATATCTCAAATACCATGGATATGTAAAAGTGATTTTGAAGTCCCAACCACTTATTCTTTAAATGTTTTACACTCAATACCTCGAATTCTCGGATATCTCCGGTCCTATCGAGTTCGAGATAACGAGGTTTGACTAGCGAGGTTTAAAAGACTTCGCGCATTTATAATATAAGACACCAGCATTGATATCACATGTACACTCTTGCTGTCTATACAATAGGTTTTCGGTGAATACAAAAGGGTTTGTTTTCCTTATTATGGATATTTCCTTCTCAATACGCGTCTTTTGTAAAGCACTGATACCTTAACCACCTTGAAACGCGAAAGGGTTATCATACAAGCAATTACTTAAAACGAAAGTAGGACTTTTCAAAACAATATTTAGTTGAGAACTTTTCATATACTATAAGAATGTCGACCGACAGCCCTTACGTGATAAGCAATATCACAGCACCGGACAGTCTTCCTTCAGCTGTGGTTGTTTTAACGATGGTCAGCTGCCTCTTCTCTGTGGCTGGAGCGGTGGTGATTTTCGTGGCGTATTACGCGGTGGAGGAAGCAAGAAATCAGACCCGGCGACTACTGGTGTACATAACCATAGCTGACCTGTTAACGTGTCTTGGGAATCTAATCGGCTCCATCCGATATTTTCATCGAGACGAGGATGATTACGTGAACAGAGCAGAGAATATGGCGCTGGACTGTAGTAACACGGATAGTGTTTGTGTGATACAGAGTTTTGTTACCACATTCTCTACATTGGCATCTTTCTTTTGGACATGCATTATCATGCTGCATATTCTAATGACACTCTACACAAGAACGGAGTGGACAGGGTTCTACAAACGAGTCATTTTCCACATAATATCGTGGGGTGTACCTAGTAAGTTTATACTTATTTTAATTAATCACAGAAGTGGTAGTCAGGAAATATATTTATTTAAAAAAATCAAATTAGCTTTAGATAAAAAAAATTTCAAATAAAATATTAATTCATGCAAAATTTACTTTGTAATAAAAAGAATATGTTTATATAGTAAAAAGAATCCAAAGACAAAATAATGTTTTTTTTGTTTTGAAAAAGAAGATATATGCAACATCTAATTGATTTCAAAAAATGTAAAATTTAATTTTGAATGTGGTATGCTTTCTTTTCAGTCAACAATAGAAAAGTATTGTTATTGGGTTTTTTTTTTTAATGTAATCGGTAAACACACTTCTTGAATAGTTTTATTTCCTTCATTGCTTTGAAAATATATAAAGTTAACATAAAATGTTTCGTAGACTTAAAATTTTTGAATAAATTAAGTATAACAAATCAAAACATGTTAAACAATGCACCTTCTTTTGAGGTAAAGTTATAAAACACAGCACATGTAAATTAAATGCAAAAAAATATTGAAAAATTGTTTTGAACATATTTTATTGAGTACATCAAAAGGATTGGAAACAAGTTTTATACAACTTACTAAGTTCCTCTCTTTATATATTACAATATGTCATGCAAATTAAAAGAAAAATACATTTATAACAATTAATACAAGTGAAAAAAAGCAATTAAATAACATATCAACTAGAGAATCTACATGTTTCCTCAATAAATTTATGAACAGCAGCAAAAATACTGCTATTTATCTATAAAGGCAAATTAACATCACCACATAATAATAGATTTGTATCAATATTAACCAGTTCAAGAGAGAACAAGCGATTAAAAAGAGTACTTCTTGCATTAGAATAATTTTTGCATTTGAAAAATTCAAATGGCTACTATAATTTCTTAGGTATATTCTTGTACATTTATATAAAGTACTTTTAAAGCAACACTGTGACGCACAAACGGGAAAATTGACAAACATAGAATTTTTGTTTAACCCATGCAAATTTTGTTCAATTACTGAAAGTATAAGGTTTCAGAAAATTACAGATTTCGAAACCTAAAAAAAATCTACTTTTATGGAGAAAAAAATAAATTTTTGTAGGCCCAATACGAAAATGTTGTCTTACTTCTTCCTCCTTATTGTACGCGTGCGCAGAAAAGTTGAAGAAGTTACCAAAGTCTCAAGTACCAAAAAAATTAATGTAGGTAGACCAAGAATTTTGATACAGTCTTTAAAAAAAGATTATTAGAACAAATTTCTCACCTTTGCATCCTCCAATTGAATGCTGTCTACAAGTTTACGCTAAAAAGAAAAGTGGCGTGACCTTGACATGTAGGACAACAGCGGTAGATACAACCTTTGTTTTCCTGGCACTTACATGTATATCGTACAGTCGTTTCTTGCTTTACAGTACAGTTTATTTGTCATATCTTCGCTATACTCATAATTTTCATAAATCTCTCGTTTTATGATACAGCTATCTTAAAAGAAACACATGGTTTTGACTCATTATGTAGCTGTAATATTATTTGTACTGTTTGTATTGTATACCAGAAGTAAAATTTAAAAAAAGAAATACACATATAAAAGGCCTTTAGCAATTGGTCATTCTTATATCTATTAAATGAAATAAATTGGACAAGAAAATAAAATAATCAATAAAATCCTTGTTTAATCAATGAGTTATTTCTTATTAATTGTACTGCAATTAAGGTGATTCCATCTTGTAATTATATTTTAGGGTAAATTTGGAAAAGGTCTCTAGACGAGGACTAGGTTTGTTACTAGCCTATTTAATTTTTAAATCTTATTTTCCAGTGATAATAACATTAACGGCAGCTTTCTGCGGTGCTCTGGGAGAAGATTTTTCTATTAGTACAGGACCCTGGTGCTGGATCAAAGGTTGTCTCCCCCCATCAGAAGTGGTCACATGGATGTTTGTGACTGCCAAATTCTGGGAACTCTCTACTTACATTCTGACAACAGCATTCTATCTGTTGATTAAATTTGTACTTTGGCGGAGACAGGTAAAGCTCATATAGAGATTTTTTTCTGTGCTTAGGATGTTTTTGAAACAAACTTTTCAACCAACATTTCCTTTAAGTTTACAACTAATGTAGTGCTTATAGAGTAACAATAGAAATGGGTGGAATGTTTTGAATATATGTTTTGTTTCAGATTCTTTCCTTCAGACAGAGAAGCAATGACAATCTTCGTGAGGAGGATCAGCTATACACCATGATTTTCCTCGTCCTTATTCCTCTAAGGATCTTCGGAACTGGTCGCTTCTTCATCGCTTACCACAAAACTCTAACCAACAACTCACTTGTCACATTTAGCACTATCGACAAAGTTTTGCTTTACCTTCAGAGTATCGGCGATAGTGGACAAGCTTTCTGTAACTGTATCCTCTTTTGTGTCAGAGACGGAGTTGTTCGCAGTGGTCTAGTTAACAGTATCAGACATGCATGTCAATGTCGACAGAATGATGAGACTGAAAGACTACTGCCAACTTCGCCCCTTAATTAGACACCTATATTTGTCAATGTCGACAGAATGGCGAAACTGTAAGACTACTATTAACTTCACCACTTTAATAGACACCTACATGTCGACAGAATGTTAGTACTGCAAGACTACTGCCAAATACATCCCTTAATTTTCACCTACATTAATCAAAGTCATGACTTGAAAAAGTTCATAGTTGTATATATATATATATACATATGTACTTGTATTAAATATACTGATCCTATACAAAGTTTGATAATGCTATATGAATGCGATTACCCTTATATATTGTATTACCAACAGTGATCCCAAGAAGTTTAGGACATGAATTCCAGCTAAATTTGCATAATCTTTTAACGAAGATGATCTGTGGCATATTTGTTTGAAATTTAAAGCTAAGGCTCTGGAGAGAAGGATGAACATGTTAAAATGTGACAAACAAAAAGACAGACATACATCGTACAAAGTCTATTTGGCTAAGTATTTGTAGAAAAAGTCGTAGTGAGTTTTGCCAAGGTTAAGGACCTTTACATATGAAAGATATATATATATAGAGGCTTCTATACATCCGGGCTTTTATAAATAATATCAAATATCAAAGTCTACCTTAAGTACCTAGAAGACCACATGGAAATGTAATATTATGTTATTCTTCGTCAAGGACAAACAGTTTTAAAAGCTAGACCTGGAGCCTGACCTAAATTCTAATTTAACTTGAGTGTTCAGATTTAGTCAATGAAATCCAAACATATCAGTATGTCGGCATTTCTTTCCAAAAAAATCATGCGGCTCGGTTTACAAATTATCTCCATAAATTACAAGTGCTTTGAGTGACAGGAGTATAAACCCTTAAAGCGTCAGTGCGTGACTAAACTTACATGTAACTGTCGTTTTTAAATCGAAAGTACGTTTTACATCTCGGAAGTATGTCTGCAAACAACAGTTCCCAATGGAGTAACGAGACGAACCCCGATCCGGTCAGTCTCCCGGCTTCTGTCTTGGTCTGTACTATTGTGAGTAGTTCCTTGTCCATATTCGGAGCAGTGGTCATCTTTGTGACTTATTGTATAGTTACCGTGGCCAAAAACCAGACGCGGCGGCTCCTTGTGTATCTTACAATAGCTGACCTACTGACGGCCGTGGGGAATCTCATGGGGGCCGTCAGGTACACCTTAAGAGATGAATCGGAATACATCAACAAACGTGATCAAATGGCTGTGAACTGCACCCATACGGACCAGATCTGTGTCATACAGAGTTCCATCACTACTTTCTCGTCGCTGGCCTCTTTCTTCTGGACCAATATCATTATGGTTCATATTCTCATGACTTTAATTTCACAAAGAGAATGGTCAAGATTTTTCATTAAAGTTATATATCATCTTGTGTCGTGGGGAGTACCATGTAAGTATTTATATCTATCAATAGTAAACTGTATTTTGGTGTGTAATGGACCACGCCTCTTCATATTCAAGGTCAAAAGTGAGGTTAAAAATTTCACACAGATTTCTTTTCATCGAATCAGTCGTTTAAATATTTGCTCTCTATCTGAGCAAACAGGAATAAAACTGACGTCAGGGAAACATCTGTTTATAAATCAAATAAAAATAAACTTCACAAAATGTACTAAAACTCGTGCATAAAATGTAAAGCTTTATCTGTAATAATGCTAATAAAAATGCACAAAGGTTTTAAAATAAAAAAAGATGACCTGCAACTTCTTCTCGATGAAAAAAAGCCTCTCTTATTTCTAAAAATACCACTGTTGACAGGTATGATCATCATCAGGCGAGGATCCAGGATTTGAAGTTGGGGGGGGGGCGCCAAAAGTAGGCAGGGGGCCGCCCTGAGGCCCCCAGTGGGTCCAGGGCGAAACCCTGGTGGGGGTACTGGGAGCGAAGCCCCCGGAAGCTCCTGGATTCTAGAGATTTTTTAGGGTAAAAATGAGGTCTACCAAGTAGAAATTTTTACATTTTCTCGACGAAACTATGATTTACGCTAACTTTGACAATTTTAGGGGGGCGCGCGCCGGGGGCGCCCCCCCCCCTTAAATCCGCCACTGATCATGTATCAATTGATCAGTTTGTTTATCAGGCATATCGATGTCTTCCTCGTTGTGTCCTGTTTAGCTTTGATAAAAACAATTTTAAATTAAAATGAAAACGATAAAGACAATTTTAAATTAAGGCCATTCCAAGTTTTTTCTATGTTTAGCGTCCGCGTGCGCTTTGGTTTTCACACTCCATATCAGAAAAAAAAAACAAACAAAAATCAGGAGTCCTGAAATTGATTTTTCTTGTCGAAATCTTTGAATTGTCCCAATTTCTCTAAATATTTGTCTACAATATGTCATATTAGGTATATTTTAAGCATTTAATACATTGATTTTGCTGAAGAATAGATCTTCCTACAAGAAAAATAAATTAATGAAATCAAATCCCTTGAATGACGTCATTTTTATGACTACTAAGTCTGTGTTTTATTTTTTGTCTCGTGCGTTTTTAGCGAATAGGTAGGTAGGTTTTTGAAAAATGGGTGGATGCTAAACAGAGAAAAAACTTGGAATGGCCCAATATGAAAACGATAAAGACAATTTTAAAATTAATATGAAAACGGCATTAATTACTCAAATAAAATTATAATATTCATTAAACACCAAAATAATGATACCAATTTTGATATTCTTTCAGTGGTTATAACTTTCCTGGCTGCCTCTATGCAGGCTCTGGGTGAAGACTTCTCCATCAGCAGCGGACCGTGGTGTTGGATCAAGGGATGTCTAAAACCCGGAGAGGTCATCTTCTGGATGACATTTACCGGAAAAGGCTGGGAAATCCTCACTTACTTTCTCACCATGGCTTTCTACATCCTTATGAAGTTCTACATGATTAAAAGGGTAGATTTAATGTACTTTGGCAATTATGATAACATTCATAAATCATATCATATATAAAATGTTAAAGATATATATATATATATATATATATATGCAACATAACTCATTATCAAGAAGATATCAGTACTAGGTGACTGGATAATATCATTATATGAATGAAAAAGTTGAAGATAAGGAACAGTGATCTATCTTGGAAAAAAACCTACATAATTACAAACTATACGAATCTGTGAAATACTGCATGAAACGCGAACCCCTGGAAATTCCAGAGGTGGGATCGGGGCCTAGGAGGAGTAAGCATCCATGGTCGACCGGTCACCATCGCCATGAACCAATGCATAGCTGCAGATCTGTAGCTCGCTGGTCTTAAAAAAATAGGACATGGACTTCCAGAGAGCTACAGTGCCACCTAGCTGCAGAACTGTAGCTCTCTGCTTGAGAAAATTCGGACAAACAAAGCATCTCTGCTTTGTCTGTCCGAATTTTCTCAAGCAGAGAGCTACAGTTTTGCAGCTACAGTGCCACCCATAGAAAAAAATGTATATTTATTGCGCACAAAAAAAAATGCGCTACATCTCGATTATCGTAGACAATTAGGCCTTTGCCAAAATTGTAAAACTCAGGGCCCCCGGTGCATGGCTCAGGCCTTGCATCGGCGCTAAAATGGTCATATTGAAAAACTATTGTGTCTTTGTAATTATTTATAGTCTTTGTGGACATCCAACAGGAAAACGTTTACAATGAGCATTTACCCCTCTACCAGACTTCTAAAATCCAAAGGTCCCTAGCTCGGGTACCACGTTAAGCCAAAGTCGGACATACATGTACATTGCAAAATTGATTTAGTCTTATGACGAAACTACATGTACTTACGATCTTTGAAAATCTCAGTATTTTCTAATGAGCATTTGGTAGGCAAACTTTAGCATCTTTTAATGAACAACTAACCCTCTATTAAAATGATGAAATTCAAGTCCCCTCAACCTAGAGCTCATGCCCATTAAAACTACCTCAAATGTAAAACGTTAAGACAACGAATATTGTTTAACGATCCCTTAAATCCAGTAAAGAATGGAATCGTAAACAGGACAAAAACACGAATAATAGAACAGTGCTATATTAGTAAGGGCCGCGGTACACACGGTAAGGCTTGCCTTGTAAGTCTTGAAGCTTAACACTGTATTGACTTTTGTCAAGTCACAGATTTGTTGCACATTACCTTAACGCCAGTGACATTTCGTTTAGTCTTGTTTATCAAGTTCTATACACTCAATCAATAAATCACTTGAATGAAAAAATGCCTTTTTCTAACTGCAGAAAATGCGATTCAAAGACCGCAGTCTAAACCATTTACGAGAAGAGGACGAGCTCTACATCATGATATTCTTTGTCATTGTCATTCTCCGAGTGGTAGGAACTGCCCGTTATTTCATGGCCGTCACGAAGGCGATTGACCATGACTTGCTTCACAGCTTTGGTCAGACAGACATGGTTCTTCTACACATCCAGAGTGTTGGTGATAGTGCGCAGGCCTTTTGTAACTGCATCTTGTTCTGTATTAGGGACACTGACGTCAGGCGGGAATTATGGAAGCGAATCCGCGCCTGTTGTCAGTCACGTGATGAAAGAAAACCTTTGATTACCGAGATTAATACAGAAGTTAATTAAAATATGATAATCTTTTATAAGAGCTTACAGAATTCAACGTGGGAAAAGCACACTCTGGAGATAATAAGATTATGTTCTCCCAAAGGTTCAGGTTTCATTGTTTTTTTTTTTTTAACAGACAAGGTAAATTAGTCCTGTAAGACCAATGCGAGTAAAGCATAGTCGGAAAATGAACTCTGACGCAACCTTTCAATACCCAGTGGAAGTTTACGTAACATCTTTTGTTTATTGTTGATTTCAATTATGATGGGAACATTTATTTTCAATGGTTTAACATGATGTCACACCATAGAGGCGTAATTATTCAAGATTACGATACTTTATGTGATCTAGCAGCCACAGGTAGGAGGGAACTAATTTACATGTATTCGCGGACTCCGGACCGTGGCTTGAGACTGTGATTCCAAACCGTACATTTAACATTTACATAAGTACTAAACACAACGAAGTACGCTTTATTTTAAATGTAGATTGCAGCTTTTTTTTCAGAGTTTGTTCAAATAAAAAGCTGAACATAAAATTGTATACAGTGTTTGGTTTTTTTTTCTCCATTTTTGGCTCTCATGCTCTGAGAATGTGTTCCCTTTTCAATGGAGGCTGTAGATTATATGCTGCAAAATCATGACATATATTGTCTTTCCTTAGTATCTGTGTCTTGTGCCCCACAGTAGTAGCAAACTGGAGGAAATTCACCTGAACTGTAATACAGTATCTCAAAAGGAGAACCACAGGAAAAATTTGATTTAACATACTTTTTCCAACAGAGCACTGATTCGAGAAGCTCTATCACGGTCCTCTGGCTTAAATTCTTGAAGCTTAGCATCACAAGAAAATTGACAGAGTCCAATAATCCTTGTCAGAATTGCAATTTCCTATCCATTGAGTGTATTACCACAGTGACTATATGACTAGGTTTCTTACAATCTATGCAAGTTATTTTCTTCACCGTTTTGGAAGCTTGTGCAGATGGAGTAAATGGAATTCCATGACTACTAGCAACAGTTTGCCTTCGCTTTGCTAACAAAGAAGGTTAGTGATCATTTGTTGTATCTATTCCACAAACCTTACTGAACTTATAGTGCCCTCCTCATGAAATAAAAATCATATGACATGAGATAATGATAGAACAAAGAGAACATTACCTCACAGTAAAAAAAATATGTCCTGGATACACAGCATTGTTCAATAAAATCCACAAGCTAAAATTGCATTTATTTGAATTAATTTAGATTGAATACACACAGATATGACCATCATTCTCAATATGTTTTAGTCATTCTAGATGGTGCATGTTGAAGAAGAGATAAAGAAAATGCAAAACAGCAGTGCAGGTTTCAATAAACATGTACAGTATATACAATTTTATAATTATACCTGTTAATATGGTAATCCAGCATGTCAGTTTCAATGACATTTTAATTAAATGGGATTAGAACTAGACAGATTTAATAAACAAGAGATCAAGATTGACGAAATTTTATAATGTTCACTGTCCTGATGCAAACGCTCTACTTATATATAAAGTTACACAGAGTGCATGGAATAAATAACACGCAAAAGCAATGACTACAATGTACACACATCCATAACTTATAGCACTGGTGTCCTATTTTAAATAAAAAAGGGAAAACATTGTATACAGGACATTTCCACTTGAGGGAAGATCTCGTATAATAATACTCTTTTTTTTTCTTGGACCTGTTGAAAGGTGAATAATGCCTGAACATACCAATTCTTCAAACTATTTTTAATGTCACGTTTTCGTTTTCCTACAAGTGGGTTTCCAAATTAGACAATTCTTCCTAAAGGTTATCAAGAGCTGATTTAAACAACCTGAATTGGTTTTTTTCCCTTCAGTTTAAGACAACCAAAGAGCCCGGAAATAGGACCCTATATATAAAACACAATCCATTCATCAAAATTTAACATCCACCTTTTTAAACACGTAATCAAGAAGATTTTTAATAACCTATGTACGTTGTATCTGTTAGTTACCTTCACTGGTTCAATTGAGTCCACCATCTACTGGCGATGTGTGGGATCCTTTCCTTAGCTGAAACAGTCCATTTGCTGATTTAAGCCTCTGCTCACTTTCTGCTGAGGTTTCCTTTCTCATCAATCCAACTGCTTGTAGAGCCAAATGAAGAATTGACATAATCCGCTCTGGTGGGTTTTTCCAGGATGCCATTGGAGGAGTCCTCACTGCTCCAATTATATCATAATTTCCACTGAGAAATATGCATATAGTGGAGAGCTGAACAGAAAGAAATGTGAGTCTATGATCAGGACCACCGTCTGTACAGATACACAGAAAAGGCTTTGCAAATACTTTTCAGTTCTGTAATGTGACGCAATGGACTAGATGGTTCCAAAGCTAAATCCCTCACACCAACATAGACTACTTGGCCTTACGTATAAAAACTCTGTGAGGAGATAAGAGTTCCAGCAGCAGTTGGAGGCTGAGTAACGAATATCTAACGTCTAGACAGGTTATTTTCCTAGTGTCGTTTACAGTAATAAAAAAGTCGGAAAATGTAAACTCGCCTTCTGACCATGACATTCTATATATTTACGAAGATATTCATGATTAAAAAATAGTTATATTTGGTTTACCTTGAAAAAACGTGCTTTTAAATCTTTTGGTTTTCGGTTGGCAGTATTTTATTTGAAAACCTATTAGACTCAAATAATTATCCTTCAAGATAATAATAACATATTACTTGTACCAGTGGCATAAATTTGACCATTAATATTTAGTAGCATATAGTAAGAGTAAGCATATGCTGTATAAATGTGTAATGAACAAAGAGCTTATGGATTTCATCGAATGATATTTGAAAATGTACTTGTCCATGAGATTCAAAAATGAAGAAGTCACAGCTAACTCCTTGAGGAGGATGAAATCAAATCATGATCTTTATTATATTGATTGGTGCGTCCGTCTATACCCGTTACACTTAAGGGTACCCATCTCTTATATGCAACTCCTCCTGTACCACCGAATAAAATTTAATGAAACTATCAAAAAATCTTTATTACATAGTGCCATTGTGCCCCTCTTATTTTTAATTTCGATTGGACTGTTACTTGGGATTCCAATAGCAAAACATTGATATTGCCATTCTTTCTATAGTTTTGGGGGTACCCATCTCTTATCCGCAACACATCCTATACCGCTGAACAAAAATTAATGAGACTTTCGAAGAATCGTCATATAAAGTGCCATTGTGCACCACCTATTTTACGTTTTGTTCGGACAGATATTTGGGGTTTCTCAAAGCAAAATATATACTTTGCCATTATATTCATTTGGGAGAAGGAGGTATCTTTTTGTGAACTCAGTGTTTACAGTACCTGTAGTTTTTATTCTCCGAATAGCAGGAAAGTGTATGGCCATAATCTAAGGAATGATTCAATTTGTTATTAAAAAGTTATGATTTTATTAATAGGACTTTTGTTCATGTTGGACAGTGCACAAGATATCTTGCTTTGCATCCTTGACACCGATGTTAGCTGGGAATTGTACAAGTGGCAGCAAATTTGCTCGAGTCAAAGATCACTTGCTGATAGACCGTTATTGATTGCTGAGGTTTAGAAATTTAAGCTGGAGTTGATAGCCTGCAACAGTGCTTAAATAGTGAGGAAAGAAAATAAATCATTAATAAAACATAAAATATTTTCTGTGTAAAAAAAAGGCACAATTCCTGACTCTTATAGTTCTATTTAAAACATCTCCAAAAAAGCTTTGTCTACACTCTCATGACTCAGGATAGAAATAAATTGGGTGGGTAGGGTGGGGGGAAATTCCGGCTATTTTTCAACATCATTGCTTAATTTTCAAAATTTATTGAAACTGAAGGTGTTTATAAAATTAAAATAAATATAGTTGTTGACGGGATGAGAAAAAATAATCATTTCACTGATATTAAAAAGTTTTGAGTCGGGCCATGTTATAGTCAGTCTGTCGAAAGAGGACAAACAGGCAATTTTTAAGGTAGATGATTTATAATTGGGGTTTGCTACCAAAAAAAAGTATTCTATAGTGTTGAAATTTTCTTTTGTCAGATTAAAGTACCTCTTTACAGTCAATTGTTCATGTTCAAAGAGATGATATGCCACGTGTACCAGCCTTTCTTTTGCCATAAAAAATGTACAAAAAAATGTAAATGGTGTGTCGAAAATTATTATTGCTCTTTGTCATGAAAAATAAATTATATATAGAAAACAAGACAAAATGGCAAATCTATATTTTTTTTATATTTATTTTAGTAACTTTTCATACTTAAAAAACACATTATAAATTAGAACATTTAAAATTTTCGAGATGAAATCAATTTTATGGAACATCTTTTCAAAGACATTGAGTGATGATGAATATAAATTTAGTCCATTGTTGATCTTGAGTATAATGTATAACAGAGATAAAAATACTGAAAGGTATTTCAAAGAAAAAAAACCCACGAACAAAACATAATGACACAAAATTGCTTACAATGAAAAGGGTGACGAAAATGAACAATGATGAATCTAATAAATCCGATATACAATACAAATCAAGAACAGGGCCTAATCACCACTGAAAACATCAGAGCTATAGGTGGGATGAGATGCCTAGGAGAAAGCATCCCCTCTACACGTCACATCCGCCATGAGCCCTCTAAAAATAATCCAGGAATTCCAGTACAAACACTTCTCACTCTCTTTCAACCTGAATTCCCATGAATCATTGCTGTACATAAGTCAGCATCATTAAATAATTCTAATATGTAGTACGCTTCAGGTAACTTTATGCTAAGACAAGTAAATTCATTCAAGCCAGACTTTGCATCAGCTCATGAAGCGTAATTTTTATCTCTTAATTGTGTATACATAAAAAAATATTTCGAAGTAACTATGTTTTAAATAGGATCACAGTCATGTAAAACGTAATCGTTAGAAGATTGATAAACAGAAGTGGACAGTAGGCACTATCACTTCCTTAACAACCTGTTTCTTTAATATTTTTTTAATAAGAAAATACACAAAATATGAATACACATGAATGACACAATGGATGCTTCTGACAATAATACAATGCAAAGCAGTGCTCTGTATCTTCCATTTATACTTTGAAATCACTTTCTTGCCGGTGGAGGAATTTTCGTTGTTTTTCGTGGAATGAAGAGAACTACGAATTCATGTCTTCTACTAAATGTAGAAAATTCAAACTGCACTATTATGTTCACTTCACCCCGCGAATCAATATTTTTTCCTCAATCCACGAACATTTGACAGAACAAAAAGAAAAGATTTCAGTTTTTTCCTTGTATAACTTTTTTCTTACTTTCATAAAATGTCACGTGCTATAGCCGGGTATAATCATTAAGTTGTCGGTCCTCATCTCTCCGACAGAGCATCCTTAAAAGTCCATGTCTGACGGCAGTATCTTTGACACAAAACAGCAGACAATTGAAAAACGCCTGCGCACTGTCTCCCACACTCTGAATGTGCATCAACACATAATCCACGTTGTTTAAATGGTACACCGTCTTCACGCCCGTTTCGACCCTGTACACAAGTATACCGTATCTGACGGTTCCCCAAATCCTAAGAATATACAGAACGAGCCAAAGCAGCACGTAGTTTTCGTCGTCATCACGGAGGCTGACTGAGATTTGACTGTAGCGAAGGTTAGGCCTGCGCTCTTGTCGACGCTGTAAATATTAGAAGAGTTCAATTCGTATGTGGAAAAAAGCCCAAACTTGTAAAATAAAATCAATAGAAAGTGTTTTTTTCTCCTGTAAAATGCAACAAAAATGAAGAAATTTCTATTTATGTCATTCAATTTTACATCGAGATCCTTGTAACGTATCTAATTCATTATAAAATGATGTGACAAGTTTATGTTTAAAGAAAGATTTCACAACTCAGGCCTTTAAATTATATTTATAATTTTATAAGAAACTTTTCCTTTTTTTAAATGATGAATAAATAGATGGTACGAATTCCAGAACGTTTCTCTTCAAGGAAACTGGTACAACAGTGAAGTACAAATTTTTCCTATAAATCATGGTAGATACAAGACATAGTCGGTAATCTGGAAATTCAGTCTTCCACCTACCTTTCTTATCATGTAATACTTGAGATAAATGTAGAGGAATGCTGTGACTATGTAGGTCATGACCTCCCACCCCTTTCCAGTTAATGTCATCCACAAGACGAGGTCCCTGTTATGCATACAGCCCTTTATCCAGCACCAAGGTCCACTACCAATGTACTGATCTTCCCCAAGGACATTCTTAAAGGCCGCAACCAATGTAATCACCACTAAAATATCGTACAGTATCAAATGATTGGTTGTTGAAAATGTAATCACTACTGAAATATCGTAAAGCATCAAATGATTGGTAGATGTAAATGTAATCACCACTGAACTATCGTAAAGTATCAAATGATTGGTCGACGGAAATGTAATCACCATTGAAATATCGTAAAGAATCAAATGGTTGGTTAATGAAAAAATAATCACCACTGAAATCTCGTACAGTATCAAATGATTAGTCGATGTAAATGTAATAACCACTGAAACATCGTAAGAATCAAATGGTTGGTTAATGAAAATATAATCACCACTGAACTATCGTAAAGTATCAAATGATTAGTCGATGTAAATGTAATCACCACTGAAATATCGTAAAGAATCAAATGGTTGGTTAATGAAAATATAATCACCACTGAAATCTCGTACAGTATCAAATGATTAGTCGATGTAAATGTAATCACCACTGAAATATCGTAAAGAATCAAATGGTTGGTTAATGAAAATATAATCACCACTGAATTCTCGTTCAGTATCAAATGATTAGTCGATGTAAATGTATTGATTGATTGATTGTATATTGTTTTACGTCCCATTCGAGAATTTTTCACTCATATAGAGACGTCACCATATACCGGTGAAGGGCTTCAAATTTTGACCTTTACTCGGCACTCAGGGCCATTGAGCAGTGAGGGATCTTTATCGTGCCAACGCCTGCCGTGACACGGGGCCTCGGTTCTTAAGGTCTCATCTGAAGGACCCGCAACTTTCACTTCAAAGTGCCGAGCGCATGGCGAAGGAACAGTTGCTACCTATTTTTTATCGACTTAGGTCTGTCGCGGCCGAGATTCGAACTCACGACCTCCCGATCACGGAGCGAGCGCTCTACCGACGGTCGATGTAAATGTAATCACCACTGAAATATCGTAAAGAATCAAATGGTTGGTTAAGGAAAATATAATCACCACTGAAATATCGTACAGTATCAAATGATTTGTCGACGGAAATGTAATTACCACTTAAATATCGTCGTACAGTATCAAATGATTGGTCGACGGAAATGTGATCAACTGAGATATCGTAAAATATCAATCTATTGGTCGATGTAAATGTGATCAACACTGATATTGAAAAGTATTGTAACGTGTATCTGAGGGTTATTTTTTAAGGAATAAAGGTTCTCATAAACGCATATAAATGTTATTTTCTTTTGGTTCTACTTAAGTTAATCATAAATGGGAATCAATATTATTTAATGCGACTGAATTTCTGGAGTTACTGTACTTTTCTCAGATTTTATTATTTTTGTTCAGGACACAAGCCGAGGTTTTTTTCCCTAATTAAAAACATTTTAAAAAGCAATTAAAGCGTAATGCCATCAATGAACCAGAAGTCTCTGACGAGACTGTAGCTCTACTGGTTTGTACTTAAAAGTAGCACTTGGACTTGAAACTTTGCAACAGCAATACATAGAATAATGATCCTTGGTGTAGTCTCTTTTTGTTTTATTGAGATTTTTGTATAATTAAGATTTATTGTAATCAGACTAAATCTGTAGGAGGAGTAGCCTTTTAAAAGAATTCTACAGAAATCTCAATTTTAGTAACAATGACAACATCATTCAACAAAATCATAAAACAATAAAGACAATTTTCTAACTGAGTGTAGTCTACTTGTGTGCCAGGTTATACTGAAATCATATCAAAACTGTAGGAGGAGTAGCATTTTGAAAGTATTTCAAGGAAATTTCTATTTTTAGTAACCATGGCAACACCGTTCATCGAAATCAAAAATCGATATACAGAATTATGTATCATAGTCTAGTCTACTTGTGTGCTAAGTTATATTGAAATTAGACCAAAACTGTAGGAGGAGTAGCGTTTTGAAAGTACTTCCCAGAAATCTTTATTTCTAGTAACCATGGCAACACCGTTCATCAAAATTAAAACTGATACACAGAATTACATCGAACGGAGATCAAAGTATGACCAGAAATCAAGGTACAAGCCCTAGTGATGATTTAAATGGTTGATCATCTTATCCACACTTCACTCAAAATCTGCGTGGTTTAATAACTATATCCTCCTTCCTTATTATCATTAAGCAAATTTGTAGGCATAGCAGACTCTGTATGTCATTTCATGCATTCTGCCTAGCAAAACTCTGTTTAGTAACTTTGGTTTTCTTTGCCTTTCAAAACTAAATTATCAGGGTTCAAATATGAATTCCTCTTTTCGTTATTGTACATATATTATTTTTCTCTTGTTATAAACCTAACCACTAGTTTCCATGTTCATCTTTTATTTGCATTGTTGTCTTCTTTTTTGTTATATATTATTTCTATTTTTTAGTTATAAAAACTAAATGTGATTGTCAACCTATTATTACAGGGAAAGGATTCTCTAAGTTGAAAGAACTTGTAACCAAGCCCTTGTATTTATTATACAATAAAATATATTCAAAACAAAACAATAATTAAATTCTTAAACGGACATGAATATTATAACTTTAGATGCTCATCATAATAATGCATATAATTTGCAGCTAAATCATAAATGCCCATGAATAATGAAAATAAAAAAAAGGTATATGTTTAAATGAATTGCCAATGTATATGTCCAACTTAGCTCTACCCTGGGGCATAACGTTAGGCTTGGGACAGTGAATTTACAATTTTGGTAGAAGGCTTATTGTTTATTATAATCAAGCGAACTTTTTGTGCTAAATAACAACGGCTAGAGAGAAAAAAATTCAAAGATGTAGTAATATAAGATTTTACAATGCACTCAAATTATTGAAGCCCGGCTTTCAGTACTTTCAGTACTTTGATATTACTTATTTATCATTACAGATGTACATTCACTGGTCGATGTAAATGTGATCACCACTGAAATATCGTAATCAAGGAACTAGTATCATTTTCAAAAATGTGAAATGAATAGAATCTGGTCGTCTGGATGAAATGTGTGTCTACCGATTCCTAAAAATACTTTATTTTTACAAAGAAATGCCATTTTCTTCTGCTACCGATACTTCGATCCTTGAAATAAAACAATCTCAATGTGGCTGGAATTTCAATTAAAAAGTAAAAACAAATTTAAAAAACATATTTCAAAAACAGGGGAAAAATTCGTAAGATGTGCTCTCCACTACTTAGAAACAAATTCATTACTGCGTATGTAAAACTGGAGTTAAAATTAAATAATGTTTTGTTTTAATGAGTAACAAGTCCCATTAATAACTTCCTTATCCTTCCTAACAAATCAGACAAAAACTCAATGTTGAATTAACAGGAAAAAAATGTTCAAGTTACTTTAATACTGATCAATTTGTTTTCAAAAACATTTTTTTTTAATTCAAATGACGTTTAGTTAATAACTGTAAGAAAAATTATGAAATACTAGATGTATGAGTAAAATTAACAAACAGAAACATTTAAACACAGTTTTAAAAATCATTATTTTTTAACTCACGTGGTATACCCCAGGAAGCCGAGTGGGTCAACACCCTTGCGATGGTAGTGAAGCACCATCGTGTCTGATAAACAAGAGTTAGAAGGATATGTAACCCAATGATAATAGTCCACGAAAACGAGGCCAGTGAGGAGAAGGTTGTTACCATACTCTGTATGGCGCACAGGTCATCAGGGTGTTCACAATGTCGTCTGAGTTCTATATCTGTAAAGTTATGCAGCCTGTGGTGCTTGTCGTTGTAAGCATAACGCAAGGCTCCGAGTAGATTTCCTGATGACGTCAGAAAGTCAGCAATCGTCAGATAGATGAGCAGGCGGCGGGTTTGATTCTTAGCTTCTGGAACTGTACAATATGTCACAAAAATGATGATTGCTCCTAAGATCGATAGAGAACAACTCACGTAGGTACAAATAAGCACCGAATTGGGTAAATACATGACCTTTATATGGTTTTGGGTGACTGTGGTATGTATTGGAGTGGTTAATTCCATAGCAGTACACCCCGTGGTCGTCATTGCTGCAGTGGTAGATCCTGATATCGACATGACTATACTAAACGTATATACAACATAATACAGGCTCTGAGGCTCTGAGGTTCAGTATATTTACATCCAATCTGAATGGTTCTTTTCCGCTTCATAAACTTGGGAAATTTAAAATTCATTTCCTAAATTCCTTTTTTACTTTATCTACACGACCTTTCATTTCAATTACATAAATTCCAAGGGTTTATTTCCTTCCGTGTTTTCAGGAAGTAATCACAGAGGGCAGACGCGCTATTAGATATATATGTACCCCTTCACCTCTATAATGAACACATAAGAAAATGACCAATGTTGAAATATGTTTACCAAGATATGGCAAGCTTAAATACTTGGCCGAAAACTTTACCGCAGTATATATGTTTTGCGACAAGGAACTTTAAGAAAATTTGAAATCACAAAATTTTAACAAAATCAGTAACATCAAAACACCCGACTTTTCAACACCTTATACAACCAAACCCTCGATAAATTAAAGTCCAGGCTTTTTGACATCATAGACAGCTGTTTTTTGTTTTTTTTTTTCAATAAAAATGGGACTCGTAAATATACTTAACTTGTTACTGGTCATTTCCAAAATTATTTTGTTAAAAATCATTCTGATTGTACACAAAGTACTCTGAAGTTGATATTTATAAGATCCTTGAGTTTCTAATTGACAATATCTATATGTAGCTTTTGGAGATCAGGTCTTTCAACAATCTGTTGGAATCACCATAGGTACCAAATGGGTTTTTTGTCTCCCAGTTGATTCGATACGCAAGAGCTTGCTCTATGTATGAACAATTTCTAAAACAAGGCAAGTTATTGACAAACAAATATATGAAACAAGGATATCAAAATTCTCGTTTAAAGTCATCATTTCGTAAGTTCTATGGTCGATACAATAACCTTGTCAGCAAATACAATTTATCATCAAGTCAAATGCTGACAGATGTTTTTCATACTTATTGTTAGGCCATTATTACACACTGCATTGTCGATGGATTTTTTTTTCCGTTTTCCCGATCATGACAAAGAGCACACGGCGGGTGCGGCCAGTCGGCAGGGGATGCTCACTCCTCCATGGCACCTCCCACCTCTGAATTTTTTGGAGGTCCGTGTTTTCTCTGCTCCCGGTATGTATTGTCTAAATGGACTTTGAGTCTGAATACTGTTCGTTATCTCCACATTTCATGCTATACCATGTTCTCGACTTGTGTATATTTAAAGTTCTTTTTGCAGTTACGTTTTTAATTGAGATTTTGACATTATGCTTGCTTTTGGACACAAAATAAGAATTCTGGACATAATTAATTTCCCCTACTTCTACCGATATGAGCCTAAATTTCGCCAAACATCGTCAAGCGATACGTAACACACCAAGATAGACTCACATAACAAAAATCAGCTCAATATATGCAAGCGTATAGAAAATTTTTCAGAAAACTCAACTTTGATAAACATACCTTTTTTGTATTTTGACTGTTGCATAGAAAATTCATTCAGATATGTAATATACTTTTTTGAAATATAACGAAAAACACAACTTCAGGTAATGTCTATCGCCACACGATACTTGCGACTTTACTATTTAGGTGTTCCATAATTCATTTACAATTTTCCGGTTGCTCGTTTCTCAAAAAGGCCTACGACCGCGGGCGTAAGCTTAGTCCGGACTAAGTCAGTGACTAAACCCAAAAATCAGACTAAGCAGCGTTTCACAAAAAGGCGCAGACTTAGTCGAGATTAAATTTAAGCTTAAATCTACGCCTGCTCATGAGTAGGCGTAAGTTCTTAGTCTGTTCACAACTTGAAAAAAGTGGCAAGTGTTTTGATCATAAAAAGATAAAAGAATAATTATTTTGTACGTATACGATATAATACCTAATATACCTATTCATGTACATATATGATATGCGAAAAATATGTGAAATTTTCAATATTATGTAGGTAAATAGAAATAAGTAAAAATCCAGCGAGGATGCAGACTTTTTTCCGTAAAAAAGGTTTGATGAGCTGGAAATTTGTAAGTAAGAATTTTGAATTGTGAAACTGGGTAAGATATTAAGAAGTGTCCGAGTTTTAACAAAAAAAAGCAGGCACGCGTAGTTTAGGGGTGGGGGCTGCAACCCTCCCGGTTTTTCAGTAATGGTGTTTTCTGTTAAAAATTAAGTTGTAATTTAGGCTGACCTACACTTTCAGTATTTGTTTTCTCATACTGTCAAAGTTTGCTGAATATTTTGGCTAATCAATTACCTACCCCCTTCCCCATCTCCCACACACTAATAATTTTTAATTTTTGAAATGGATGTTTTTGAAAAAAAAATCCTCAAACAATATACATTTAATATATTTTCGATAATAAGAAATATTCGGTAATTATGCCATCAATTAAGTTAATGCACCTTTTACCTTAATTTCCCCATTAAATAAATATAAAATTTATAGAACAGAAAATATGAATTTGTAAAATGTTCCAGTAATTAATTATCTTGAACTGTCATGGCGTTTAAGATGTGCAGATGGGTCTTTTTTTTAAAAATAGGTACTTGTTTTTAATTAATGTACAATCAATCGTACTTTTCTCAGAGGATTTTTTTTGAGAGTGTCTTTTAATCGATTTATGAACAGATAAACACTTTACATTACATGCATTTGAAAAGAAAGTGGTCAATAACGTGTTAAAAATGTTTTTATATCGTAAATGAGAAACAGTTTCAAATTTGCTGTCATTTACTGCATTTTATAAATCCTCTTTTCCCATAAATCGCATATATACTCATAAAACATATCAAGAAGAAGAAATTTTGCTTATCTAAAATATTTATAAATATGAAAATCATGACTTGTTAATATCTTTAAATCTAGATAAAATCTTCAGCCAGAATAATCAATTCAAACTGAATTAGATTTCTTGGCATTCAAGCTGCAACATGTACTAAATACATTTATTACACTTTGGACATACATGTACAGTATAACATTGATATCGATATGATAATTTACACAGTCCATGTAAAAATACGCATATACAACATTTCCATTAACACATGCATTCTCAATAAAGTTTTGCAAAAGCTTAATTAGTTTTTAATCAATTTCTTGTAATTCAAATTACAGGCAAGCAATCTAATATTTTTATATTTTTCTGAAATATTTTCATTTAATATATTTCCAGTCTGGATCAGATTTATTTAGATCGGGAAAGGTACAAATTTCAACATCGCCGTCTTTTTCTTTTAAGAGATTAATTCAATATTTAATAAACATTTTACAGGTGATTGAAAATTTGACTTATAAGTCTAAGTAGTTTGTTTCGTGATCCTGAGGCCTGTTATGAAATTATAAATTCAATACAACTGATAAATTTTCAAAAATCTCTTATCCATGTTTTAATAATATATGATTTCATAATTTATAAATTTTCCACAGATCCGTAGAACGCGGTGGGGCCAGGGGGCCCCAGCCCTCCACTTTTTCTGAGTGTAGTAGTTTGCTATATTAAATTTTCCTTCAGATGCTGGTTGCCCCCCCCCTCCTCCCCCACACACTGTAAAGTCGAGCACTGGCAAATTCCATAATTCTATGACTTGGACAGTTGATTACATGTAGCTTTTGACTTGGCAAATTCCATGACTTGGAGAGTTAATTAGATTTTTTGACTTGGACAGTTAATGAAGTTTTTTGTCACATTAATTTGGGAGATCCCCCTACCCCCGCAACCCCCACCTTTTGGTAGTTTAGGATTTTTGGTGGGCTTGTCAGATTTTTGGGGGAGGGGGTCCTCCCCTCACTTTTGAAACCGTTGCTACGAACCTGTTCCAGGCCTTTCCCACTATATTTATTTTAATGTAAACATAAGTGAAAAGACAATATGGCTTATTTCAAAGGAAAATTACTTCAGTAAAATTCTTCACGCTTATTGAATTCCAATTTTTTGCAAGTACATGTGCTATGTACATCGTTTGGGTTTTAATGTACGATTGTATATCGAAATATAACGATCGAGTACATGCACGTTAATGTTTTTCTATTGTAATTTGTACCTATATAGATTTTTTGAAATTTATCTGACCATACAAAGATATTTATTTAATTTTAATGCTTTGACCTTGAAAATACGGATAGGTTTGCGTAATATATCTGTTTGAAAGATGTTGAAGAGCTAAAACATGCACGCGCGCTCATGCTTCCCGTGCCTTACTTCTGCATTTAGGTTTAAGTTTGATATTACTTTGAAAAATTTTGGCGTAACTTACTTAGACGACTAACTTAGGCCCAAATCTACGTAAGTGATGGTGAATTTGGCTGGTCCTCTTAGCACGTTCTTCTTCGCATCTCTCTATCTTTTGACTTCTATAAAAACTATTTTATTCATTATTTATCACTATAAAATTTATTTTCCTTATTTAAAATGAAAAAAAAATATGCACAAAGGAATTCATTAATATGGAAATAAACTCTGAACAGTTTAGATAATTTTGATATTACAACTCAAAGCGAGTAGCTTGTAACAAGATGACAAAGTAAAAATTGCCACGTATTTAGGAGATTCGTGGGCTGAACTGAAAATGACTGTCAAAAAACGTCTTGAAGATGTTTGTAAAATTTTTATCGTGCGGCGATACACGTTACCTAAATTTGTATTTTTCTCTATAAATTAAAACGTATTAAACAAATCTGAATGAAAATTTACGGCAACATCTAAAATGAATAGGGGTAATAGTATCTCAGATTTTGTTGACGAATTCCTATTATTTAAGATTTTTAGCACTTGTGTCATATTTTTTTTTTTTTATCAACTCTCGTAGTTTTAAGGAGTATCGCAAAACAGCAAGTTTGTGTTGCTGATCAGGTTTTAAATCGTATTTTAGACTGATTGAAATCAGATATTCGTTGTCAATGTAGCTTTTCATTTATGAAAATAATTATGTCATTCTCCCGAAAATTCCTCCATGTGTGTAACATAGAGAGAGACCGTCAATGGTTTTTCCTAAATATTTATTTATTGAGTATGTATTAAATTTAGATCTAATCGATAAAATGTAAGGCTTACGAAGAAACAATGTTATCAAGAGGTGATAACAATCCCAGGTATGAAACACAAGAGGTGAACCATGTCAACTGAGTTAACATTTAATGGGGGATGTTTAGACGCATCCGTGAATCAGACGGAGTACACCATTAATTACGTCCCCTTTTTGGTTCTGACAGGTGTGAGTAGTTCCTTGTCGTTACTGGGATCCGTCTTTATATTTCTCAGTTACTATAGAAACAATGAGAGGAGCTTCAATTTTCGTCTACTGGTATTTCTAACAATTGCAGACTTCTTCAACGCTTTTGGAAATCTGCTCGGAGTTATTCGGTATTCTGTTGTTGATCCTGTGATCACTAACGATAATACTTGTGATTCAGACAATCTTTGTGTCAGTCAGAGTTTCATTACCGTCTTTTCTAGTCTAGCCTCATTCTGGTGGACTGTCTTTATAGCTCTAAACCATTTCCTGCACCAACGAGAAAGCAGGTGTCTAGAAAAACCTCCGATTCAAGTTTTCTGTCATTTATGTGGATGGATATGCCCTGGTGAGAAATTTTAGAACTTTGTATTAAAAAAAAAAAAAAAAAAAAAAAAAAAAAAAAAAAAAAAAAAAACACCTTTAATTTTCATTGTGTAGAGTCATATAAGCTACTACACTTCTAAATTTTATTTGTATCTTGCTTAATACTGTACGAGCGTGTATTGTTTGTTTGTTTTTTTTATTTAATTTTTAAAGAGATACTAAGGAATCTTTTTGCGATAAAACATAGTGAATATAAAGTTCAATAAATGAGAAATGCTACCTATACGTAAACCGAGAGGTCTAGTGAGCGAGATCTTGGTTCTTAAGGTCGTATTGTTGACAAATTTGCAACTAATGAATGCATTTTGTATTTTCTTTCAAAATGTGTTCTGTGTAAACGTTTAATAATTTGAAATTATTGTGTCTTCATAGTTACCATAGCTATTGTTTCCTTACACTACGATGTTCTGGGAGAAGGTTTATCGGCCAGTAGCGGCCCCTGGTGTTGGATCAAGGACTGTAACCTCACCTCAGCAAGTTCTTCCGTCTGGATGGCGATAACGGGGAAAGGCTGGGAAATAACCACTTATTGCGTTACTTTTGCTTTCTACATGCTGCTGAAATTTCAAAAATGCCGTTCTCATAACATGCAGAAGGCATTAGTTACTTTTTGTTTTATTGAAAACTTTAATCACAGTCTTCTTCAGCAATTGATAATACAAAATTATATCATATATGAAACATATAAACAAGAAATTTACTTATACATAAAAATGATAATTTTTCAAAAAAATTGAAAAATGTGTGAATTCCATTTTGATATTGAATGAACGTATTTTGCAGAAAGAACTACTTGTACGAAAGTCAAGTTCCATTTTATCTTACCAGTCAATATCGCCAGAGGATACAAACAGATATTCCATAAACCAAGAAACACAAGAGGAAGAAGAGTTTGGTTTATTATGGGTTTTCCTCTATATGTACCTCACAAGACTTTGGGGAACTGTTAGATACTTTATATTTGTCGGCCACAATGGATCTACATATATATCTTTCTTCGACAAAGCTGATGATGGCTTAATGTATCTGCAAAGCATAGGAGACAGCGCACAGGCGTTTGTGAATTTCTTGGGGTTTGTTGTGTGGCCCAAGTTGAAGAGAAAAAAACGAGACAATAGTGATTCGACTACGATTATGCTGTGATATATAGTAAAAATGTACATGTGAAATTGAAATACTTTTATTTACTTGTGATGAGGTTAATTCTTGGAGTGATGACGTACAATTTCAGCATAGTATATTACTACTGAAAAATATGAGCTGTTCTGCACAACAATTTAATATGGAGATAGAGAACAGAAATCAAGATCAAAAGTTCATTGAAACAACACAAATCGGGAGCAGAGCAAAACATCAGAGGTGGGATCAGGTGCCATGGAGGAGTAAGCATACCCTGTCGACCGGTCACACCCGCCATGTGCTCATTGTCATGATCGGGTAAACGGAAAATGGACCGCTAATCCAGGAGATATTTGTAGGATAAATATTTGTTTCCATATTCTTAATTAAAAAAAAAAATAATGTACGGAGATATTGTATGAATGACAATATTTTGAAATTCACAGATAGGCACATAAATTCTTTGAATTATATTAGCTTGCTTTTTGAAAAGTTTTCAATCAATACATTTGGTATTTTTATAAAATTAAGTGTAGAATCATATGTGTGGTAAAATAGTGGAAGCGTTTTCATTGAATAATAACGAGTGCATTAAGCTGAAATTTTCAGCAAATGTTTATTTAATATATTTTAGTACATGTTAATTTTTTGGATAAAATATAGACAAAAATAAAGATTATATTATGCTTGAATGTGCACTTGGTACGGTCCTACGGACGGCGCACGATCAAAACGTCAGGGTTTCATTAGAGAATACATAAGTATTATTTCGAAATTAAAGTATTAAAAGGTAAGGTTGGCGTAAAATTATCTTTTTTTTAATTCACTGTCTATTATGTCGTCTTTTGGAAAATTTCAAGGCATTTGCTTAATTTTTGACAGTTTCCGGAGTATTTGAAATGAAAAGTTGTAAATACGACACGAAAGATTGCGACGTTTGATGACGTTGCGGCGCACCAGAGAGCAGTTCAGCTTCATTTAAACCTCTGTCACACCAGGACTGCGTCCTCACGGCGATCGCACGGCGTCCATAAAAAATGCAAAACGCCGAGGTGAGCGCAGTAGAGTCTCCTACAGCGCCGTGACAACGCGGCGAGATCTCCACTGAACGCGGTAGGGTCGCGTAAAGTCTCTAGAACACCAGGGGACGGCGCGCACTTTGGGCATGCACAAAGTACGCGCCGTGTGATCGCCGTCTGATAAGAACGCAGTAGAAACGTAGTATGATCGCCGTAGCAGCGCGGTGAGATCTCCAACAACGCAGTGGGAGCTCCGTACGCACGCCGTGAAGACGCACATGATCGCAGCATGAACGCAGTAATAGGAGACTGCGCTTCCATGGAGACCTCGCCGAGTCCTTGGAGATGTCGCAGCGTTTCTATCGCGCTTTTACGGCGCTTCTAATGAGATTAATTGTCTTGTGATTTTTTTTACTGCGACTACACAGCGACAACAAGGAGTTGTCACTGCGATCATTGCGCTCCCTTGGCGTTTCTACCGCGTACGTTGGCGATCACAATGCGCTTTCACGGCGTTTATTAGAGCGTTGTCAACCAGCTTACAAAACAAGAGCAATGGCCTCATATTTGATCAGCAATAATTCTAACGTATTTGTTGCACTCCTGGCAGGAGCATGGGAGTAGAATTGGGAAGTGAAAATTACACCAGAACCTGTTCTGTTGTTTCAGTGGAGTTGCGATGGAATTACTTAAATTTTAAAACAACTTTTCAGTGTGTTTATTTTTTACATTTATAATAAAATCAAAGAAAAAACACATCTGAATTGATATAATTGAAAAAAGAAGGGTTTAGTTAAAAAACTAACAGTAATTTAGTACTAAATTATTCAAATATATCATTTTTGAAGTCTTTTCGTTATGTGACTCGAATCTTTAAAAAAAGTAAGTTACACTCCTTCTGAATATATATCCATAGTGAAGAACGCATCATGGACGTATTGTGAACGCAGCAAGCGCAGTGAGAACGCCGTGAACGCGAGGCGACAACTCCTAACACGCCGTACAAGCTCCGCGGAAGCACAGTCAATCGCGAAGAGATCTCCGTTGGGAACGCAGTAGCACGCCGCGAGAACGCCGTAGAAACGCGTGGGTCGCCGTAGGGACGCCGTGACATCTTCACATTGTAAAAATTTTACAGAAAGTTGTGCAATTTCCCTGCGATTGCACTGCGATTTTAACATTTTTACAACGCCGTAATGACTCCGTGTGGACGCAGCTTGGTGTGACAGGGCCCTATTATAGATGCAGTAATTAAGCCCTAAGAGACTAACATAAATGTTTAAATTTTAGAGGCCTGGTCTAGACATCTTGTCTACGATTTTACCGGACAGCCCGCGTATTTTTGAAGCTGGAGCTACAGCATTCTGTTTTTGTTCACCCCTTTCACTGAAAGTGGGGGGGGGGGTATTTTGGGACTGTCTGTCCGTCTATCTTTGTGTAACGTTAACACTTTCGTTTCCGGACGATATCTCACAAAAGCTTTAAGGTTTTTGTAGTGGAATTTTATACCACACCTCTCTATAGCCTAACGATGACCTTTTCATTTTGAGTTGAAAAAGTTAAAAGTTAAGGTCAGAAATTCATATATTGCAAAAAATGGTTTCCAACCATAATTCTCCTTGAGCTTTTTCAATGAAGTTATATATCATAACTCCTACTGACGTAAAGAAGACTTCTTTTGATTTTAGGCCAAAATGTTAAAGTCAGAAACTCATCCAAAAAATGGTTTCTACATGATGACTTTCGTTTTCCTTGACCTTTTATGAGAGTTTATATATTAACACCAATGATTTAAAGAAGACGTCCCATTAAGATTTTTATGTCAAAAAGTCCTATTTTGCAGAAAATAATTTCTTCTTAATTAATTTAGACAAGAGGCCCAAGGGCCTTAACGGTCACCTGAGTATAATACAACAATTTAGAAGATCCATAGAGTATAAAATAAACTGACAGATGAAGCTTTGTTGCCCAAAAGCAAGAGAAATAGGATAATCAGAACCAAAGAAATAATTAGTCTAGTATTCAGTAACAACTCATACATTCAATTCTAATTTATCCCCATTTAGCACTATCACCATGCAGATTATTAACAAACTAATAGTTCCTCTGTACTACTTTTAACCCCACGTTGTGACCTCTCACATTGGCCTCTCTTGGTCTTTGAAGAACATTTAATAAGTTATTTTTGTCTCATTTTTATCTATTTATTATTTGTCTATCTGATCATTAAAACTATGAAAGTACTTTTTGTATTATTCAATAATTTTTTTTGCATAATTCTCTTATTCTATTAACTTTCAAATACATTATTTACAGTGATTAATTATCAAAAGTAAATGGCCAAGGGAATAACTTCTCTCAGTTGAATACAAATTAATAGAGCCCTGACTAGGACCAGAAAACTTGACCAAATGGTCCTGATGTTCAAAAATCTGGTAAAAATATCCTTGCTTATATAATTAATTCTATTTGCCTTCGATATGCCAAGGAGCAGAGAAGATTTTCAAAGAAATAATGCATTTTCACTACAGATTCAACACACCCCTGCCCTAACACTAAAACGCATGTCCCAGGGTCATGAAATTCATAAATTTGGTAGAGGTACCCTCATCATCATAACTATGCACTTAGTTGAAGATTTTCAAAGAATTAACAGATTTTCATTTTATTAATAAATATAGCCCCCCAAACACCAAAACCTGAAGACCACAAGTTTTAAAATTTTGTAAGAAGCACAATTATTCATCATAACTATGCACTTTATTTATCTGCTCAACACTAGGGAGCAGAGAGGATTATTTAACAGAATTAATGCATTTTCACTATATTATCAATAGAGTCCCATCCTTACATCAGAACATCTGACTTAGAGGTCATGATTCATGAAGAAGCACTCTTGTTCATCATAACTACACAACTTAGTTTACTTTATAACCAGGAGCAGAAAAGAAGATTTTCAAAGAATTAATGCTTTTTCACTATATAATCAATAGAGCCCCCCCCCAACCCCCCAACCCTGGGGCCATGAATTTCACAATTTTGGAAAAAGCATCCTTGTGCATCATAACCATGCACTTAGTTTGTTTAAATAATATCCAGGAGCAGAGAAGAAGATTTTCAAAGAATTAATGCATTTCACTATATGATCAATAGAGCCCCACCCTAACACCAGAACCCCTGACCCAGGGGCCATGAATTTCACAATTTTGGAAAAAGCATCCAGGAGTAAAGAAGAAGATTTTTAAAGATTGCATCAATTTTGGTGGTTTTAGCCCCAGGGGGCAGGGACCATGAAATTCACAATTTGTGTTCCCCTTCACCCAAAGAAGCTATATGCCAAAATTGGTTGAAATTGGTTGTAAGGTTCTAGAGAAGAAGTTGAAAATGTTCAAAAGTTAATGCAACACGGACGACGGACGACGACGGACAAAAACGGATAGCAATAGGTCACCTGAGTGACTCAGGTGACCTAAAAAGACTTTTATTGACTTTAAGGCCAAAGTTGATAGGTCAAGGCTGACCTTTTTTCTTTCTTTATATGCATATGTTTTTCACTTCCTCTACCTTTTCTTTTTCATAAGGGGACACACAATTTCTCTGAATTTGATTCTTATTTTTGGTTTTTCTTACCTACTATTCAATGACAATTTTTTAAATTTTGGAATGAAATTTATCTTTTGTTTTAAAATTATATTTCTTTTCGTTTTAAAGATATTTAATAGTGTATCTCATTTTTCTCTGATTTATGAGTGACCTGAAAGCCTTAACTGACTTTCAGTTAATAAAGTCCCTATCACTATGGGCGATTCATGGATTTATACATGCAAAGAAATTAGCCTGTAATAGGTGAATGTATTATTATTGCAAGTTCCTTGACATTACGAAAATTTAACATGAAAGTTTGAGCAAATGCTAGTACTTGCAATCAATATGACCACTTAAAATCATAAAACTTAAAAGCATAGCTAATAGATCAGAAGAGTCATCCCACAAAATTCTTCATCGGCGAGAACAAGAGTAACAGACAGACAAACAGATAGAAATAACAGGAGAATCTTTCTTTATAGTTTCTTTCATTCAGAAATTGCTTCAAGAATACCAAGAAGATTTCTAGAAAACTAGGCTTGTGATTTTGTTATAAAATGATTCGATGGCGGACAGCCAATCCCTATGGTGGCAAATTACTGCCCCCTACGTGCAAGATAAGGATTAGATTTACCACCTCCTCTGACTGTGATTTGTTGGTAGTTTTTTTTCCTCCTCTGACTGCACTGGTGATTTGTTGGTATATAGTTTTACCTCCTCTGTCTGTACTGTGAATTCTTGGTAGTTTTAAATCCTCCTGTGTCACTACTTGTAATTTGTTGGTAGTTTTACCTTTCCTCTGACTGTACGTGTAATTTGTGTAGTTTTACCTCCTCCTTATCTGTACTTGTCATTTGTTGGTAGTTTTACCTCCTCTTCTGTCAGTACTTTTGATATATTGGTAGTTTTACCTTTCCTCTGACTGTACTTGTGATTTGTTGGTAGTTTTACCACCTCCTTATCTGTACCTGTGATTTGTTGGTAGTTTACCTCTTCCTCTTTCTGTACTTGTGATTTGACCGAAGTTTTACCTCCTCCTCTGACTTTACTTGTGATTTAGTGGTAGTGTTACCTCGTCCTCTGACTTTACTGGTGATTTGTTGGTATATAGTTTTACCTCCTCCTCTGTCAGTACTTGTGATGTGTTGGTAGTATTACCTCCTCCTCTGTCAAAACGTGTGATTTTTTGATAGTTTTACCTCCTCCTCTGTCAGTACTTGTGGTTTGTTGGTAGTTTTACCTCCTCCTCTGTCAGTACTTGTGATGTGTTGGTAGTTTTACCTACTCCTCTTTCTCTTCTTGTGATTTGTTGGTAGTTTTACCTCCTCCTCAGACTGTACTTTGGATTTGTTGGTAGTTTTTCTTCCTCCTCTGACTGCACTGGTGATTTGTTGGTATATAGTTTTACCTCCTCTGTGTGTACTGTGATTTATTTGTAGTGTTACCTCGTCCTCTTACTTTACTTGTGATTTGTTGGTAGTTTTACCCCCTCCTCTGACTGTCCTTGTGATTTGATGGTAGTTTTACCTCCTCCCCTGTCTGTACTGGTAATTTGTTGGTAGCTTTACCTCCTCTGTCAATACGTGTGATTTGTTGGTATACAGTTTTACCTCCTCTGTCTGTACTGTGATTTGTTGGCAGTGTTACCTCCTGTGACTACTGGTGATTTGTTGGTAGTTTTACCTCCTCCTTACCTGTACATGTGGTTTGTTGGTAGTTTTACCACCTCCTTACCTGTACCTGTGATTTGTTGGTAGTTTTACCTCCACCTCTGGCTGTAATTGTGATTTTTTTGGTAGTTTTTTCCTCCTCTGACTGCACTGGTGAGTTGTTGGTACATAGTTTTACCTCCTCTGTCTGTACTGGTGAATTATTGGTAGTTTTACCTCCTCCTGACTTGTGATTTATTTGTAGATTTATCTCCTCTGTCTGTACTTGTGATTTGTTGGTAGTTTTACCTCCTCCTCTGACTGTACTGGTGAATTGTTGGTAGTTGTACCTCCTCCTCTGACTGTACTGGTGAATTGTTGGTAGTTGTACCTGCTCTGACTGTCCTTGTGAATTGTTGGTAGTTTTACCTCCTCCTCTGTCAGTACTTGTGATTTGTTTGTAGTTTACCTCCTCCTCTGACTGCACTGGTGATTTGTTGGTAGTTTTACCTGTTCTGACTGTGTTCGTGATTTGTTGGTAGTTTTACCTGCTCTGACTGCATGTGTTTGTGATTTGTTGGTAGTTTTACCTGCTCTGACTGTGTTTGTGATTTGTTGGTAGTTTTATCTCCTCCTCTGACTGTGTTTGTGATTTGTTGCAGTTGATCTGATGTTGTTTGTATCTGTAATGGTGTATAACTGTGACTGTACATATATCTGTAATGGTGCAATGAAAGCACCCATTGTGTAAATCTTTTTAAGGAGAAATTCATAAAAGGGGTTGGGAACAGTCAGTTATTTCTCCCCACCATCTTAGTAGAAAATCTTAAAAGTGCATGTCTTTTAAATAAGAACATCGTATTATAATGAATTTTATCATCCCAGGATTCAACATTTAATAACGAAAATGAGTAAATACAAATTGTCTCCGCTGGTGACAGCTCATTTGTTTAAGCCGTTAATTTTTTCGGAGTGGTATTGTTTCCCTTTCTTTTGTGGTATTTTGACTGTGGGATATTAATCATGTGCAGCAACAGATGCGGTGTTTGATGATGAAGTCACTTTTATCATTTTACTGTTTACCTATCCCTCCCTCTTCAACTGAGTAAACATTATTTATGTGTAATGAATGGTACAAATCACTGAGATGATATGGTAACACATTGCATTTTTATGGATTTGAAAGGGAAAATTTAAGAACTTAAAAACACCTTTTGAGGATTTGGCATAAAACTTTTCGCGTGTACAGCCGCTGTACCAGACACTAAACTTTTATCTCGAGTTTGTTAGGTCTTTGTAAGGTATGAGTTGAATTTCTGATTTTAATATGAAATTGTATTTGTTTCTTCTGCTGTAGCAGGTATTTTGATGGCGTAAAGTCATTACTAAACGAAAATTAAATGTATATTTGTAGTGTTTCAGATAAGAATTATGGCCGGGACGCTGGTTCGAGTCCTCCTTGTGACTCTGCTGTTGGTGAGTGACGCTTTCTGCAGACAGGCGTTTTGGAGGAAGCGAAGAAGCCCGACCAATAAAATGGCAGACCCAGGGCGTCTGACAAAGCTTACTTCTGGAGGAGATCAAACGGAAAACTCTGCCCGAGGAAAGCGGGATCTAACATATCGATATAATTCGGTAAGATTCTCATTTATAAATAAATATAAAATTAATTATGTTCTCGATGTGTACCCGGTTAACCGTCGAACAAACTGCTACTTGGTTGTTCGGATTTGATGCATTTATTAGGAACATAATTAATTATTATTTTCTTTCATCAAGGACCTTGATCTGTACTGGTTCGTGGTTTTATTTGCTTTTAAATTGAAAAAAAGTTAAGATGACAAATAGTGATCAATTTCATAAATCTGGTAAACAATACAAATCGTAAACAGAAAAAAGAGACACTGGAGGTGTGATCAAGTGCAGAGGAGGAGTAAGCATCAGTTTAAATTTTGCTCGTACTTAGAACATGCACTTGCGTACCGAATCAGTTGGGAGATATAAACTCTATATGCATGTGAGTGTGGAATATTACTAGATAAATAGGGAAAGTTGACGATGCAAAAGCTGCTATTGTCAACTTATTCATAATCAGTTAGATCTCCATTTTCTTCTATAGTCAGTAAAACATCCAAATATGAAACAGATTTGTCAGACTTGAGGTATCTTTCTATTGCAAATTCACTAGGATATATCAACTCGACATATGAATGAAAATAATTATTCTGTTAATTGAAAAAAAGGTCGTAGATATATCTAAACGTTGAATCGAAGGCCGAGCTAAAGTTTTCTTCTCATGTTGTAGTTTTTGGATACTAGTAGATTCTGCTTCATAAGAACATAATAATAGGTTGGTGGGAAAGTAGCACGATCAGTGTTCATCGTAATTATAGAGTTCAGAATATTTATCTCCATTCCTACATAGATATAGTCAATGAGAAATTCCAGCATCATTATAATACCAACTTGAGTACTTGTGTGTAGAATCAGACTGATTTTTGACAAAGTCATTTTGTAATTGACCAATCACAAGACATGATAATTTCCTAGTTCCATTTTTATTGAAGGAATCTTCAATGTCAAAAGAAAAAAAAGAAAGAAAAAAGAAGAAAAAAATCCTGGTCTTGAATTTTTGTGAGGGATTTCTGTATAAAATGTATAAAGTCAGACGTTTTGATGCTGTTGGTTTTGGAAAATTTGACGCTTTCAATTTCTAGTTGTTCTTTGGGGTGTTGACAATGCACTTTTAATATTCATGTTTGCCAGGCCCAAGATAAGGAGTACATGTACTTAGAGAAAAAAAACCAATCCAAGTAACCGGGTACTTGATCGGAAAAATAAGCATTTAATCTTCTGATTTTGACAACAGTTTTATGAACTATAAATACATATTATATAATTTGACTGATGAAGACAATAGCTAATTATTTATAATTCTTTCTTAATAAGAGTAGAATGTAATTTCAGTTATTTAGTAAAGGGATAGGTTTTTTTAAAGAAGATTTTTAAATATCGTTCTAACATTTTTTTTAAAAATTTCCGTCTTAATTGTTTAAGACACGATACAGCTTTGTTTGGTTTTACAGAAAGGCGAGGTGTACCACAATTATTACTACAGAAGAACAGATGCTCCACCTCCAGTCATTCCATAAGCATTGAACAAATTCTAAATACATTTATAAATATACTGTTAAAATTTTGTCCGAGTTATTTTTACTTATGGTACTAGGATTTCTCCTATTTTTAAATCTATGTCAAATATAAATCTCTAATAAGAAAGCAATACACAGAAGGTGTGCTTGAAATAATAAATTTGTGGTGAAAAGAAAACTATGAGCGTTTCCTTGCTGTGAATAACAAAGAAAAAAGACTAGATGTGTCGTAACGCCACGAATGCCCCAAAATTTCAAATTGTAAATTGCACATTTGTAGTCGAGATAATGATTAGAAATTGTGAATATTTAAATCTTCTCCGAGTCAAGGAGTATAATTGTCAAAAATCATCGAACTTGACCTGTCTTTTCTGGTGAAATACCTGCAGCTGCAATTTCAACCATAAAGATACATCCCTATACAAAAGTTCAAGTTAGAGACCGGAAACTGAAAATTTCTGATTTTTTCCAAGTTCAAGAGGGATAATTCTGTCAAAAATCATCGGACCAGGACCAAATTCGAACTTGACCAGTATTTTCTGGTAAAATATCTGCATCTGCAATTTCAACCTTATACGTATACATCCCTACAAAAGTTAGAGAGCAGAAGCTGAAATTTTCTTCTTTTTTTTTTCTAAGTTCAAGAACGTAAAACAACAAACAATCAATCAATCCAAGTTCAAGAGGGATTACTCTGTCAAAAATCATCGGACCTTGACCAAATTCGAACTTGACCTGCGTATTCCTATGACGTATCCATATGTCAAATAGTTGAATGTGTGCAAGTGTTGTCGAGATAACCATCATAATGAACGGAAAATCAATGACGACGGTATGACGGAAAAGGGTAACACTGTATGCCCCCGGCCATTTTATGGCAGGGGCATAAAAAAGTAATGTCAGACTGTAGCAGCTAGAATTGAGGCCTGGTGATGAGCAGCTATTCCAGAGAAAAGCTTTTCAGCCAAAGGAAGCCAAATTACTCATTGCTCATTGAGAAGCTCCTGATGAATCCTTTGGATGATATTCCGTGCCAATTTCTTGGCATTTTTTATATAGTGTATATGATCTTCAAATAACTCTCTTTTAAAGGAATTCTTTAAATTCTTACGAAATTCCCAGTTAGTGAAACTTCTTCACAATCTAGACGATAATTAATCTGTTACAATACTGCATACTTTGATATACACTGGTCCTTCATAACAATTTCACTTTTAATTCTGTGGAAATCTACGTAAATCAACAACAATCTATTAATTCTTCTATTCCTTTAATGTGAACTGCTTTTGCTAGCTACAAACGACTGGGGAAACATAAAAAATTATAGACACTACAAAAAGGACAATTTTCTTTCAACAATGTACAAATAATTTAAGACATATACTTAATCTGCAATGATTTGCATGTTCAATATCAGTTATTCCGAGTTGACATAAAATATAGAGGATTGAATTCCATGCTCTGATGTAATTTTTATAATCAATTCTTGGAGAGAAAAGAATCACCTTGTAATACAGTGTAAAAGCAGGGACCTATGGTAAAAGGAATGTAGAGGAAAAAAATAAGTCTTAGTGTACAATAGAAATGTCTCTAAAATTAACAGTTATCTACGCAACATATATAAATTAATATGGATACATGATACATAATGCTGTACATTCTCTCATATTGTAATTTTTAATATTTTGTTCAATTTTGTGACTTGTGTATATTCCAGGTCTAAAACATTTTTGTGGAGGTTACTTTATATAAGTTTATAATTTTATAAAACAATCTATTCCCATTTTGAATTGCATTATTAAATGACTTTAAGATTACAGCACTAAGAATAATGAATTACACCACAACAACTATCTTGAGACTACAGAATATTGTTACTAAACAGGCAAGTCAAAGCTCAAACAATGGAATTTCCTTTAACAGTGTCACAGATATATGTACAGATATATACAGGTATATAAACATTATGGTCAACTTCCACCTATGAACAATTAAAAATAAGACATAAAGACAATAAAGGCAGAAATCTGCTGTCTACTTTTACATCATTTGACATTCACTTTTAAGCATCTAATTTGACAATCATTATCTTTTACATTAAGCCATACTCCTTAACTCTGGAATAAATTATAAGAATTTTCTTAGTTGGAAAGAGAGAATGTACAATGGAGGAAAAATTAACCAGTAGACTATTTACAAGTACAAAATGCATGTTTGTTAACACCACAGAAACACAACAAAATTGACCCGTTTTTTACCTTTTGCAAAGTATTTACAGCTGTACAAAAATGTCAGTAACAAAATCAGTCAAAATTGAACCATTATTTTTTTTTACATCTTTTTCTGTACTTTTCACATTTGTACTATTTTGAAATTTTAGGCCCTTACCAATTAATGGATAAAAACTAACAAAATTTTTATAAACTTTTTAGTCAAAAAAAAAAAAAAAAAAAAAAGATTTAAAAAATGCTTTAACAGTAAAATTCTACTTAAAATAGGAAAAAAAACAATTAGGATGACTAGAGAATCATGAGGAATAATATATATATATATATATATATATATATATATATATATATATATATTTCAAAACCATATAAGTACATTTATAATGATTTAAAACATGATTAGAATGCCATTGTTACAGAATAATTACAGAGATTCCAAAAAAAAAGGTCTAGCAATTCATTACATGTTGAACGCTAACGTAAAGACTGGCTGGTTACTGCAGATGAACCATAATTACTCTAACATTTATTGTCTTGGAAGCTAATACTTTGTTACACTCTAAGGAATTCACAATAGGAAGGTCGAAGTATTCTGTCTCCACGTTTTCTGGTGAGAACTCAAACATGTTTATTGCGGGGTTGACTTTCATGTCCCCATATGGTCCCTTCAGGGCAATAAACTTGACCTGTATTGGGTTTGTGATCTTGCCTTTGAGAACCAGTTGATACGACATCGACCTTGAGACAGACTGAGTCGGTTTGTCATTGTTGATTCGGGCTTTGATGACCCATTGATGATTAAAGGCCGAGAATCTACTGGTCTCGTAGTACAGTTTGGTGATAAAGTCATCAGTTCTGTAGGGCTTCAGCTGCAAATCTACAGAGACAGAGTTTTGTGACGACTTAAGATTAAAACTTTAAAACAATATTATGTATTTCTTTATCTGTACTTTTTGATGTTCCAGCTTTAATACATTACAACAGAAATCTTCTTGCTATAATTTTTTTTAAGTGAAAGATGTCTAAAAAAAATTTTACTGAATGCTTCATCAAATCAAGTATACCATTAAAGGTGACTTTCTCATATGACAGTAGATTGTAGAGATTGCTGTAGACTCTAAGCTCCTCCTCTCTCTGCTTATCAACCAATGACAGAGCATCCATGATGTCATCAGCGGGCTTGTTCGGATGGATACAGCTCTGCTCGTGTCCTGCCAACTCATGAAAGGGTCCTTGCCAAGGACAACCAATTCTAGAGTATTTACAACATGTGGACCTAGAAATATAGCAACTTTAAGATGAGCAAGAGGAATCCAAAGCCAAATAACTTTGTATTGTCTGTAAAAGAAAGGGGGTGTTCGATTAGTATACGTACCTGTCCTCTGTGTGTTTAACTCCACAGTCTTAACAAATAATTAAAAACACCTGAAATAGCATTGCTTTTAACATGAGGTTAACTTGCTGAAAAAATAACATATACATCCATCTCTAGAATAACAAATTCACCATACAGGTTTCATAAATTAAACAGTGAATGTAAATCCAATGTAAGAATAGCATGTCTAATTTCACTGTATTCCAATGGTAAATCCACTTCTTAATCTTCCACAGTCTCATGCATATTTCATCTCCAGGTCATCACTATGGAAATTTTCATATTTCATCTCCAGGTCATCACTATGGAAATTTTCTTCAGACTATCTCCTTTGACACTTATATCACACAAGATGATTTGGAATGAGTGTTTTCCATGATTTTCAAAGGATCCTTGCTTAAGTTCACAGTATGTATTAACATACATGTAATACCTTACTTGAGTGAGTGGTCCTGGAATTGTCCTTGGTTTAAAACTACATCATTTAAAAAACAAAACTAAGATAGGAAGGACAGAGAGAAAAAGACAAAAACACAATTTACTGTACATTAATGGGGCTACCTTACTTAACTTCTTACACAATTTATGGTACATTAACGGGCTAAAGTTCCTTACTTAACTTCTACAATTAAATGAACATAAACGGGGCTACCTTACTAAACATCTTACACACCCAGAAGGCCAATAAGCAAGGGTTTCTTGAAGCAGCATTGAAAATTATTTCACCTGCCCCAGAATTTAAAACAAACCCCAATTTAGTTTTACCTGGCCATGTCAAAAGGTCCCTTGCTTCAAATATTGTCCTTTTTTTTAAATATTAGGTCTAAAATCCACACAGCTCACCAAAATTCTGAACAGAGATAGTGCAGAAATGCTGCAATTCCTTATTTGAGATATATCCTTTGCAAGTTTGGGAATTAAATCATTAGATTTGAGAGTAAAAGATTTTAGGAATCTTTGCCAATCTGGAACATGACAGCCATCCTGAGTGGTTGACTAATCTTATGTATACTAGTCTTATATTTGAGCATGTCCACAAGGCAGATAATACTCTTCTCGTTGAAGACTCAAATGTCTTTCTTTAAAAAGAACATTTCTTGCAAGTTTGATGACAGCCTCTACTTTATCTTCTGGAAATTCTAACCCCCCTTTTTTTTTGGCTGGAAAAAGGGGAAAATTTGCTTTTCAGGCAGTTAAAACATAGTACACAAAGTACATAAATTGTTTAATCAAATTCTACAACCTTTATATATCTGGTTCTAGTCAGAAGCTGAAAACATTTTTTAAAAAAATAGATCTTGGACAAATTTTGAAAAGCTTGTCTGACTCTAAGGAATATAAAATTTCTTTTTGAAGCTTAATTTACAGAGAGAGAAAATTATCTATATCCTGTTAACCTAATCATGAGCATGCAATTTAAGATCTTGGCCTTGGAAAGATCTAGATGGTTAAGATACTTGCCGCTATAATTACGTTGAGTGACTGTGGTCAACATAATTTCTCCAACGCTGAACTCCAAAGACACTGTGAACCAATGATCTCCAAGCACGCCTGGACAGGAACAAAAGATAAAAGTGTTTTGTCCAATTAATTAAACATCAGAGAAAAAAGTGAGCAAAAATCACCCGCTCAGGTGCCGTCTGTCTGCTAGACGAGTCCCGCTCGAGTGGTTTCTCTCAGGGCCCCTAACAACCTTAACTAAGGTGTATGTATGCTGAACATACGCCAGAAGCTACGCTAAGCATACATGTGGACTCACCGCTCTAGACAGAGCTCCCTCTGGTGGTGATCTACTTGATTACGAGGTAACTGACAGTTACAGAACTGGCACACGCTTGGGAGCTCGGACACTGCCTTCTCCACAGCTAGATTGCGGGTACACAGATTTTTGTTGATCTCACAGCGACAGTTAGGGCAGGTTGCTGTCTCATCTTTAAGCCTTCCATCAGCCAGCAAGTGATTGTAACATCCTGCACACATAAGATGTCCATTGGTACACTGAAGAAAATAAATTTACATTGGTTAAAATATATGAAGTTTGAATATACATATTTTGTTTCTTTTTCTAAACACTTTTGATGTCACCAGAATTACATTAACTCAAAGCTTAGTGAAATTTTGTTCCCTGCTACACAATATTATAAAGTATGTCATAATTCTATACATTTTGTATGGAAATGTATGCTCTTATTTTAAAGTCCCAATTAAATAACTAGATATAGTTCCATGTTCACAATATTTCTTTCTTTTCATTAATGAAATGTTATCTTAAGTTCAAGAATTAAATGGGTAAAATTTGGGTAGCCTTGCATTGCTACATATAAATACAGTTGAACTTCGGTATCTCAAACACGGATTGATATCTCGATTACCATGGATACGTTGAAGTGATTGGGAAGATCTAACCAGATATTTCTTAAGTATTTTACCCTTGATATCTCAAACTTTTTTTTCTAGAACACACCGAGTGCAAGATAATGAGGTTTGGCTGTATATTATATAATTATCTGTTTTCTAATTATTATAAGTCATGTAATAATTAATATCTCTTTATTAATTTAAAAAATGTCTTTTGTCACAGCTTGCATCCCTTCACATTTTATAAACAAGTATAACCTTGAAAAACAAAATTTTATCAAATCTGATAAAAAATGTATATATGCAGGGCAGTTTGCAGAATCAACCTGATCCCAAAGGTGCCTCAATGTGCTAATTAATATAACATATCTCCTTTTCTTCAAAACTACACCAGTTTCACTACAGTTTTATAGACACTAAATAAGTTATGAACTCCCATACTTAATGAGCACGATAGCATTTTTCCAATATACAATTATTATTATTTTTTCTTTTTATTTATTTATTTGCATTGACACTGCAACATGGCAAGTTGCCAAGCACGACTGATCAGCTGACCCTGCTCACGTGATTCAACACCCTCTGACAGCTGAAGGTCATAAACAGGTCACCAGCTGTTTTTGACAGTTGGTCAATATTGCAGCATATAAGATAAAATATGCCTTTATGAATTTTTTTTCAGAGGCTGAATAATAAATTAAAAGCTTCTTAAATATATGCAACTCATGCACAATACCGTGTAAAAAAAATATGTGCATATTAAATGTATTATATTTTGCAATAATCAATTCACTTCCGAAATGGGAGGTTTTGCACCTAAATCGTTAAGTTCAGAAAATGTGCGTTGCAATGCATCTTTCAACGCAGGACATGCCTTGTCTGTAGCTGGTAGCGTATTTTCTAATTGTGTTCTATTTAACAATATGATGCAATCTGATAGGGCAGTACCTGAAAGCAAGTCCTGGGCAAGTCAAGGCAAACTGCGCAGCAAAGGATTCCACTCAGTCGATCTTCCAATTTATTTTCCTTTTCCTTTTCTTTTTGGTTATATTCTGTCTTCATTTTCTTTCTCTCGGGCTCAAAATTGGTGTCAAGATTTTCTTTGTTGCAATTTTCATCTTGTAAAACGAGAGTCGAAGGACCTGGTATATCTGCCATCTCGTTTGTTTACGTTTTTGCTTTGTTGACGTTTCGACCAGGAACCCCGAATATCGCTGACGTCATAGACAACCAATCGCTGTGTGTGTCACGAAGGTCATTGCATACTATTACGATGCCATATTCGGCAATTTCCGGGAAAACGCCGTTACTTATAAAGGGTGCGGATCCAACTAAAATAAGCAATCGTATAATAATTTGAGAGGCTCTCCGAGGCACAAACACTTCGTTTTTATGTTTACTTTTATAAAAAAAAAATCTCCATACTTTAATAATAACGTATATTTTTTTTAAGAGTGAGCACTGAACGAGAGGGAGATAGGGATGATGAAGTGTCTCTAACAGTCTAATGGTCCCTTAAAATGAATATCTTACTTTTACTTATATATATATAGATTTACTTTGTACAGCTAAAAACATGATGTTACCTTGTGATTTTCAATTTGATCAAAATGTTATTGATTTAGAATGTCGTTATAACCACTTTAATTTGCTTAAATTTATCTTTCTTCAAGGTAGAGAAATGCAGCAAGATTTTAAATCTTAATACATGTGATGATTTTTTAATTAGACGAGAGTTTTGTCCATTTTCTATAGTGATTTTCATAAAAAAATTTATGTAGCTCAAAATAAATTGCTTTCTTCTCATCCAATTTTGTTCGATTTTTTAAAACCTTATTTAATTATCATGCGCATTCTAGAGTTTATTCATAACCCCAAAAAATCTGTTGCAATTAGGTTGATTTTTAATGATAAATTAATTGAAACTACAATTGCAGCCCAATCCTTATCCCAAGGGCCAAATTTTTCTTAATTATCTCCCATTTGTGGCAAGTTTGGCTGAAAATGGCCAAGTGTTTCTGTAGAAGAGATTTATAATTTGAAAAGTTAAGAGACAATTAACACACAGCATAAAACACTATAGACAGACTCTCTTCCAGTAGTAAAGCTCATTGGTGCCTTTGGCTCAGAAGAGCTAAAATGTGAAAAATAGTGATGTGGTGTCAGTCCCTCTGTCTAGCTGTACGTCCGTCTGTTCATCTAGTGTTAAGCTTAGGGGTACCTACTTCTTATCTGCAGCTCCTCTTATACCATTGAATAAAATTTGATGACACTTTCACAGAATCTTTTTCCTACAAAGTGCCATTGTGCACCTCCTATTTTACTTTTTGATTGGGCATATATTACAGGTTTCCCATAGCAAAACATGGACACTGCCATTCTTTTTATAAAATCAAGGGGTTCCCATCTCTCATCTTCAACTCCTTCTAATAACCACTGAGTAAAATTTAATGATACTTCACAGAAACTTTATTACACAGTGCCATTGTGCACCTGCTATTTTACTTTTTGATTTGACACATATTTCAGGTTTCCCAAAACAAAACATAGACACTGCCATTCTTTCTATAATATCAGGAGTACTAATTTCTTATCCGCAAGTCCTCCTATACCACTGACTAAAATTTAAAGATACTTTCACTGAATATTACATAGTGCCACTGTGCACCTCCTACTACATGTTTTGATTGGACAGACATTTGGACTTTCTCATAGCAAAACATAGGTAATCAAAGATTACAAAGCTCACCTCGACGAATGTTATCTATAAGTAAGGCAAATTTCACATCTTTTTTCTTCTAGTTAGGGTACATCCCAAGATCAGTATCCATGCAAGTTTGGTTTAAGTAGGACTTGTAGTTACTTGGAAATAGACCTGCTCAATAAACTTTTAACCTGTTTAGTAATCAAGAAAATTGTGGTCAGTTCTAACATCCAAAGCAAGTCTGGAAGTTTTCATCCTTAGATGCACCATATATGCAAGTTTAATCATAACAGGCCACAACATCATTTGCAAAATGTAGGTCAGATTCAGAATCCAAAGCAAGTCTGGAAGTGTCCATCCCTAGATACATCATCCATGCTAATTTGGTTTAAAAATGGCTAAAATTCACTCATGTAGAAAATCTAGGTCAGATCCAGCATCCGAAGCAGGTTGGTTAATGTACATCCCTAGATGCATCATCCATGCAAGTTTGGTCCAGGTAGGGCTTATAATTACTTCAGAACGGGACTGCTTCAAAATCTAAACCTGGTCTCACATGTGGAAAATCTAGCTCAATTCCAGCATCCGAAGCAAGCGTAGTATCCACCCCTGGATGCATCATCCATCCGCTTTTGGTCCAGGTAGGGCTTATAGTTATTTGGGAATGGACCTGCTCCAAAAACTTTAACCTGGTCACTCATCTGGAAAATCTAGGTCAAATCCAGCATCCAAGCAAGTGTGGTAGTGTCCATCCCTAGATGCATCACACATGCAAGTTTGGTCAAGGTAGGGCTTATAGTTACTTGGGAATGGACCTGCTCCAAAAACTTTAACCTGGTCATTCATCTGGAAAATCTAGGTCAAATCCAGCATCCGAAGCAAGTGTGGTAGTGTCCATCCCTATATGTATTACCCATGCAAGTTTGGTTCAGGTAGGGCTTATAATTACTTGGGAATGGACCTGCTCCAAAAACTTTAACCTGGTCATTCATCTGGAAAATCTAGGTCAGATCCAGCATCCGAAGCAAGTGTGGTAGTGTCCATCCCTAGATGCATCATCCATGCAAGTTTGGTCAAGGTAGGGCTTATAGTTACTTGGGAATGGACCTGCTCCAAAAACTTTAACCTGCAGTGGTCATTCATCTGGAAAATCTAGGTCAGATCCAGCATCCGAAGCAAGTGTGGTAGTGTCCATCCCTATATGTATTACCCATGCAAGTTTGGTTCAGGTAGGGCTTATAATTACTTGGGAATGGACCTGCTCCAAAAACTTTAACCTGGTCATTCATCTGGAAAATCTACGTCAGATCCAGCATCCAAAGCAAGTGTGGTAATGTCCATCCCTAGATGCATTATCCATGCAAGTTTGGTCCAGGCAGGGCTTATAGTTACTTGGGAATGGACCTGCTCCAAAAACTTTAACCTGGTCATTCATCTGGAAAATCTAGGTCAAATCCAGCATCCGAAGCAAGTGTGGTAGTGTCCATCCCTAGATGCATCATACATGCAAGTTTGGTCCAGGTAGGGGTTATAGTTACTTGGGAATGGGACTTGCTCCTAAAACTTTAACTGGGACGCCAACGCTAACGCCGACACCGACGCCGGGGGTATAGCATAAGCTTATCTTGACTTCATCGAGGTGAGCTAAAAATGGACTCCTATGGGAGTGGGGGGGATCGATTTGTGAGCTCAGTGGTCACAGTACCTCTAGTAATTTCTGTCTTGATATACAAAATTTGTTCTATCTTTAATTTGTCATGATAAACAAAATACAATAGCATTCCCAAGATTTCTATTTTCCTTGTCACTGAAAATTTTCATGTCTCCTTTTTCATGTCACAATCAGTGGAATTGGGTGAATATGTATTTGTCATTGCAAAAATGTACATAAAAATACATTTTAATTTTTAATATGAACATTGGCTAATTCCCTTTCTTTTGCAGAAGTAAACAAAATATACTGTGTGCAACAAAAATTCGCCAATGGTTGCCTAGATATCATAAGGACAAATTTGACCTTGACAGACCAAATGACCTTTCTTCAGGTTTACAACATATTTTCTGTTCTCGTACATGTGTACCTGTGTCATTGTTTCTTTATGACAAAGTGAACAAAGAATTATTACATTTCAATTCTTTACCTTCCAATTCTTTACTTTGTTCAAGCAGGAAACCTCCAAGTTGCCATGAATAAATGTTACAGTTATAGACAAGAGGCCCATGGGCCACAATGCTTCTGTGACCTGAGACATTTTGGCCCTGCTGGTCTGCATCAGTTTTTTTCCCAAAGAATATATTCTTCTGTTGTTTTGATTGACTTTTGTGGCCCCATCCTATACATCAGGGCTGTGATTTGAACAAAAATGGATCTACACTACCAGAGGATGCTTCCACTTTAAGGTAAGTCAAAATGTTCCTTTATAATATATATTTTTCCCAAATATTTGTATTGCTTCTTTAACAAGTTTCCTCACAAAAAATTGAGGTACCAGGCATTTCTGCAAGATGGTTTTCCTATATAATCCTATTAGAATCACTTGTATTGCCAATAACACAATTTCTGGTGTACATATTTTTCAAGACATTTCGAAAACAGTTTAGAAATAACATGAAAATGACAACTGATTTTTGAGATATCTCGAAGAGATACAAAATCAATATTTGAGGAACGTGTGTGTCATCAGGCCTTAATATGGTTCATCATTCATATTTGCTCTTGATTGATTGTATGCTGTTGTCCCATTTCAAGAATTTTTCACTCATATAGAGACATCATCATATACCGGTGAATGGCTTCAAATTTAGATCTTTACTCGGCACTTAGGGCCATCGAGCAGTGAGGGATCTTTATCATGCAAATGCCTACTGTGACACTGGGCCTCGGTTTTTAAGGTCTCATCCGAAACACCCACAACTTTCACTTCAAAATGCCGAGCATTTGGTGAAAGAACAGTTGCTACCTATTTTTTATCGACTTAGGTCAGTCATGGCCTTGATTTGAACACACAACCTTTCAATCACGGAGCAAGCGCTCTACCGACTGAGCTACCGTGACGGTGATTTGCTCTTGAGAAGTTTTAAAGATTTCCTTCTATATGATCACTATTATGACACAGGTTTCATTATGGTTTACTGTGTAAAAATAAATGAATAACATTCAGATACCAGCAAAATTAGGCTATTGTTGAGAATAAAACTGCAGTAAAGCACACTTATAGTGAACACGCTTATAATGAATTGACACTTACAGCAAAGTGATTTTCATTCCCCGTGGCTTTAAACTGTATTGTGATAATAAAGTATATAACGAATTATGTTTATTACGAATCATAAATTATAAGCGTGTTTTACTGTATAAATGTTTTTTACCATATATACTCGACTTTAGCTGAGTTAAAGGATATTTTAGAGGGATTTGCAATTAACCCTCTTATTTCTTTTAGGTTAATACTTTTTGCCAGAATCAGTTGACAATTTCATATCAATGCCCTAATATTTGTGACTTGGTATCAGATAGAAACTTATTAAAATTAGAAATATTTTAAAAGTAACTATAAACTTTGAAATAGTTTTGACAAGAATTGTACATTTGTGTAAGTTTGTACATAAAAAGGTCTTGCATTTTCTGTGCGATTATTGTAGTGATTTGTTTTTCCCTTTCTTGCATAATCTTGTCATGAGTAGCTTTTATTGTTAACACTGTCATAAAGTGTGAAACATGATAAAACTAACCTGTTTTTGCATTTTCTTTCAAAAAATAAATATATATATAACACAGGAACAAAAACAATTTGTACAAAGGAATATTTACTGATCAGAATATAACTTTAGCAAAAAGATTGAAAATGATACAAAATTTATGATGAAGGGCAGGGAACAGGAAAACAAGTTAACAAGTACATGTATTACTATCTAGTATTCATGAATGTACTTTGAGAATTGTTATACCATGATTCCCTGAATTAAACTACCTGTGATATGTGACTATTTTAGGATTCCCCTTGATGGGTCGCTTAATACAAGGTTTGACTGTATAAAAATGGAATCAAATGATTTTCCTGAAACAAGTATAAATGTGTACAGTCCTTTACTCTATTGCACTTTCCCACCTTGCAACATGAATTAAATACAATATACAAAACAACACAAAATATAAAATGGACTATTTCTCACTTTACATTCAATATATAAAAAGAACAGTGAGACAATTTAAATAGACCTAAGGAAAAGATAATTCCCCAGGATCAAAGCATAATGCAGCCAGTCAACTTTGGGAAATCCCAGCAAGGATCCATCAGAACCAAACACAAGTCCTGCAATAACATAGGTAATCCCTGCTCCAAGTCCAAAGTAATTCTTGTTTACAAAGCTTAGCATCAAGATCACCAGCATTGAAAATCCACTAGCTGCCTGTGTTGCCACTTCTTTGGTTTTGGGTGGAAGAAATGCAGCAACAACAACCACTGCTAAAAGGAAAATAGCTATTTTGTTTGCTAGCAGTGCTGATCCATACCTAGCACAGAATTCCATAGCAATCAGTGGTATGCCGGCTCCAGCAGCTAACCATGACATGAATTTGTGACACTTGAAAATAATCCCACCCTCAGGGTATGCCATCGCAAAACGGAAGATTCCAAAAAAAGCGGCAATGGCCTGAATGGAGAGTCCGGCGGATGCCTTAACTTTGTTTAATTTGTACCACTCCAAAGCAACATAGGAAGCCGCCAAACACAGGAGGAGATCAGAAAAAGAGGTACTCAGCTGCCGGGCCATATCTTTAAAATGATGGATAGAAAAATAATGTAGAAAGTTTTGTCATCTGTTAATCAAATGGTAGTTATTGAAAGACAGAGCAACATTTACTTAACAAATCGACTGAACATGGCAAAGGAATGGCTATTCTTTTTCACAAAAATACACAGGTATTGCATACATCCTGGGATGTAGGCTATGACTGTCCACTTCTTTACAGAAAAATAAAATGAGAATTCAATTGTACTTAAAATCACTTATTTTCAAGGGGTAAGATTTTTGTGGATTGAGAAAAACAGGTAATCAGAGATTACAGAGCTCACCACAATGAATGTTGTTTTTAACATATTTAAATAAGGCAAACTCCCACACTGAACTAATAATCTAATAGTGTGCATCCCTAGATGCAAATTTATGCAATTTTGGTCTGATAGGGCTTGCAGTTACTTCGCAATGGACTTATCTAAATACTTTAAAGTAGTCACTCATCTTCCAGAAAATGTAAGTCAAATCCATCATCTGTAGCAAGTTTGAGAGTGTTCATCCCCTGAGGCATCATACATGCAAATTTGGTTCAGATAGGCCTTAGTTTCTTGGAAATGGACCTGCTCCCAAACCTTTAAACTGGTCACTCATCTGGAAAAAAAGGTCAAATTCAGCATCTGAAGCAACTCTGATAATGTGCATCCCTTGATGCATCTTCCATGCAAGTAGTTCAGACACATCTTATAGTTTCTTGGTAATTGACCTGCTCCAAAACATTTAACCTGGTTGCTCATCTGGAAAGTGTAGGTTAAATTCAGCATCCGGAGCAATTCTGGTAGTGTATATCCCTTGATGCATCACCACTGCAAGTTTGGTCTAGGTAGGGCAAATAGTTACTTTAGAATGAACCTGCTCAAAAAACTTTACCCTGGTCACTAATCTTGAAAATTTTGATCAGATCCAGCATCCAAAGCAAGTCCTGTAGTTCATCCTTAGATGTATCATCGATGCAAGTATGGTCAACATAGGGCTAATAGTTATTTTAGAATTAATCTGCTCCAAAAACTTTTACCTGGTCACTCATCCAGAAATTGTAGGTCAGATCCAGAAGTCCAGTAGTGTGCATCCTTAATTGTATCATCCATGCAAGTTTGGTCAACATAGGGCTTACAGTTACTTTAGAATGAACCTGCTTCAAAACCTTTAACCTCATCACTCTAGTAGGTCAGATCCAGCTTCTGAAGCAAGTCAAGTAGTTGTGCATCCTTAGATGTACCAGTATCATCCATGCAAGTTTGGTCAACATGTAGGTCAGATCCAGCATCCAAAGAAAGCCTGGTAGTGTGCATCCTTAGATGTATAATCCATGCAAGTTTGGTCGATATAGGGCTTATAGTTACTTGGAAATGAGACCTGCTCCAAAATCTTTAACCTGCTCCAAATAAACAATAAGCGGGTCATTCTTTAGCTGAACTTGACTTGACTGGTACAATGAAACATACTAAAAGCATCTTCCATACATCTCTGATTAATATAGGGCATAGAAGTACTTAAAAAGAAATCTGTTCCAAAAACTTTAACCTGGGACGCTGACGCTGAGGGTATTACTTAAGCTTCCCCTAACTTCATTGAGTTGAGCTAAATATGTTGGTTTGAGGGGTTTTGATTTCGTGGTTAAAGAAGAAACATGATGCTGATGTGTAAAATTTTAGCATTTCATGGGGGGGGGGGGGGAGTTTATGGGTCCTATTTACCACAAAATTTATGAAAATTAACCCCCTTGAAAATTAGTGATTTCACAGTACATGCAATATGATCAGATCAATAGACATTAAGATCTTTAAACATACTGTGGTTTATCATTACAAATCAATCAAATTAACATCTAAATCAAATCACATCAGTAATTTAACTATTTTCTATCCTTGTACTCTCAACTTCAAGTTCATAACTGCTTAATTGTTAGTTTATGGCATAGTATGGATCATCCTCACAATGTCAGGGGCCTTTTTCCACTCATGGTTATGGGACCCCTGACAACTTTTTTTTCCTTCAGGTCAGCTTGTTTCATTGAGAAGTACCTTTCAAACTGGGGCTTTTGTAAATTGACATAAAATGGAAACAGAAAGTATGTTCCGTGTTCAATAAATATGTAGAATGGATGTTTGTGTATTGAGTTTAGAACAACCACTAAAGAAAACACAAGAAATAAATACCACGATTCGTTTACTGTGAAAAAATAGTGATGTTCAGTTGACACCTTAATATACATGTTACAGGTTGGTTGACACTAAAAGATAATGCATAAGGCTTAATGTTATTGGTTGAGAGATAAAACAATCAGGATTTTTACTCTCCCTGAAAGACATTGCAGCAGTCAGCCCATTAATAAATGAATGAAGTTGTTCAAGGGTCAAACAGCCACAAGTGAACTCAGGACCCTTAATAACAGCCTCATCACTATGGGCTCCTAAAGGAAAACCTTGGCAAAGAGAAAATTTGGACTGTGCACATTGATCCAAACAATTTTTTTCCAAAGTAAACTCAGTACCCATAATGCTCCATATTATTGCATTTGGCACCCAAACAAATTCTTGTAATAACCAAACAAAAGTTTATGAATAAAAAATAAATTAACCTTTTAAAATTTAATGGATATTGTAGATAGATGGTAGATTTAGCATTTTTTGGACCACATTTTAGACTTTGTTATGAAAATAAGCAACTACATATGATGTCATACGATGTCACAGTTTGACCTTCCAAAAGTCTTGTGCACTTTGAAGAAGCAGGTTCAAGTTAGAAGTAAAAAGGTAGGCTATCCAATTACTATCCAACAGCTGCGCCCAAACCAGTGGTTGCACCATCAAAATATTATTGCAGGAATGGCTAACATTATGGATCTTCATTTGCATATGTTAATTGGGTATCAAAAACAGAGGTGAAAGATGTATTTATTACTATTCATTTTTAACCTCTTTGAACTGCAGGAGACATTTAAAAATACCAGGCTGTGATGGGTTTTGAATGTACATAACGGAGTTTTAAAAGTACACTTTCTAATAAAGAGCATTTACATGTAATCTAGCTACTATCTATCTGCAATTTCCATAACATAACACAAGGTGACTTTCTTCTAGTGAACTTTTGTTTGGTTATCGCGAGAACGACAACGTAGTTAGGCAGTTGTATGCAGATGTATGCAGTTTAAGAAGGATTGTGGGCACTGTACGGACACTACGATTTTAATGCGGAAAATGTTCTATTGGATCATAAAAATGTGTATTGTTCCGAATTTTCTCTTCATTCACACGTTGTCGAAAGAGGTCACAGTAGTACTACCACGCTGCGCCCGCTATAAATGTAAAAGGCACATTTAACAGTATACTTAACCTGTATATGTGTTGAGTGCGGAGCACTGACACAGTATTGACAGTACCGTGAGTACGGTGACTTCGGATTCAATCCAAGTAAACAAACTTGCTCCCAACACCACTTCCGGTAATCAATATCTTTCCGGTGAATGTTAAGTTGTACTATGGAAAATGGGTTCTGTCAGAAGCGCGCGGATCTAGAGTGAGGGGGGGGGGTGGGGGGGGGGTCGGACCCCTGGAATTTGCAGAGTTATTAAATGTATATACTGAAGCAAAAAAAAAAAAGACTTTGGACCCCCCTCCTAGAAAACGTTGACACCACCACGAAATAGTTTTTTTCCCCCGAATGGAATGGGAATGGAAATTACAGTTTGTTTGGGTTCTTTTTTTTTTTTTTAAATTTTTATTTATTTATTTTTGTTTTGTTTTGTTTTGTTTTGTTTTGTTTTGTTTTGTTTTTTTTTTTTTGGTTTTTTTGTTGTTGTTTTTGTTTTTTTTATTTTGGTTTGTTTGTTTTTGTTTTTGTTTTGTTTGTTTTTTTTGTTGCTCAGTTGCTATTTGCTAGGAAATTTTTGGGTAAGAAACTTATTGAATCCGCGCTTGACAACTCTCAAAAAAAAAAAGGAATGAGAATTTTTAACCACATTTTTTAAATAACCTTCGTTGTATATTACATCCATAAAGTTCAAGCGACACAATAATTATTTAATACAAAGAAGGGAGTGACTAGAAAACAAAATTGCATAATAGACGCAAGTTATTTACTCCAAATGTTACAATGACGTGGACTTTTATTTCTTAATTATGGTGATTGTTTGATAAATGATAACACAGCCGATATAGTTTCAAGTGTTGGACTCAGTCAATCTGAATAAAAAAATAGATCCTTTGACCCTCTCCACTCGATTGATATCTATCTATAGATATTGATCTGATCATATTGCATGTGCACAGCCACAGGCGATAACGGGTGTTTCACAGGTGTAGACAACGACACGCTAATTACCGTATGCATATTTTATATTTTTTGATAAGTTTTTGATAAAAATATGTACTTTGAAATAAGAAAAAAATACACTTCCGAGTAACCGAGTACCATTTTTAGTATTCGATACTCGGACGTTCGATCGAGTACCCGGTTAACCGGGTACTCGTTGACATCCCTACTACATATAGCAAAGCAATCTAGTGGAACAGAATGAGATCAATGGCTATAATTTTAATTAGACTGGGACTCGGTCACCTACGCTAGTCAACAGTGGCCAGGGGTTTACGATTCGCTCCCCTCCTCTCCGAGATGGCCGGGGACTTGTTATACTGTTATAGTTCAAATTTTCTTTGTGGGTGACTTGAGATATCTTAAATTGTAGTTCCATCAGTTAATCATGAAAAAAATGTATCAAATAATGGATCATCAACAACATACAAAGTCGAAATGCAAATGAAATGTACGTGGCAGACTTGGGGTAATGCTAAATGTAATGGTAATACATTGCAATGCATTACTTGAACTCGAAGTAATGCTAGTAATGTGTAATGCCAAAATATTTGCATTACATGTAATGGTAATGTAATGAATTACTTTCTCAAATCCAGAGTAATGCTGGCATTACATAGCGTTACAAAGCATTATTTTGTATATAACTATTTTAAATTTTAAAGTGGACATGGAAATTATTGTCTAGATTAAATAATTTTTTAAATGATAGAAATGAATGAAAATTAAAAGTTAACCTGTATAAATAAAATCTCTTTATCTATTTCCACTATCTACTACTACACTTTATATTCTGTTGAAAGTACAATTAGCACACATATTAAATTTTCATACTTATTTTAGATAATATTTAATTTCAGAGAATATTTAAAAGGGTTTTAAGAAAATACTTTTAAAAAATAATTCCAGTAAGTATGAGGCACACTAATTAATGTACACTGTAAACTGATAATCTTTTGAATATAGTGTCATCAAAACACACAATGCCTCTAAGGTAATGTAACAATTAAAACAATGTATTGTTTTGAGAAGTGCTCAAAAATCAGTCCCTTTCTCCCGACTGTGTTTATAAAATATTAAAAGAGGTGGTCCAGTTTGAGCAGACCATGAAAATCCAAAAGGAATAGAAGACAGGCATTCTACTTTTAGCAGAGGAAAATGTACATACTGTCAAACCCTTTTTTCAAGTTTGTCAGTGCATTTAATTTTCCTTTTTCATAAGGTACTAGATCTAAACAATCGATGTCTTATTTATTTAGATAGTTTTGGAAAGGAGTTAAAGTGCCCTAAAAGTTAAATTGCTTTATGACATCAATAATCACACAGAAAGCGCATATTGTACATGTTTTTATCTTACTGGCAATTGAAAAGATTGAACTTCTTATGAATAATAAAAAGATATATAAGTTATTTACAGTGTAATAAATACAAGTACTTGAAGTCTGTTTTAAATATCATATCTTTTAATTAAGAATGTTAAATTTGAATCAATTAATTAACGTTCATCAAGTTTAGTTTTGAAGGGGTGTGCATATTTATGAAAAGCACAAGTTTTGTATTTCTATTTTTGAAAAACCCCAAAAGTAATGATAATGCATTACTTTCCTAAAGTAATGGTAATGTAATGTATTACTTTAAGAAATTAGAGGTAATGGTAATTTAATGCCCAAATTCTTGAAGTAATGGTAATGTAATGCATTACTTTACAATGTAATTCGCCCCAAACCTGGACTACGTGGGATATAATATATTAGCGTGCGCAGTTCTTGATTATCTATATATGTTAGTATATAGGTCCCTGCTATAACTCAACAATGTATACCATATTGCATGTATTGTAAAGTTTGGATTTACATTGTCAAATTTATCATGATAACTTACTGGAGAATCTGGTTTCGAACCATATTAATTTTCTGTAAAATCACATGATGATCATCAGGGAAGAGTCTACCGATCATCAGTGATACGAGTTCTTTTTTAGAAAGACATGAACCATTCATATAATCAGTGATGAATGTTGTGAATTTAAAAAAGTATGTTTCAGTTTTTAAAGAACTCGAATGTGGTTACTGTTACATGTATCCCTAAGAAATCGATGGTATATATACGTCCCTGCTTAGAGTTATTTTTCGCGGTGTACGACTTCTCTCGAGTACGAGTTCTCCTGACACCTCTTCGGAAAGGCTCGGAAATGTCCGAGATGTTGCGATTGAAAAGAGAAGGCTGAGAAAGCAGATGATGCGAAAACCAAACACGTAAACGCGAAGACAGAGAAAAAAATCTCACAATGTGACATTTATGTGGATTTTCTTTGCATAAGAGGTAATATTTGTACAATGTTGTTGAATAAGTTAGTGTTTCATGCTCGCAGCCTTGAGAAAAATTGAGTCACATGAGGGATGTCTGGAGTGACGTTATTCAGTAATTCACACAAATCACTGTTTCACCAGGTTACCGCCTTTACAGAAGAGACGTATATATTTATTTATTGCTAATTAATCACATCAAGATGTTAATGTTTTATTATGCCCTGAACTGTGACAGGGTTTTATGTTATTCTCAAATGTTAATGTACACAGTTAAATCGTTATGTAAATTTGAGTGTTCAATCCCTGAAATCTGAACACATAGATCGATGTGAAAAGTTATTTTATATACATATATATATATATATATAGAGAGAGAGAGAGAGAGAGAGAGAGAGAGAGAAAGACTTTTAATTTTTTTCACTTGGATTCAAGGTTCACAGTGCAATTTAGTGTGGAATTTGTCGATCATTTGCAGATATGAAATGACTCTACTGACATTGGTTTTTTCTGAATATTCAAATATAATTTACTAGAGGCTGCAGGCACTTTTAATATGTGCTTCTTCTTTTTTTCGTTAGAACTGGAATTTAATTTCAACAATGAAGTAGGTTTTATTTATGTGCAGTTATATATTAGTAAGTGTAAATCTGACATTGTACCCTACAGATAATGTCTTCAAAAGTAACAAGATACATTGGGTACCTGCTGTTTAGACTCCTGCTGCCATTGGTTCTTCTTGCAGGTAATTCACAATAGCCATAAAATGACTATAAAATTCATTGTCAGCTACCAAAATAAACATGATCAATTGGTCAGTTATAATGCACGATCTATCATGTTTGTCTCTTTTTAATTGTTTACTTTTCTATTCCAGGATGTGCTCTAAGATACAACATTATTTCATTCCTGTATTTATTATTCTTACTGGGGCTTCCACTAATTCCAACTCCAAGTACCACAACAGTGAAAGGTGAGCCATTCAGACAGAGTTCAATCCTGTCAAAGCCTTTGCATGAATTTTTTTTTCAAACTTGCATGTGTATGATCTTTCCGGATTACCTTATAATTATTACCCTTGATTCAAGGTCATCTGGATCAAGTCATGGTCAGGAGAAATGACCTTGGATATTTTATGGGTTAGGAGAAAAACATTATATATATATATGTACATGGGGTTTTGAAAAAGTGTATTTGTCATTGAACTTAAGTTACTGTGCAGTGGCAGATACTGTATACAGGGTTATTTTCGCCACATTATTTTCGCCATTTCGCACTTGCAAACAACTTTGCCCCATTTTAAATTTTCCCAGTCAAAATTCTGCATAAGAAATTATACTTTTTTTTAAATTCCACCTGTTTTAAATTCGTCCACCTGTGAGAAGGGCGAAAGGGGCCAAAATTAAACAGGGATGGAAATTTCCCTGTATATGGTATAATGGTACTATATGTTTAACATACTATGGTTATCTAATGGTTAAAATATGGTTTATCAGTAAAACATATTTTAAGGAAATTAATATTTACATTCTACAGTTGTTTCCCTTCTAAATTCCTAGAATAAACTGCTTGTGTTTCCTGTGTCAGTGACATCATAGTCATTAAACTGCTCGAGTAAAAATTATTAAGATTTAAAAAAAAAGACCTTTTGGCTCAAGTTGTAAAGGAATCGGCATCATAAGCATTTATTGATTTTTTTTTTGTGCTTTTTAAGCCAGGCAAGTTACACAGATAGGCATATGAATTTTCATTATGCAATATGGTATTCATCATGTTCATTGTAGTGCATGAAAAATTTAGCACAAACATAGCCATAGAACTGACTAATTAGTATTTGATGCCTTCATGAATGGGTTTTCTAATATGCTTCTTTACTCTGATACTAAACCTTGGCTTTTCACAGGGATAGAAATTTGGAAAGTTGAGCTACCTGAAAATATTTTAATGCTACGTTTGTACGTAAATGTATACCACTGTCCTTGTCAATTTAATCTGTAAACATGCACTGCAATGCAGAAATAACCCTCTGTTTCTTTTATAATAAAGTTCATATTTTTAAGAATTATTTTTGGTAGGTCAGGATCCTTTTGCAGTGTTTTGTGAATTTTGATTTTCAGAGATAACTGTGAAGCAAAGCTAACAAAGATATACTGCTGCTAAACATGCTTATTTTGATCAGGATAGGTTGTCTTACTTATACACATATTCTCATGAATAAACAATCTAATTTCCTAAAACATGTAAGTAGGTAACAAAGTTGTTAATCGTAATTACCATAAAAGAAAACAGAAAACGATTGAATTAATGGTTGAATGAGACTACGTATAATCTAGAAACATGACCATGGGATTTCAAATGCAAAAACAATGTACTTGGCTGAAATCAAGTGTTCAGTTTATTGTTTTATTTATAAATTTATGTAAACTAGATGACAATATACATAGATCTACATCTGATGATACTAGAAATGAACATCTGATGCTACAAGAAGTGAGCATCTGATGATTCCAAAGAAATGAACTGATGATTCCAGAGAAGTGAATATCTGATGATCTTTCTTCTTAGGGTTGTTGTACATATTTGAAGGATCATTGATTGCCAGATTCTCATGGCTGCAGAACTTGTTTCTGAAGCTAATTTAAAAACTTAAGCCTCCTGTAGAGGTTCATAGCTGTTGGGTCTTTGATGTTGGTAATTTTCCAACTCTTTCCATCCTATGATACTTAATATTTAAATGCTGTTGCCTCAGAAATAATCCTCAGGCATAATTCTTGCTCTGTCCCAGGGTACTTTCTGCTCCAACAAATTATTGACTGAGGACTTTTTTTCCAAGTCTGTTAGACATACAGTCAAACCTTGTTATTTCGAACTGACAGGGACCGAGAAAATACTTCGAGATAACTGAGGATTCCAGATATTCAGGGTAAAATACTTAAGGAATAAGCAGTTGGGACTTCAAAATTAATTCGACATATCCATAGTATTTGAGATATTCGTGTTCGAGATACTGTATTTTTATAAATAGTGATTTATTGCAATGCAATAGAATGTCATACTCAGTAATTGGTTGGTATCACAACTCAATTAATAGTCAAATATTTTCAAAGTTTAATACCATTCATCTGAAAGATTTGAATACAACAAATAAACTTTTCTGCACTAAAAAACATAGTGTCAATAAACACCACAGTATGTTTTTTTTATAAAATCTATTTTGTCTTATTTAACATGTTGACCCTTTTCTCCAGTGGATGTCATTCATTACGGTAGATATTTTTTTTTCCATATTTTACACTATGCATTTATATGTCGCAAGGTGTTATATGAAATCAGTGTATTAAATATACATGGGAGATTAAATGATGTAATACAGCAGGGTTCGACACTAACGGTGGACCGGCGGCCCGAGTCCACCAAAAAATTGGAAGGTCCACCAAATGTTCTGGACTAGGTGGACCGGCGGTCCACTTAAAATTTAAACACCGTATAAAAAAAACCCAGTAAAATTCGGTTTTCTTTTTCTCTAAATCTACATCCGTAAATCAAACGATTAATTCATCCATACTTGTATTTTACAAGAAATAAATATGAAATTTGTTTTAGGTATTAAAGCAGGGGAAACTAGCGACTTTATATATTTTACATGTAATATTGATGACTACAATAACATTGAGGTGCAAGAACATTCAACACGGACCTTGAAAAAGAAGCATGTAAAATTCGTGCCAAGTTAGCCAGTCTGTCCTTTCTTTACTTAACGAGGTTGGATCCTGATATTTAAAGTCTTAAACTTTTTTTGTCAAGTATATTTTTAGTTTCTACACACATAGCTTAATTAAAAATCAAAACAAAAAATGGGGGTCAATATGCTTATTTTGGCGCTACAGTACATTTGATATGACCTTTTTGCACTGAAAATTGTGTCTTAATCAAAAATCACATCTTTGACGTTTTCCCTCCAAATTTTTTATACAGATAAATCATGGGACAAAGTAAACAATTAGACTATTTAAAAAAAGACACATTAAAGAAAAACAAAAGTGGGGGTCTATGATCTAAATTTTTAGATATTACTAGTGCTGGGACGATACAACTTTTTCTATATCGATACGTATCCCGATATTTGAGCCACGATATGATATGTATCACGATATGTTTAATTGGTTATAAATTTTTTTTTTGTATTGAAATGAACAAAACATTTCTTCACAAATAAGAATATTTTATTCAAAGAAGTTGTATATCTGTTGTAAAACTTAATTATTTTACACAAGTGGTGTTAATTATTATGTATTTCATATTCATATTTATATTCAGCATATTTGTTTTAAATATTAAACCCAAAATGTAAAGTAAACAAAGAAAAACATAAGTAAGAATTTTTTGGGCGATATTTCGATATTTTTTAATATGTATCGATATGCGTATCATCCTCACATTGAATCGATATTATCGATATCTCGATATATCGTCCCAGCCCTAGATATTACTAAAAAAGTGTTCATTTTATGTTAAAATTGGCTCAATTTTTTCCTGGACTTTCAGAATATATTTACTATATTTGTCACAATATAATGAAAGAATTCATAAGAAATAATTTAATGGATATTTCAGAACCAGCATAAAACATTTCACTGCAAAAAACAGCTCTGTTTGCAACCAGCATGGAAAAATAGGAATCTAAACTTAACAGTACTGTATATAGAATTGATCATTTTCTTCTAAAAAAAAACCTTCCGCCACAAAATATAGTTCTTTGCTGAATCCTACTTGAATGGAATTTAATCGCGGTTTTTTCATTGGATAAAGTTTAATTTGCGTTGTAGAATCCAGATTTAATGTTAGAACTTAAAAATGATGCAGAATTTTAGAAATAAAGGTCCAGACCAAAATCTGCTCAAAAGCTCAGGATCGAACCTCCTTAATGCACAGAAAGGTGTGAAAATGTACACTAGGTAACAGGAAATCACTTCACGCCTGAACGCACACTGATGGCCATGGCCAAGTTTGGAGATAATTAGAATTGATTGACAGCTGCATTTATGCATTGTTTATTTTTTCAAACTGGCGTGATTTATATTTTATGAATATCTGGGGGGGTTTTCTGCTATACTTTATATCACATATGAAAAGAATCCTATGATCACAGTTTATTTGAATAAATAATAAAAAAAAATTAATGAATACATATACTTTTGTCATTTTTGCATCATGGTAAATAAAAAAATGTTCTAGCCATTGATACATGAAAAATTCACTTGATTATAGATATTTGTTTATTCACCAATCAAGGGCTCTCAGGGGGCATATACAATTATTTCAGAATGATCACATATAAATAATATTAAGGTATATTGTAATATGAAAGAATATTAATCATATCTTAGTTAATTTATTAGGATTTTAAATTTTACCTACCTTTAGAAGCGAATTAAATGCAAGTTTTTACCATTGTAAATAAATGATATTAAAATAAAATTCGTCTGAAGATGTAGATTGCGTTCTTTTTTTTTTTTTTTTTTTTTAAATATTGGAAATATATTTAACAACAATGCTGAAAAACTCCTAATTGATTTGTTTCTGTTGATTGGTTAAACTAATACTTTATTAGTCTGACTGGACTGGGTACATAAGTTAGTGTCAAGCCTTGTACAATGAATTCATTCATTAATTCAAACATTTATGAAGGTCCACCAGAATTTGAGAAGGTCCACCAATTATTTTTGACAAGTGGACCTGCGGTCCACCAAGGTAAAAAAGTTAGTGTCGAACCCTGATTATACATTGACATATATGAGAAAAATGAATTATTGGGCAATAAACTGTTAAACTCTCAAAATGCATGATCACTTTCTGATTTTTTTTTTTAATTTTGTGTCATAGATTAAGAACTAATTTGCCAATTTCCTGCATGCACTTATATAACACTTGATGTATTTTAACATTATACACTACAATACTTCCTCAAAGAACCATAGAAATAGAAATCAGCTTTTAACAAATTAGATAATGCATCTTTTGTAAAATAGACTCTAACAATGTGCTCTCAGATTTTATATTATTCTTCCTGGGAAATCATAGCTAGTTAGCTACTATGTCTGAACTCATTAACAGGCAAATCAGGAATGTGACTTGTTTTCCGGTCCTAGTGACTTTAATGGTAGCAGCTGCTTGTGACTGCACAAGTGATTTCATAACAACAGATGTGTATAACTGTTCATAACTGTGAGATGCATTTGTTTATCATTACAAATAGGTTTTTACCTAACACACATGCATATTGTTGTTCTAGAAAGTGCAAGTAACCTTGGTTTCATGCACCATAAAACTGAGTAATCTGAAATAAAAATATGAAGGATCACCAGTTTTAAAGCAGCTTTCAATAAAGCTATGAAAGAATTAATAATATGAATACAAACACAGCAGGGATGGATAAAATTAGAAATGCATTATCAGCCTAATCTAGGTTTGGCCCCTGGTTAATTAGAGGACTGTCCACCACAGTTTATAGAATGTGTTCATTAGGCCATTCAGAGAAAGCAGAGGGATTTCATAGCTGAAGCTGTGCCAGACCACTTATCTAATTTGTCTTTAATAATTCAGTTACATTTCTTTTCTGCATGAACAGACATATATGTAGTCCTTTACACTTTCATTATGGAAAACAGATTTGACTTAGTACATCTACTATAAAGGATATAACATATATTTAATATTTTTGATAGTATTTAGTCGTTTAAGTGGCATATATGATTATCATAGGTCGGTAATTATATATTCACTGTTTGAAAAGGTCTCTGTTATTAACTGATGGTATTATTTGTACACCAAATTTGCTATATAAAAGTTGGTAATAGTTTATTAAATGTATCTAATTATATATGCTACAAATCAAATGTAAATGAAATAAATTATTGCTATATTCTATACATATATTTGTTTCAGGAGTCACTGGTATCTACTTAATATTGCTAATCGTGTTGGGTGGCTTGGCAACCCTAGCTCAGGGTGTTTTCCACATTGTCCTTGCAGCCATCCCTGGGACATATGGTGAAAGTTTTCCAAACTGTGAGTAGACTAAGTGAAGGTTCAATTCTACACAGATTCAAGACATGCAAATATGACAAATGTATCTTTAAGCATAGTGTAAGATTTATGGATGATTGGAAAGGTAGTCCTGCATTAACAACTGAGATTAAATCAATGGGTCATACAGATTACCCAGGTGTCTTTAACTGAGACTCTGATTATATATGTACAGTATAAACATCCCTCACTTAATCCTTTAATACATACAGCTTACCATGTCTATAACAGTGTAACTTTAAAGTAATTAATGTGTAAACATCCCCCCCCCCCCCCCCCCATACACACACACAGAGCATAATGGGACGTCAGGTGAACATTGTAAAACAAATTAATGTATAACCCCCCCCCCCCCCCCCCCCCCCCCCCACACACACACACACACAGAGCATAATGGGTTAGGTGAACTTCATAATGGATTGCACAGCTTACCATGCCTTTAACAGTGACTATAAACTAAACTCATTAATGTGTACATGTATAAGCAATAATGCACCCCACCCAAACAAACAGAGCATATTAATGGGACATCCACTTGTAAAGGAGGGATTAAACATGCATTTGAAATGTAAACATATTTTTATTTACATGATTATAAGAGTAACGTACAGTGTATACATGTATATTTAAAAAAAAAATCAATATGCAAAGACAGAGCAGCATTTTTATAGAGCAGTGTATTTATATGTACATGTGTAAATTAATCACCTTAGTTCATATGCAATCAAATAAAAACCTCTTTTAGCTGGCTAAATTATAGCCATCAATTTAGGAGATATACTGTATATTACATTTACAAGTATATACATGTATATGTATATATGCCCATCAGATTCAGTGGGAAATTTAAAGAGTATACTTTATAGGTTCTGAATCTTTTGTTATTTGTTTAGTGTTTATCACAAGGCCCCTATAACCTGTTATCTTAATGCAAACAGCTTGAGGCATTTCCACAAAGCCGATAATAACAAGTAATGCTTCACCGCACAGACACGGGAGATAAGTCATACTTACCTTAGCTGGCTTACAATTTTGGGCATGTTAAATAAAATATTTGATTAAAGAAATAATATTAGGTTTTTAAAAAAAATTTATATTCAACTATTAAAATTAAACATTGTTCCCTTAGTATAGCAATTTATTAAACCTAAAAATTATACGGTAATGAAATATTTTTTGAAAGTATGTGTTTACCATGCTAATTGCCTTTACTAGCAGTAAAGTGTGGGTATCAAACTATAAGAGGTTTTCCTAGACCTTGAGAAATCATACTTACCTGGTGCAGGGGATACCATGATCAGCAAGGTGGTTCCCCCAGATCGAGGCCTTACCATTGCACTCCGGTTTGGCTGAAGTCTGCGATAACCCCAAATGCGGGTTACTCGGGCACGTAATTTTTTAGTGTAGGGGTCTGCGTTCGCGCTAACCCCTGAGAATCAAATTGAAAAGTAGACAAAAATTCACTTCAAGCTCTCTACTCTGTGCATTCATTTATTTATATATTTTCAATTAACATACGGGGTATTATTGTTTGATATATTCGTGTTTTATTTTGTTTCCAGGTTCAAGTAATGAAAAAATTGCTCGACTGATAGCAGTTGAAAGGTAGGTACTCTGTAACAGGATAGTTACTAGTTAGTTGCTATGACTATCTCACTTCTGACACCATAATTGTAAGTTAAATGGTTGACTGCATGAGTATAGGGAAGGGAATATTAAACCCAACCCTTTCAATTTGTCACGAAGGCAGACATTGAAATAATACATGTTCATACCGTTACCATGCAGACAAAGATCACCTTTTCTTCTGTATATTCAACAAACCTCTTTCAATGCAGGTTGAAAGTTATTGCAAAAATGAATTTGCACACACATGTGAGAGAAATGGAGATTCAGTGTTTCTTGAATCACTGGTTAATATGTTAAAAATGTAACTTCTGTTTTAAAAAGATTGTTTGCATTATTAAAAGCATTGGTAGAAAATTTTATTAAAATTCATAACATGTAAAGGTGCCAATTAGTGTCCTTTTCTATACCCACCATATGACTTGCGCTTTAAATAGCAAGCATGTTATTTGATGAAATCGAGGATAATTACGTCTGAAATTATAGCGGAATCTCACTATAATAGTGAAATGCCACTATTATAGCGGAATTTACGTTTCCCCCCAACCTGAAGCTGGTTAATGGCAAATTCTTCTAAAATAAGCTGAAAAAATAAAAGATATGTATGAGCCAACTTGTATGAGAGTATATACATTAACTTTCCTGAGTTAAAATTAATACCAAAATTATGCTAGATAAATATTAGAATTAATTGCTAATAATAATTTGATGGATAATTGATTATAATATGAGAATTCAAAGAAAAAAAATCACGCCAGAAATAGACCTATGTCTGATCTTAAAAAGAGAAAAGGGCTGGAATCCCTATTTTACAGTGGAACTCACTTTTTATACCAACAGGGAACAAATTATTCCATTCCAATCTAACTGAATCTGGTGAAAAACAATGGTATACAGTGTACCAGTTCAAAGAAAATGGGTAAACTTAACAGAAATTATTCTACGACAGTAAAACTACAGTATCACTGAATTAAAAATCAAATACAACATTAGTTTAATTTACTTGCAATTATAAAAGTAAGTTATTTACCTAAACAACATAACTTCTTAATATTCTAAGAGTCAAAGCAGTGAAAAAAGAATTGCTTGGTGGATCCAATAAAATTGCCGGAAGTATACATTAATGGACCACCAAAATAGAAAAATAAAATAGATCAAAACATGTTAAATCTCAGTTTCAACACAAAAATTGTTAGAAACGATGGCACACAAAACTAATTCAGATACTCTTTGTATTTAAAAATACAAGTACAGGTATTTTAATTATTTCTCAATTAAAAAAACAAAAATATAATACCTCAAAATGCATTTTTACACAATCATGTTGTGAAAGTAAGAGGTCAAGTCAAAAGAAAAAACATTATAACTCCATAACATAAGTACTGTGAAAATGTTTGTCTTGAAAAAAAATCTCTGATTTGAAACCATTCTATTTAAGAGTTGTATGTTCTAGTCTTCTATGTTCTGGTTTGCAGTAAAAGGAAGGTAAATGAAGTAAAGTGGACAACAGAATTAAATTTGATTAATATTGCTGAATACTGTATAATCAGTGTCACTATTTTTCAGACTGGACGGAGTCCCCTTTATCCATGTCCTGCGATTGGTCGTTCTGGATGTGGTCATTCTGGTGGTAGCCATTATTGTGTTTGTTTTTTGTTATAAAGTGTTCGCTTCCTCCAGAGACACGCTATCTACCAGGGACCTGCCATCTATACAGTCTGGTTCCCATAGAAGAAGATCTCAGAGACTCCATAACTTCTTATTGTTTGTCGGGAAGTTCATTGATGTTCTATTTTTAGCAGCCTGTGGTATTATTGTGCCATCAGTTGCCAGTGCTGTGTACTTTTTATCATTTTTGTATATCGCCACCTGGTGGTCATTTTATCGGGGTCTTGGACAGAAATTTACAATTTTCCGAATATGTGTTCTGATATGGAGTGGATTACATTTAGCTTTTCTTCATTTATATCAAATGCAACTTTTCCAAGAGGACTGGCTTCCATCAAGAACATCTCTTTTGGCCAGGTATGTAGAGCAAAAAAATGTCTCTCAGAGAGGCCATTGTAATAAAAGTAGAAAAAAGAATTTTAAATGCAGCATATGATAATTCATTGCTTAATGGAATGATAATATCCTGTGCCGAAAAAGTTTATGTGGTTTGAAATTCTAGGTACCGGTAGGTTTGTAAAGGAAAGTTTTATGCTATATGCAAAGAAATCATTTTTCGTAAAACAATTCATGAATTTTGCTCCCTTTAAGACTGCTTGGATTAACAGCTGTAATCAAAACGGATTGTGACAAACCCTGGTCTGTTGAATTTCATGAGCCATCGAACTGGCCTTTGTTTGTCAACCCAGCCCTTCTTCTTGCCCTTTACTTCAGTGTGGCCACAGAAACCAGGATCTGGAAAGGTCCCAAGGTACGTATATATACACCTCATGGCTGAAAACTGGCTCATTCTCTTAAGAACAATCTCAATATTTAAGGCAATTCATTTCATAATTTTTATCATCATGCTTAATGGTTTTTCAGTGTTTAATTTTTAAAATAAAATCTGTGCTGTCTTCTTTTAACACAGTTTTGTGCATGATATTTTTTGTTAGAAATGTGTTTTGTACTGTAAACATTGAAATCCTTGTGACTACTAGTATTCTTTTCAAATTTTGTGATTATAGAAATTTTTCTTCATTATTTATTAATTCACATGCAACATGCTTTTGTAAAAAAAATTATTATGATATCTATAATATAATGTATTATCAATTTCATCCTTTTTGTTCTCACAAAAATAATTTACAAAAGTAAAAATTCTAGATATCAGAAATCGCCGAAAATTACCATAATTCTCACAAAATTTTCCATATTTACAGTGATTTTTCATTTGTCCTAGAAAAGCTTTTTGATGTTCCTCCTATTCTCATATGTGCATGGCTTTGCGTGTTGTTTATTTGTAGAGGGATGATGTTGTTGATGCAGAGATAGGTTCTCCAAACAAGAGAAGGCATAGACGTACAAAGTCGTCCGAGCGGGAGGTATTGCCGCATCTCGAAGGTCAAAACGAGGTTTGGTGGAATTTAATGAAAAATCAATGTTGTGTTTTGTTAAGTTTTTGTTTTGGCTTGTTTCATTAATATTTCAAAAATACAACCCAATTATTATTGATAATGACGAGCAAAAAGCAATGAGAAAACAATGATTTTTACTTCCATGGAAAACAATCCATTTATAAAGTAATGCATCTTTATGTCGAGATATAAGAGAATTGGTGCTGTTTGTCGTGCTTGAGCTTGTAAAGCTGTTTGCCTTTTTTTGCACATATTGACATTTTTTGTAAAGCATGGGTAGGGATATCATATGTGCAGAAACAGTTCTTGAAAGTTATAGCAACTTCAGTTTTTGCAAGCAATACCAAATTACTAACATCCTTAGTATGATTGTCACTGTGAACATCATCTACATGTATATTGCTTTGTATTTATTTACACCTAGAATATAAATATATTTGCAAATATGCAGTACATAATTTGAAGGGTAATTAAAAGCTTTTTGCACTGTTATCATCAATAATGTATGTGGTATTATGAACTTATTTATTTGCTGTTATAATTTATAGGAAAAAAGCTTTTAATTTTATTTTTTGCATGGCAAAGTATTCAGAAACATACAAGAAATTCCAACTAAAAACAAAAAATTACACACTCAGAATGAAATTCCACCAAAACTGTTCAGTATAACTTGAATAATAAGATAACTTTTTTGCATTCTTTGGTCTATATAAATTTCACAACTTTTGAAATAAATACTGGTATGTATGATGTGGTTTTTCTCAGGGGATATCTCAGAACTCTGCTGTTCATAGAAAGTTATGTTTCTTTTTGTTTCTTCTCTATTTGAAAAAAAAATTGTTGTATTTGGATGTTGTTTTGTTTCATTGCATGAGAGTATTTATGTGTATTTAATTTTAAGGCAAATTCCTTTGCCAGGTTAATGGAGAAAATGCAAGTTAATTTTATTTTCTTCTTTGCACTCTTTAAAAGCATGCCTGCACTTAGCAATTTGTCTCAGTTAAACATGTAAGTTATTTTCTTAAGTATTTTATTTCTTACTATATTTTTCTGTAACGAAAATGCATGATATAGATTTAATTGTATCAAAAAATTTTCCAAAATGCTTCCAGAAATAGGTATTTTGGTGTATTATAAAAAGTGCAAATCATTAAGGTCATGGAAACATCGACTGCTATTTATAGCTTGAACTGGGCACTAGAGTCTTTAATAATCACAGAGTGAAGTTGTGCATGCAACATTCCAAATGGCCACTGTTGCCATAGAAATGGAGATAAGAATCTTCATGTTCTTTACATCTGTATTGATGAATGAAATGTACAGAACTTAAAAAACCTACAATATATCTACTGAATTTTAAAGAAGGACAGTCATTTTGAGGTTAAAACATCAATTTCCTAGTAGACTTTTGTAGTTTTTGATTAATGTTTTAAATAAATATTTTATTTTGCTTGAATTCAGTGGAAACTCTCAATTCCAACCTCTTTAATTCTTTGATTTGTTTATAGAGCCTGGTTGTGGCAGGAGAGAACCAGTCTTACGAGACATTCTCCTCGGCCTCACAGCCTCGGGACAAGGCAGACTCACCCACCATGTTGGATTCTGATGAGGAAGATGGTGGATCAGCTAAATCTAAACCAAGAAAAAAGAAAGCTAACTTAAAGAGGAGTCCTGTAGCTTCCCTGTTTGTGTTTATTATGAAGCAGAGTTATGTCTTATCCCTGATTGCAATGATGGTAGGTATTAATTACCTTGAATAAAATCACTTTCAAACAGAGAAGACTCTGCTTACAATAAAATCCCTAAGAATTGAAAAAATACCATTACAACAGCATATACATATAGTATCAATAGCCATATGGGGAAATTATACAAGTACACTGTAAATTTTCTACTGAGTATAGAGAGTGTTGTATTATCCATTGATTTAAACCACATATATACAGAGTGTACCGGGTTTTCATTGTAAGCAGGGCTAGAAATAATTTTTTTTTTCACTGGTCACTCAGGCTATCACCTTAAATTTTTACTGGTCAATTTGGTACTTACACTGTCCCACTGGGACAGTAGATTAAGAAAAAGGCTGACCCAATACCATAATAGTAATATTTTGTTTACACTGTGTTACTTAATAATACATCTTAACAAAACAAGAAACGACAGATCCCACAACCTTCTCAAGATAATTAGCACGACCAGGAATAAATTTGTTTTACAAAAAAAAAAAGGGCCCAAAGGGCACATGCCCTCTACAATGTACTAGAAAAGATTAAAAATTCACTGGCCCCAGACAGATCAATTATTTCGAGTCCTGTGTAAAATGACTTCCATCAAGCTGTTGGCAAACATTTGCTTATGATTTATCTTAAAAGTTAATAAAAAGGGTAATTGTTTAGATACGCAGTAAGGTCCTTTTTTTGACTGCTGAAAGAACTATTGCTTTTTATGTCACTCCAGATATTTCACACACCTAGGTTATAAACATATGTTTGAGTAATTTTTACAATGACAGATCCTAGCTTGGCAAATATTTTTTTACGTTTAGTGATAATAGAAGTCCTTGTGCTTTTTAGGCGTGGAGTATCACATATCACAGCTGGATGACCTTTGTCCTGCTGTTGGCGGCTTGCTTTATCTGGATGGTTCCCCAGTCCAGGAAGGCGTGTCTCCTCTGTTCTCCCCTCATTGTTTTCTATGGAGAGGCCCTTCTCATCATTCAGTTTGTGTATGGCATGAATCTCAAAGAACTACCAGAGGAAAGCAATGGAATACAGCTGGCAGAAATCGGACTGAAGAAATTCAAATATCCCTGTCTACAACTGGCGTTACAAGTATATAGATAAATAAATGTTTGGAAAGTTATATTTTATGTTACCTGAATATCATATTTTTGAAAGCAATATGTGATTGTGCTTTTGGCAAATCACTTCAATATAAAGGAATATCTTGGAGAAATCTTACAGATATGAAATACATGATAAAATTTTGAAAATCAATTGATAGAATTGACCATGCATATTTTGAGTGATAATTTATGCACTGACAATATAATCTAGTTTTGAATTTGTTCAGATCCTATTCACCAGTATGTTTTGGCTTACAATGAGACAGTTTATTCGAGAGAGACGGGCCTTGAAGAAACAGGACAGAACTCAGGTACCTCTAGACACCATCAACTCCGAGGAAGCAACACGGGGATCATGGTTCCGTAAGTATCAAATCCTTGTAGAAATATTAGTATTGATGTTGTAGATGTGGTAAAGTTCCTCTTTTATTCTGTAATTATTTATGGTTTTAGAGAGGCTGACCCGTAGTATGTATCTTAGTTTATTTAACTCTGTGTTCTGATAGTAGAACAGAGGCTTTGTAAACTGAGGGCTATAATGGTAAAATTATCCAAGGGAGGTAATTATCACTAAATTTTTGTCATCTACCTTCAACCCAGAAGAATATACAAATATTGACTGAGGTTGAGGGCAACATTATATTAATCCCCTACAGATGAAATACTGCCTGATGTAGAGAGGAGGGCAATATTTTCGTCCTGAGGAGGCTAACATAATCAATGTTGCCCGAAAACACAGTCAATAATTGTTTTGTCATATAAAAAAAAACAACAAATCAATAAAATAGTATTTTGATTTCAATTATTAAAATTCAGCAACTTATTTGTATCCAGTGGATGACCAACACTTTGACTGTAGAGCTAGCGAATCTTCAAGTTCCCATGATTTTGTTTTTTTTAGCTCACCTGAGCCGAAGGCTCAAGTGAGCTTTTCTGATCAAAATTTGTCCGTTGTCTGTCGTCGTCGTCGGCGTCGGCGTCGGCGTTGTTGTCGTAAACTTTTCACATTTTCATCTTCTTCTCCAGAACTACTGGGCCAATTTCAATCAAACTTGGCACAAAGTATCCTTGGGTGAAGGGGTTTCAAGTTTGTTCAAATGAAGGGCCACGCCCTCCTCCAAGGGGAGATAATTACGAAATAGCAAAAAATTAATGGCATTATTGAAAAATCTTCTTCTCAAGAACCAGTGGGCCAGGAAAGATGAAACTTATGTGGAAGCATCCTCAGGTAGTGTAGATTCAAGTTTGTTCAGATCATGACCCCCGGGGGTCGGGTGGGGCCACAATGGGGGATCAAAGTTTTACATAGGAATATATAGGGAAAATCTTTAAAAATCTTCTTCTCAAGAACAGCAAAGCCATGATTGGTCATATTTACATGGAAGCATCCTCAGATACTGTACATTCAAATTTGTTCAACTCATGACCCCCGGGGGTTGGGTGGGGCCACAATGGGGGATCAAAGTTTTTACATAGGAATATATAGGAAAAATCTTTAAAAATCTTCTTCTCAAGAACAGCAAAGCCATGATTGGTCATATTTATATGGTAGCATCCTCAGATAGTGTAGATTCAAGTTTGTTCAAATCATGACCCCCTGGGGTCGGGTGGGGCCACAATGGGGGATCAAAGTTTTACATAGGAATATATAGGAAAAATCTTTAAAAATCTTCTTCTCAAGAACAGCAAAGCCATGATTAGTCATATTTACATGGAAGCATCCTCAGATAGTGTAGATTCAAATTTGTCAACTCATGACCCCCAGGGGTTGGGTGGGGCCACAATGGGCGATCAAAGTTTTACATAGGAATATATAGATAAAATCTTTAAAAATCTTCTTCTCAAGAACAGCAAAGCCATGATTGGTCATATTTATATGGTAGCATCCTCAGATAGTGTAGATTCAAGTTTGTTCAAATCATGACCCCCGGGGGTCGGGTGGGGCCACAATGGGGGATCAAAGTTTTACATAGGAATGTATAGGAAAAATCTTTAAAAATCTTCTTCTCAAGAACAGCAAAGCCATGATTGGTCATATTTAAATGGAAGCATCCTCAGATAATGTAGATTCAAATTTGTTCAATTCATGACCCCCCCCCCCCCCCCCCCCCCCCTCCAAACCACTTTTATATTAAACTTTTCAACCTTTCAAGACTGAACTGATTTCTGCTTTTTCCTAGCCATAGTGCTCAGGTGAGCGATGTGGCCCCTGGGCCTCTTGTTTTATTTGACATTATGTTTTTTGGAGTTCACAACGGTATCATTATCAACATTTTTTGGGGAGGAGCTTATATCAATTACATGTATGTTGACTGTTTCTCTATGTAGAATATACAGAGATTTTTCTTTTACTGGATATAACAAAAAGAAATATCAACAGCTCTCAAAAATACAACAAAAAAGCTTTTCCATTCCCTTGGACAATATTTACTTGAAAAGCCCTGCAAGATTTTGGTGATTGGAAATTCGATTTAACAGGTTGTGGGGTGAAATGTGTAATCTAATATAACTGAGAATTAGTTGTATACAACAGTTGTGAGAGTGTATTGTTAACATTAAGAATTGTTACACAGAAGGATGGATAAGGCTCAGGGATTTCTCCGATCACGAGGAGGGTGTAAGGGACATAACTCAGTCAGGAACGTGTAAGACACTAACAAATAAAATGGTGTTGGAAAGTGGATCTGGAAGTTTTTATATAACAAAAACAACAACTGCATGATTTTTGTATTGTACATGTATGTGTTGAACCACACATTTGATTTGTGTTGTACGTGCATTTGTTGAACCACACATTTGAAATTCTGCACGTGAATTCAGGATCTTTAGTGTGTCAGAATTAAAAAAAAAAACAACAACAACATAAACCTATTAATAAATTATGTACATTTCAATATATATAGTAATATGAAGAATAAACATCAGAAATTGGACTTATACATAATTAAAATTTTAATACAAACCAGCTATATTTATCAAACAAAAAAAAGAGAAAATATGAATCAAAGAAAGATACACTGTAGCAGTATTTTTTGTATACTTTAATCATTGAATTGATATTTATACTTTAAACATTGAATTGTTGTTAATACTTAAATCATTGAATTGCACACTTCTTTAATATTAATGCCTTTTGTGGGTTTTTTTCTCTCTCTCTATTGCATGGCGGTATTAGATCATATTTGACAGTTGTCAGTTTATGTCAGATTTTCAATGTCGAACCTTTATTTTTATTTTCAATGACATATTTTTTTGAATTTTGCTTTGCTACTTTTATTTTAAATTGATTATTTCTGCTGTTATTTTATTGCATGGACTAGAACATCATAAAGAAATTAATATTAGCTGGATTATTCATACTCATGTCTTTGTTTCTTTTTTTTTTTTTTTTTTTTTTTTTAATTTTTTCCCTGGGCTTTGATGTTGTACCACTTTTTTTGCATGTAGACATTCCAAATTTGGATCAGGTTGATGGATATGACAGTCAGACAGTCAAACAGACAGGTATGCCTAGAAAGCAGTGATATTGCATCAGCATTATATATAGTTCTGAAGCATATAAGACAGCTTTCAAAATAACACAGTTTTTGGTCTTGTTCTCTCATGAAGAATGGTCACTGCTCAGAAGTTCTCTATAGCCACAGCAGCAAATCTTTTAGTTGATGTAGTAATTGAACTATCATTGCCAGTTTTAACTCTAAAAAAAATGTACACTTCAAATGCTTCGGAATTAAAAGTTAACTAACTACTGGGATAATATTTAAGGAGACATAGTCATTCATTAATAACCAATAATTTTAGTATCTACTTAAGCTTTTGTTACAAAACTATGACACACCTAGAGATGACAAAACTAAATTTTGCATCAGATTTAGAAAAACCACTCGTCATTTATATTTCCTTCTCTAGGTCATTCTGATGCTGTTAAAACAATTGGTAAAAACTGCAGCTTTATATTCTGCCTATACTAACACAGTTTCCCTAAATGACCGTATGGCTGTAAATAGAAATTACATAGAATAATTATAATACTATGACAGGGGCTAACAAAACACTCTTAATATATTTATTGCTTTTAAGTGAAGGTTGATATTTAACTATTCTGCAGTGGTGCACATTTATTTGGTGGATTGATTTCAATGAGAAGCTTTTTAAAAAATTCTCTAGGGCACACAAAATGCAATTCAGATATATAAATAGCTCTAATATTTTTATCTTTATGTAAATTTTTTTTATATTTGTTCAAAATAATGGATATGTAATTGTTGTATACTTGTCATCAATTTAAGTGAGAGATTTTAACACATTAATATTTATCACTGGTGAGAGTGATTATTTTGTGTATACGAGGGTTGATCCAAAAGTAATGTCACAACTGCTATAAAATCTTTAAAAATTGGAAGTTTTCAACAAAATTTTATATATTAATACCTCTATCTATTTGACTTTTGCCCTAAAATTTCATTCAGATGTATACGATACTTTATAAAATATTAAAGTAAACACAACATTGGGTAGCGTCTATCGCCACATGGCAAGAATATACCAACGTCATCATGACATTTCTCTTTGACACTCATTTTGTATATGATGATAAATTTAAAGATTACCATAGAAAGGACTGAAGTTAGAAATAACATTTGGACAAAATTCAAATAATTCTAATACCACAACTCAACACAAGACAGTTTATAGCAAAATGGCAGTTAAGATTATTAAAAAGAAGCATGTGAGATGGTTAAAAAGATATATGGATGAACTGTAATTGAGTACCGAAAAGTAACGTCATAACAACATTGGTAACATTCTTGCCATGTGGCAATAGACAAAGCCTAACATCATGTTTATCTTAAGATTTTAAAGAATATTTTACATAATCAAAAGGAATTTTAAGGCAAAAATCAAATAGATAGGGATATAAATATGTCAAATTTTGTTGATAACATTTGATTATTAAAGATTTTATAGAAGTTGTGACATTGCTTTAAGATCAACCCTCATAGCTGCTGCTTACGTGTATTGTAGCTGTTGTATACTCCTACCTGTATGTATTTTATAGGTCAGTACCTGTGGAATCTCCTCTCTAAGTACTGGATCTTTGTGTGTACTGGAATGATGTTACTAATCTCTATTTATGAAGTGGTCGTCTTCAGAATCATCTACCTTCTTCTCTTTCTTCTCTTTATGCTGACCTTCCAGGTATGTATCAAATAATACAAGTCAAACAGATCAGAAAGCAAATCTCCTCTTTGTCCTGACCTTCCAGGTATGTATCAAATAATACAAGTCAGACAGATCAGGAAGCAAATCTTCTCTTTGTCCTGATCTTCCAGGTATGTATCAAATAATATAAGTCAATCAGATCAGAAAGCAAATCTTTTTGTCCTGATCTTCCAGGCATGCATCAAATACTGTATACAGGGAAATTTTCGCCCCATTTTATTTTCACCCCTTTCGCCCCACTCACAGGTGGGCGAATTAAAAATGGGGCGAATTCAAAAAACACAGTATAGTTTCCTAAACAGAACTGTAATTGGGCGAATTTAAAACGGAGCAAATTATTTGCAAATGTGAAAGTGCAAAAATAAGACGGGGCGAAAATAACCCTGTATACAGTAATACAAGTCAGACAGATCAGGGAAGCAAATCTTCTCTTAATGCTGACCTTCCAGGTACATATCAAATAATACAAGTCAGTTAGATCAGGGAAGCAAATCTTATTCCAGTTCTTGATAGCATTTGCAGATTATTGAAAGTTTCTAGTTATTGCAATCAAGTCAAACTACAAGGTACTGCAAACCAGCTATTATTCACATTATTGGTTGTTAGTTTGAAATTCATTTTTGTGCTTAACACTCATACACAATTAGATGAAAGAAGGTTGCAAAATGAGGATATGTTTGCATGTGAATAAAAGTTAGTTCTCATTATTTTGAACATTTAAGTACATAATGTGATTAATAACAATTTTAGTGAAAGAACCACAAAACCATCTAACAAATGGCAAGAGTCATGACCATGTCACCAATATTCAAAACAACAAATTTGAGGCTACAAAATTTTTCAATTTGGTGAAAAATTTATTCATTATGCTGAATATGAAGTGCTAGATAGTAGACAACAATAAAAGAATTAAAGGAAATATGATTTGTTGTTTTAGATGAAATCAAAACTTTTTAATCATAGGAGTTATCTTTATTTTATAGTTTATGGTGGGGCAAGTAAAAACTGAAGTAGGGCAAGTGAATTATGAAAAATCTATTTGTCAGCCCCTGAAATTTCTGTTATAATTGTGTTTTGCTTTTTCTCAAGTGGAAAATGCAAAACGAAACATATTTTTTAAACTTAAGCAGATATTGATTTCTGATATATTCTGTTTTTAAATGAACAGTGTACTTAACAGCTGTTATTTTTTCCCTAGATGAGCTACACCCTGTGGCGGGCCTCTATGTATGTGTTCTGGTGGGTCCTCATTGTCTACTCTATGATAATCCTTGTGATACTCTACACTTACCAGTTTAAAGACTTCCCAGAATACTGGCACAACAACACAGGACTGTCATACCAAGTGTAAGTACACACAGTCAAAAGTTGTACAGCACACAACAAGACAGGACTGTCATACCAAGTGTAAGTACACACAGTCTAAAGTTGTACAGCAGAACAACACAGGACTGTCATACCAAGTGTAAGTACACACAGTCTTAAGTTGTACAGCACACAACACAGGACTGTCATACCAAGTGTAGGTACACACAGTTTAAGGTTGTACAGCACAACAACACAGGACTATCATACCAAGTGTAAGTACACACAGTCTAAAGTTGTACAACAACAACACAGGACTGTCATACCAAGTGTAAGTACACACAGTCTAAAGTTGTACAGCACAACAACACAGGACTGTTATACCAAGTGTAAGTATACACGCAGTCTAAAGTCATACAGCACAACAACACAGGACTGTCATACCAAGTGTAGGTACACACAGTTTAAGGTTGTACAGTACAACAACACAGGACTGTCATAACAGGTGTAAGTACACACAGTCTAAAGTTGTACAGCATAGTGACACAGGACTGTCATACCAACCTACCCGGTTTGTTGGTGACTCTTAATAGACTGATCCTAATGACCATCCTCACAATGTCAAGGTTTTGTGATTTCAGAACTCCACACAATCCCTTGACAGAAGTCACTATTTAAAAGTTGGGCTTGTGGTTACACATGACGTAGTGGTTAATTATAAACTAACCAATGAGAATATATTTTTCAAATCCGTCATTTTCAAATGGCCCAACCCCACAGCATATCTTTTGTGATTGTTAGGAGGGCGATCTTCCAAAAAGTTATCCCCGATGTTTCATTTAATGTAACTAGTCACAAATTCTACAATATCGACACTTTCCAAATTCAAGACGAGTCATATTTGTTTACAAAACTTACCTACAATAAAAACTGTTTTCTGATTGGTTCCAGTCCTAGACCAAGAACAATTGAAATAGTAGCTTTTAAGCCCAACTTTTAAATAGCGACTTATGTCAAGGGTTTGTGTGGAGTTCTGAAATCACAAAACCTTGACATTGTGAGGATGTCTAATGACCTGTCAATCTATTTTCAGTTTATCAGATATCGGCCTGGAGTAGTTTGACACAGCTACCGTATTTGTGGCTGACTCTCAATACATGTAGCTTACTGATCCTAATGACCTGTCACTCTATTTTCAGTTTATCAGACATCGGTCTGGAGCAGTTTGACACAGCTACCCTGTTTGTCAAGCTACTGACACCCACCAGTTTCCTGATCCTCATCATTCTACAAGTCCATTACTTCCACAGCACCTTCCTCAAACTCAGCGACATCAAAAATGTCAAGTTAGTATCTCATTGCTGAAACTTATGGGACAAGTTAGTATCTGACTGCTGTAACTTATAAGTCAAGTTAGTATCTCACTGCTGTAATTAACTTACATGACAAGTTAGTATCTCACTGCTGTAACTTATAAGTCAAGTTAGTATCTCACGGCTGTAATTAACTTACATGACAAGTTAGTATCTCACTGCTGTATCTTATAAGTCAAGTTAGTATCTCACAGCTCTAATCTATGAGTCAAGTTAGTATCTCACTGCTGTAACTTATAAGTCAAGTTAGTATCTCTTTGCTGTAACTTTCATGTACAATAAAGGTATCTCACTTCTGTAACCAAGAGTCAAATTAGTATCTCACTTCCATAACTTATGAGTCAAGTTAGTATCCCACTGCTGTAACTTTCAAGTCAATTTAATATCTCACTCCTATATTGTACAAGTCAAGCTAGTATTTCACTGCTGTAACTTGAAAATCAAGTTAGTTTCTCACTGCTTACAAACTATATCAAAAAATGTGAACTTGGAACCACACTGTAATTTCAGAAAAAGGTCTACTCTGGACCAAATTGCTATAGATCTTTTCAGATATTAGTATCTCACAAAAAACAATCCAAATAAATATCCCACATGGTATATTGTACAAAGTCAAATAAGAACATCTGTATAAACCTAGTTGGCAAGTTGAAAATTAGACCACACATTGATTTTAAGTGAATCATATCATTTGACAATTAAAACACAATAACTCATTCACATATTGAGACATTTATGAAAGTAGTTAGCTACAATCTTTGATATGTATATAAGATTTGTTGTTTATTTTACAGAAAAGAGGATAATGATGATAAACCATCAACTGCCATGACAACAGACACTGCAGGGGAGACAACTGACTCGGAACCTTCAATCATTAAAAAAGGTCAGTATGACTGTCAGTCTTCAGTATTCATGTTGGACTTTAAAATCTCTGAAATCAACAAACAAGATTTTTATCAGTAAAAGTAAATGCTACAGTTATATCTTTATCAAACATAGATTCAGTTGTGTGCTATCTACGATATATCCTTAGTATCAAACTTGTAGATCTATATCCTTCAACCCAGGATTGGTTTTTTTTTCAGGGTTAAAAGAGAAATTGAAAGCCTATACAATCACGGTGTGGACTAAGTGTAGTGAGGTGTGGGCGGAGGTGTCTACAATACTGTGGAGGGCCCTCGAGGTCCACTTTGTTAAACTGGTTCTCTTCACCATCTTTATGGTCAGCGTGAGTGAGGTAACATCTCAGTTAATCTCAGTTTTATAGAAAAACAAGAAATATAAGGTGTGATAGCTTTTAATTCAGGCATCACTGTAGTCTCTGTAAAATTTTAAGATTTGTAATTTTTAGGCCCAAGTTTACTTAGAACAATTGTTTTACATATGTACCTGTTGGAAGGAAAGCTAAGTGAGTGGTGTGTTTGTAGGTATCTGCGATTGGAGGAGTGTTTGTCATTCTCCTGGGGGTCTTAATGCCAATAATCCGAGGATGGACTCTGATGTTACATTTGTGCAGACTTTGGACAGCGATTGCAATGGTTGCTAAGATGATTTATCAGCTGAGCATCATAGATAAGGAGTACTGGAACTCAAACTGCACAGTAATCCTAGAGTCTTACTACAGTGAATTCACAAATAGAAATGATATTGTCATAATCAAGTTAACTGATCTTTACATAAGATTGTTTTGAATCACCAATTGATAATTTTTATTTTTGTGAATTGTGTTATTCTGATACATTTATGTTGTGTGTTGAAGTTTTAACTCTTTGATTTGTAGATCATTAATGATAGCATTAATACAACAGTAGCTCCTGGGACCAATACAAGTAACACATCTATATATGAACTAGGGCCATCTAGTGTTGATCCATTTGGGAATGGAACAGTAAACAATGCTGTATGGGTCGGTCTGGATAAAGCTGGAGAATTCTCGACCTATCTCAAGGTAAGGCCATAACTGTCAAGATCTTTACCTATCTCAAGGTAAGGCCATACATGTAACTGTCCAGATTTGTACTTTTGAGTTATCCTTATTTACCATTATGAACATACATTTACCATGTACATCCAAAAATACTTATTCAGAAGAGGTAAATTTGAGTTTGATCTAAATTTTTCACTAATTTTACCTTAATATAATTGTAATTGGGATTTTAGGTTGAATTCATTATGTTTTTTTCCCACAGTAGTATAAAGGGGAAGGCTATTTACATTAAGGTTTTGACAGTAATTCATATCATTTTACATGAAGTTGAGCATTATTTCTTGTTAGAGAAAACATTTACCCCTTATATTGCCTCTGCATCACACTATATGATAATA